TACAATTTCAATATTTTCAACATTAAATGAAGTTAAAAACTAATGGATTAATTTAGCAGATTAAAAAAACTTTGATAAATTAATAAAATATGTATTTACTTTATTAATTCAATAAATTACTGTAGTTTAAAAATAAAGGAAAGATGTTTTTGTATGAAAAACTAAAACTTAAATATATAAATTAATATAAATTATTATAATTTTCATCCAAATAATCTTTTTAATAAATTTTGGGATTATTTTTATTCTAATGTTTTTATTTTATCGATTGCAAATTAAGAATTTGGGTTGATATTTCTAATTTAGTCGCAAACTAACTTTGCTTACTCAAAATTATTTAAAGCTATTAAGCAATTAACTAAATCTAAAATAATGGATACCTTTAATTTCATATGATTTTTCCCTTTTAGGATAAACATCAATCATTTTATTGCACAAAGAAATAGAATCTTCATAAAAACCTAAGTTTTCTAATGAAGAGACTAAAAATAACATAAATGATCACTTTTCATTTCTTTAGCATATTTGGATTGTTATTTAACACCTAATAATTAATCACATACCTTAATGGCTTGAAGATGATTATTTAGGATTTATAAACAATAGACTAAATATAAATTAAAGAAAACTTTTCATTTTAAAAGCATATTACCATTCAGAATTTATACTTAACATTTCATCACATACTTAAACTGCTTAGTCATACTTATTTAATTTTTCCAAGAATTCAACTAAAAATTAAAAGTAATCTACCTTTCGTTTCTAAAGCAAATTTAAATTTAGAACAAATGTTTTGCATCTTGTCGCATACTGAAATAGCATGATCGTATTTTTATATGTTTTCTAAGCATTTTACTAAACAGTAAATTATTTGATTACTCTTTTTTTGATAAGCAATATTGCACTTAAAATCAATATCTAAAACTTAATCACAGACTTAAATAGCGATATCAAACTTATTTAACTTTTATAAGCAATTTACTAAATTACAATTGATATTACTTTTAATTAGATAAGCGTAAATCCATTTAAAATCAATACTGATCATATAATCGCAAGCTTCAATTGCTCTCACATATAATTCTAATTTTGTTAAAAATTATACTAAATTTAAATTCATTATTTTACTTTTCATTTTTAGAACTTTTTTATTAAGAGGAATCTTTTGCAAAAATTAATCACAAACTTCAAGAGCTAATTAAAAATTGTTTTATTTGCTTAAGCATTGAACTAATAAAAGTTTATTATACTTTTTGCTTCATAAGCATATTTATTAGAATCAATGTTTATCATAAAATCACATAATTAAATCGCTTCATTAAGCTTTTTTAATTTTATCAAGCAATAAACTTAAGGAAAAATAAATGATATACGCTTCATATCAAAAATTTTGTAATCTTTTGGTTTAGCTTAAATGCTATTAAACATTTAATCACAGATTTCAAGAACTATCTCATACTTTTTAAGAATATATAAGCATTCAACTATATAATAGAATACTGATTACTTTTTAAATAGGATGCCAAAGTCTGTTTTGGATCGATTTCTAGCATTTTATCACAGACTTGAATAGCTTAAGCATATAACTGTAATTTTATCAATTATTTAACTGAAAATAGTTTATAATAAATTACCTTATTACTCGTAAGCCTCTTTTTATAAAGGATCTAATTAAATCACCAGTTCACAGGTTTTTTAAGCTTATTAATATTTTTTGAGTAGATATAAACATTTGCCTAAATAGAGTGTTTTTTACTTTTTATTTCTAATGCAAAAATCCAATTTGAATTTATATATAGCATTTAATCACAAATTTAAAGAGCCTCTTAATACTTTTTACCTCTATATAAGCATAAGACTAAAATGTAATGGATTTTTACTCTTCATTTCATATGCCTAATTTGATTTTAGATTCTGATTTATCATCTTATCACAAGTTATTGCAGCTTCATCAAAGAAATGTAACTTTTTTAAGCATTTCACTAAAAAGTTGAGTTATAATTACGCTTAATATCCAAAACAATTTGCTTATTTTGGTTAATTTCTATCATCTAATCACATAATTTAATAACTTAATTATAATTTTTTAAGTTTAAAAAGCATTTTACTAAAATAAGTCAAAGATTACTTTTTCTTTCCAAATTATCAACAATTTCCACAATTTCTTCAAATTTTTTTGATTTTCTTTAACAACTTACTAAATCATTAGAAATTTTTCACCTTTCAAGATTTTCACTTTTTAATTCTAAGGGAAAAGTTTTAACACTAAATCACAAACTTGGATAGCATCATCATAACGCTAGAGTTTTTTTAATGAATAAACTTAAGGTTTTATTGTTTTATTACTTTTCATTTTATATGCAAAACTCAAATTTTAACACATATTTATCAAATTATCGCAAATATATATCACTTGTTCAAATTTTTTTTATTTCATCAAGCATTATACTAAAGTTAAGAAGGAAATTACTCTATAAGCTATAAAGCTTTAAATCTTAGGGATAAAGTCTTAACATTAAATCACAGCCTTTAAAAGCAGAATCATATAATTATTGTTTGAACAGACATTTCACTAAGTTTTTAAAAATATTTTAACTTTTCAGAAAAAATGCATAAGGTAATCGACAATTTATTTTTATCATCTTATCACAAATTATTATGGCTTAATTATATAATTTTAATTTCTTTAAGCATTTAACTAATTATTGTAAAATAATTACGCTTAATCTCCTAAAACATTTGATTGTTTGGTTTGATTTCTATCATTTAATCGCATATGTCAATAACAATTGAAAATTTCTTTTATTTGTATAAGCATTTGACTAAAATAAGCTGATGATTACTTTTTGCTACATAGGCTAACACATATTTTGGATTAGTATTTATTAGCAAATTGCAGGTTTCATAAACCTAACTATATAATTTCAATTTCATGAAACTTTTAACTAAGGCATGAAAGATAAATTTACTCTTCAAATCATGCAATCTTACTATTTATGGAGCAATTTGCAACATATTGTCACATACTTAAATAAGTTAATCATACTAGAATGATTTGATTAAGTAATTAGCTAAAAATCAATGTATAATTACCTTTTAGACCAAAAGCTTTGAAATATTAAGGAAAAACCTTTATCATTTAATCGCAAAATAAAATAGCTTAATCATTACTTTTTATCTTTAGTAAATACTTAACTAAATTATAATAGGTAATTACTGTTTATCTTTTAAGCATAAACAAATTTAGGATCTATTTTTATTATTGTTTAGCAAGTTTCAATTACATTATTAAACTCTCCCTTTTGCATAAAACATTAAACTAGATAAAAATTTTTTATACTTTTTATTTTATATGCCTCATTCCAAAATTTATCTAATATTAGCATTTAATCACATATGGAAATAGCCTCGTCAATTTTTTTCAATTAAAATAAGCATTGGGCTTAAAATATATAAAAACTTACCTTTTCTTTTCAAACAATATTTTTATTTAATGTTTCCATCTAATGTCTAGTCAAAGATAGCAATCGCCTCTTGATATTAATTTTTCTAGATCAATTATTCTCCTTTTATTTTGAGAAATTAATTACCTAAAATATTGATTAGAATTTAATTTTATGGATTAATTTTGAATAAACCTTCCTCTTCTTTCATCTCTTTATTCTTTATATTTATTAATTCTATTTTATTCCTGAATATTTACTCTTGCATACTTATGCTGATATTGATTATTTGTTGAAATACTCAATAATCTTAAGAACTTTTTAAGCTTAATTAACATCATTTTAAATAATTAAAACAAAGGCTTATTATGGCAATATGGTTACATTTATATGTTAACATAGCAATATTATTTGGAAAAAAAATAAGACATTTGTTGCATTATTATAGACACTCTTCAAATTCTTGCTGAAAATATAGTTGAAGTACTGTAATTTTAATAAGTACTTTACTTTAAAACTCGAGAATATCATAGTTATTCGGGAATTTACCCAAAGCTTTTTCCAATTAAATTTTTGCATCCTCTATATTATATTATGAGAATAGCAGGCCACCTTAAATTTAAACAACTATTACATTTTGAAAGATAACCATGAGGAGTATCCATATCTAAAGTAATGGCATTTTGATAAGAACTTTAAGCTTCTAAAAAATTAAATATCAGTTGTTAACACAACCCTTTACAATATATAATTTATTTACCTTTATAGTAATGTGATTTTTAATCATTTTTATTAATTTTCAAAGCCTTTTCATATTCATCAGAAGCCAATTAATATTCGAGCATATATCTATGACACTCCCCTAAAAATAACTCGAATTTAACCTTTAGCAAAGTATATTTGAGGATTATTATTACCATATATTTCGGTTTAGTTTAATATTTCTAATGCTTTTTAATAATCTTATTTGATTATTAAGTAATCTCCTACTAATAAAAAGATTGTTTACCTATCCCAATTTAAGCTAAATAATTTTAGGGATTAATTTTTAAAATTTCTTCATAATACATCAATCCTTTTTCATAGAGTTTAGATTTGATTAAGTGATTACCTATTATTAATTATAAAAAATAAACCGATTTTAAGATAGGTTTCTTCGTTTTTCTCTATTACAAAATCTAATTAATATTTTTAAAGCAATTCATCAAACCTTTTTGCCTATTTTCCAAAAACCTGCTATTAAATCTCAAATGTTTCTTATATGTTATCAAATTCTTATAAAAATCTGAATATATTTTAAAAATTGGATTAATCCAACAAATAAATTGTGGATTTCAATCCATAAATTTAATCTTCAAATCCTCTTATAAAAATTTTAAAAGATTTTAAAAGAGTTTCGAATTGTTTCTAGAAATAAGAAACATGTTGTTCTAATCTTTCAACTTAATTATTTATGAATTGGTAAAGATTCTAGATCAATTGAATTGATCTTTGATGCATTATATGTTATCCCTCTTAAAGACACTAGAAACAGAAAATTTTATTCTAATTGCAATTCTTTTCAGTACAAAAATACTTCACATCTTCTTAATGATACTTACATCTGAAATTCTATTGAAAATCTTTATTTTATTGCATGGAATTAAAAATAATAAAATTAATTAGGCATATTTATATACTTAGAATTTTTATTATTTATACATAAAACATAATTATTTAATCTAAAATTTTATTACGGAAAATAATAAACTAAACTCAAACCTTTGTTTTGTATTTTTTATAATTAAGAATTATTTTTCATATAATTTCTTTTATATTTTGATACCATAAGCGAAAATCATAACTTAAATTCTATACTTTGAACTTGAGAACTTTAGATTAGTATGTTAAAATTTTCATTTATGACACTTAAATTGATTCTGAGTTTGTAAAATGATAAACTTTTATTATTACTTTGATAATATTCTTTAGCTTTTATATATTTTTCTGACTGTTTTATACTTCTTAATAAAACTAGAGATATATCAATTCTTAATAACTTTAAAATTTGAAGGTTTCATTTTTTTTAAAAAAGTTGGCTATTCCTTAAGGGATTTTGGTAAAAATTATTTGATGACAATATTATTATTTTACTTTAGTTTAGTATTATTTGTTCTTAAAGAGACTATATATGTAAGTAATAACAAAAAAGCTAAGAAACAGCATAAATTTAGAATTTGAAAGAATATTATTATTAATATAAAAACGGTAATAATGAAGGGAATTATATTTGCAGTTCTAATTTGTTTTTCATTTGGATTGCCAGTTCAACCAAAATTAGATGAATAGAAAGTGGATGAATTAAATAATGGAAAACTGTCGAAATTTATTTTAGCATTCGCTTAATTATCAAGTATGTTGGAAAGACCTTTAGGTTGTATAATTAAATAAGCTTTAAGTTGATCTGGATTTTGCGGTGTAAGATTTGAGTGAAGATTTAAAAGAAATGCAAGAAGAGGTTTCATAAGACTTTTTTTAGAGATCAGCATAGCATAAAAAAATAATTGATGATTTAGATGTTTTATTAGGAAATGCTTAGATTGAAATAAGCAACAGTATTAATCTTGTAGAAAATGTACTAAAAAACTAACTTGTATTTGTCATATATTTAAGAAATAGGTATAATTAAATAATAAGTAATCCTCATTGCAAGATTTTGTGAGTTAAAATAGAGTGGCTATTCAAAGAGAAGATTTGATGCATTAAACAAACAGCAAACAATATGAGGAAAAGAGTACGTGAAAGTCTCAGTATTTTTTTAGTTACTGATCATTAGACAGCATTGAAGATTTTAGACAAAGCATTGGATATTGTATAAAAGTTTATTTCTGGAGAGTTGGATATAAATTAAAGAGTATTATTAACTATTAAATAATAAAATAGGATCCAGTTTAAAGAGATGTATAGGAGTTATCTGGATGTCTTAATAAAAGATATGGAAATTATCCATTAGTAGCAGCTTTAATAGAAAGTGTTCCTACTTTTGAGAATATGAAACAACTCAAAAAAATAAGACAAAAACTTGTTAAAATTAAACAAGCTGTTTAAGATTAATACAATGAAGACTTGTTTCATGATAGAACCTAAACATCCTTGTATGAGAAGAGAAAAGCTCAATTAGAGAAGGAACATTCAATATTCTAGTAATAAATAGCAGACAACATGTTTTCAATAAATACAATATAATGTAAGTTGATAAGGTACTCATGAATTAGAAAAGATAAAAGTGGAAGAGGACTTTTAAGATATGAGAAGAGATGACGTTAAGAGATATGCTTAGTAAAGACAAGATGAGAATGAGGCATTTGCCTATGAGATTGCTATATTTTAAGATTTAAAAAATATGTATTTAACAGAATAGTAGCTAAGTGAATAGGCAGTAAAGTAATCATTCTAAATATTATTAGTTTCATTAATACAAAATAATTTTCTGACTTACTTAGAAGTAATTTAGATATAGCCCTTAGAAAGAAATGATGAAGATCATTCGATAATTATATATTAATCATTTTCTTCAAAATAGTTTAATAATATTTCTGGATTGTGTTATACAATTAAAGAATACGGATGATATGAATCTGATGGTTTAGTACTTCCAAACTATTTCCATGAAATCAAAAATTTTGCCTCATTTAAAGTGTGTCCAGTGTGAGACAATATTTTTTCTGGTTAATTCTTTCCAAATTATCCTCCTTTTTTAAGATCCTATTATGAACATTTGGAAGTTCTTAATTGGAGGGATTTTTTTTTTTAAGCTGTAAGAAATTGTGCCTATTCACTTTTTACTTCTTCCTTTTTCAAGTAGCCACCTCCTCTTTTAGTTTATTTTGGTTAAGGATTGTGTTTTTAAATATGATGAGATTATTCTAAAATCGTCGAAAATTATTTTTCACATTTTACCATTCTTTCTTCAATCATTTTAATTAAATAATGAATATTAATATAGTCTTTAAGTATAGTATATAAAATTAATTGCTGAATCTACTTCTATAATTTTTATAAAACATTTAAAGGTTTTTGTGTAAGAGTGTTATTTGAGTAATATTAATTTATTAAAATGGCAGAAAGAATTGTATTTAATAATTAGGCTGCTCAACATATCTAAGCTTACATTGATTATTGCAATGTAGTTGGAGATAATGGAGGTCCCTTATTAAGCGAGAAGGAGTATGAGGCTTTAAAAAAGAAATAATAAGAAGTTTAGTAATAAAAATATTTAGAACATAAAAAACCGTGTTTATGCTACATGGAAGAATAGTAAAGGAATGGAATGTAAATAGATTGGCCCAGCTAGTATGTGTTTTTGTGGACATAGATTTAAAGAACATGAATATATGATGCCAAAGAATAAAAAAGTACAGTTATTTTAAAATATCAGGTTGTTTGCAAAAACAAGCAATGTAGTTGTCCCTAATTTAATTATATCCCAATTTTTGGATCATAAGATCTAAAATGTGTTTGTCATCATTCTTATACAGAACATGATCCAATCACAAAAAAGTGTACAAAAGGATAATGTGGGTGTAACACTCGGTTTTAGAGTAGTTGGTTATGTACTTGTGGTTAAAAATATAATGATCATGTGACCATAATTGAAACAAGAGATGAGAGACTCGCTTAAGGAAAACCTGTTGATGATATAAGGCCAGATGGTTCAGCAATTCCATATATGCCTGGTGGAGTTGCTAGTTTTTAAGCTTTAGTTGATGGAGCTGATGGTTATTAGGCATATATAGATGAATTGGGAGGGCAAAAATTAGCTCTTGGATATCAATAGTAAAAGGCTATTGAAAATGATCCAAAGAAACAAAAATTACAAAATTTGAATAAGAAGTTTGCTCCTTAATAATAATAATAGCAATAATAATAGGATCAATTAGACTAATTTGTTAATGAAAATAGTGCCAATTAAGTAGTTTCAAAAGACAGTCTGTTACATTTGTTCAACACACCTCATATTTATGGAAGGGCTCAAATTGGATATAAAAAATATTGATGTCTAGATATTATTCATCTGTAATGAAGAATTAAAGATTAGGTCTCAATTAAATAAATAATATAATCATCATTCTTCATTCCTCTTAAACATATTTGTTTTTATTAACGAAGCTTTTACTCCTCTTATGTATTCTATCAGCAATCTTTGTCTTCTAAGAATCAAGATCATTTTTGATAATCTTTATTTATTATTTATACATTCATATACTTAGTTAATCTTGGTTGTTTCCATCTTCAAATTATCAATCATCTGCTTAACTTCATTATTTTATATAGGAATTATAATTTTATTTTATTAATCCTCTTTTTCAGAAGGAACTTCAAAAGAAGTTACATCTTCATAATGCTAAATCGAATCAAAATTAGAATGAATTTTGAAATCAACTTTCTTAGTTTACTCTTTTTCTGATTACTCTTCTATTTATTTTTTTGGGGATATTACAATAGGATGACTCATAATCCAATTTAACTTACTTTTGAAATACTCGCTCTTTTAGTCCTTCTTAGATTCATAATACTCAACTCCTTTCTGATTGTTTCATATGATTATTGATACCATATACAATTGAATTAAATTATTTAATGCTGTGCTATCTTAATATTTACTAGTCATTAATGTAATATCATTTTTTAAAATCTATTCAGCAAAATCTTTTGGTAATTCACCTAAATTGTGAATACTTGTTACTCCTATATTTTTAACTCTATCCTAATTTGCCTAAGAATGACATAATAAAATTGTAAATATTAATTTATATTATTTAGTTGAGGTTTTGCATCTATAACAATAACATTTTATATAAATAACATTCAAGTAATCTTTTTGTTTCTGTTAGTAGGTGTAGATGCTTATTTACTAGATTAGGATATAGTTGGTAAATTTTCAGGTATTCTAATTTATCTTGTTGAATTGCATAATCTTGCCATCTAATTAACTTCTGACCCTTCTGCTAGTATTGGCTAATCCTCAAATTAATCTTAAATTTATTTTCTATGAGAATTTTAAATAGCAATTCTGTGTAAATCAATATGTTTCTTTGATTCAGTTTTTTACAATTAAGTTGTTGGGATATCTAGAAATAATTTAAATAATTACCAGAAATATCTCTAGATCCAAGTCTATTAAGTTTAGAACTATATTAACTGAATTTTGAAGCTCCAACAACAGAAGGTGCTTTCATTTCAATTTTTGCAAATGAATTATTGGAAGCACATGAAATAGATTCAATAGAATTTAAATTTCCTGTAAAAGCTGTTTATCTCTATTCTAAATTTAAATCTATTGATCCCATTCTTACATTGTTCTTGTATTATTAATTATAGTCATTTAAATTATTTTAATATTTTTCCAACTTGATTTGATGTTCTTTTGCTAATTCTTTAAAATAAGGATGTCTTAAGCACTATTATATAAAATTAAATAAATACCTCACTTGAACTTAATCTATCCTGAGCTTTTTTTAATAACATAGATCTAATTAAATCCTACATCTAAATAGGAGCTGATTTAAATAAGGAATCATCAAAATCAATAATACAATCCTTATTTGCTTTAAGTATTGCTTTTTAATCTTTTCCTGTGAATGGTTGGCCTCCAGTCTAGATTTAGAATGAGATTAAAAAATACAATTAATAGATACAGAATGATTCCAGCACTAAAAACATCACATTTCTCATCATAAAATTATTAGCCATCAATATATTCCAAAATTTCTGGAGCAACAAATCCAGGAGTACCACATCTTTTAAATAAAATGTTATCATCTTATAAGTATGCTGCCAATCCAAAATCAGCTAATATAATTTCATAGTTATTTTCAAAAGATTTAAGAAGTAGATTTTCAGGTTTGAGATCTCTATGAGCAATACTAAATTAATGCAAATGATTTAAAGCAGATAGTAAATTAAATGCCAATCTTTATAATGTTTCAGCAGGTAAAAAACCTATAAATTAAGAATGATAATACCTGTTTCTCTTACTCTTTATAGAAGTTCTCCTCCTGCCACAATATCAACAACAAAATAGACAGAATTGGCTGTTTCATGTACTTCATGTAATTTTAAAATGTTTGGATGATTTAATTTTCTCATTACTTTCATTTCATTCAAAAGACTCTCAATTCCTTTATGCTGTTGTTACATGAAAGATTTGCTAAAAGCCTTGATAGCATATTATGTATTATTCTCCTTTTTAGTAGCTAGATAAACTTTTGCAAAACTTCCTTTTCCAATTAATTTTGAAACTATAAAAGCTTCATGGAAATTCTCTAGAAGACAAAGCTTCCTAAAATGAATTCTCCATTAATCATAAATAGATTTGTCAGATAGAAAGATCTCTAAGACTTTAGTTTAGTATTATAATCGGAATCCATACTACTCTTCATCAGAATTCAATTAAACTAAATGATCAGCACCTGGTTCAATGTAAGTCAAATGAGTTGTCAGGAGAGGGGCACATTTTAATTTATCTACAGTTACTTTGTAAATGTATTCTAATCCTAATACTATGAAGATAGGTTTGACACCAACTTTCCCTGCAGTCAAAAATTCTTATTCGACTAAAAATGTTTGAGACTTTTATATTTTATGAAATTGGTTACGTCCAAAACAGACTTATCACATGTTTACCAAAATTTATTCCTGGTTTTTCCAAAATCAAAGATAGAAATTACTTTTTATTCAGTCATTAATCTATACTACTGACGCAAAAAAAATAATTTAATAAATAAGTTTAATTATCAAGACCTTTTTACCATTTTATTAGCACCAATATTTATTCATCTTTTAACTTAAATTAAAACTTCTCTTCCTCTATTTATGGGTTTCGTAATTGATTATAAATGATGCTTTTTATTATTCGTTTTCTATAAATTCTAAGATTACTCATTCAAAACTTACATGATGGAGTAAATAAATAATTGTACTAAGTTGCATAAGATTTAAAACAGATTTTAATCCATCCTATATTTAATCAAGTTTAGATGCTTAATCCTAAATCATCTTTTATTTTGTCTAAAGAACTAAATTATAAACCATGAAACATACCTTTAAATATTTTATTTTGAACTATTACAATTTCTCTGAAACTTCTCAGTTTCTGAATTTTCAAGTTCGACCTTAGTATTTACAAAATCGGTCTATTCAGTTTAATCTCTAAAAAATTATAACAAAATAAACAATTCAGAATTACTAAAAATGTCTTTTGAATAGGTAGATACATAAAGTAAATATTTTACTTGCATTTGAAATATGATTTATAATAGTATCAAAATAAATTCCAGTTGTATTGATAGTATTCTGTATCTTAATTCATCCTTAATAATACCAATTTTTTTCTCACTAACCTTTTTTTATTAAACACAATTCAAAATTTCTCAAACTTCTATTATAAAAACTTAGACACTTTATTTTTTTCATATTCTCTATTCTTTGCCAATTTTACACATGAATTAGATCTCAATTGAAATTTCATTTTCTAAATTCTTTGATCTCTTCTCTCTAATTTCAATAGATTTTTTTGATTCGCAAAAAAAGAAATTGAATTGTTATTTGAAGCTTTCTTTTCCAATAACTATTTTAATTTATATGTGAATACAGGTTTGTCTTAATTTCGAGGAATCTGCAATATTACTTCTGGTTTAAATTTAATATTAATTTATTCAACTGGTTCTGTGTATGTACATCCTATAAACTCACCTAATCTATAATCATAGTCTGCTGAATATTATGACTGGCTGTTCCTTTTCTTTATATTGATTATTTTATCTTAAGTAACTAATTGATTCCTTTTAAATTAATTGATTGTCTAAATCATCTATTTTTATTTGATAAACCTATATCAATTAATTTTAATTATAAATCCATAGCAAAAAATTACAATTAATTTATTCAAAATCTCTTACTTTATAATCTAAATATTGATTAACAAAACTCAAACCAATTTAAAAATATTATTCTTCATTCTTATTTACCTAGAGTCTCGACAAAATTATAAAATTATCCCCTTTATTTTGAATTTAAGCTTTCTTCCATTAAAAATTTTCTAAAAAATACTTAAATTTTAATAATTATATAATCAAGATTAATCAAAATTGTACAATGTTTATAATATTTATAAGATAAGCTGTTGATTAGACTCTCATAAAATTTTATTGATGAATTAGATATTTTTTGTTTTGAATGGTAAATTTGAGAAAGTTGGACATAAATATTTTTCAAATTTTTATATATCATTGTTCTTATATCATTCATTAGCAATCTTAAATTACCTTGAATTCTTCCAATTTGACAATTCTTTTGGATCAAATTTCTAATGATGAGATCGACACTGACTAGCTGACCTAGATTTTATGAAATCTGACATCTGTTTAAATATTTTTTGCATCTTCTTCTAATCTGAATCTGACATAATCTCTTTATGATCCTCAATAAACTATTAATATAATCTCTATTCTTTATTAGTCCAATGACCTTCATATATTGATAATAAAAGTCATACCTTTTTTAAAGATTTTGCTTTTCTTATTTTTTTTCTTTTTCCATTTGTTCAATTTAGTTCCAGATGTTTTAGAAATGCCATATTAATTATTATCAAGACTTGTTGGCATTTCAGTTTGTTCTATTTATTAAGATTTCTATTATGTATCTGATGTCTTTTCTGCAATTTTGATTATGTTATGCTAATTTTGTGTTTCAGGCCTAATCAATTCGAATTTAATCGTTGAAAACTAATACCAATGGTTGTTGGTAAAGTTTCCATATTAAGATTAAGGATACAACCATGAATATTAATATGAAGGTTGACAAAAGTTGAAAGAACCTAGAAATAAACTTTTTGTTTTTGTACTTTTTAAGTCTTAAGGATAATAAGCAAAAGGAAACATTTGGAAGATATCAAGTTGTAAATAAAAAATAATAATTGGTTTTTCAGATTCATCATTCAGTTTAATTCAGATCTACATAATATTAATTATAAATAGTGTAAAGGTCAATATTTTTAGTATACATTTTTAATAAAAAATATAATAAATGTAAGTTAAGACATCTTTTTTTACAATCATCCGCCTTTTTCATTATTTTATTTTTCATTTGATATGTCAAATAAGATTATTTACCAATTTTTATATATTAGACACTCTTTTTGTTTAATAAATGCATTTTGCTAATATATATATCTATAGATTTAAATTTACATCACCAAAAATATTCTTTAAGCAGATTGATGTTTTATAATTAAATATTTTATATTCTAAATTTTAAAAGATAGCATTGATCATTGATTTTCATTATTATTTTTTTAATTCATCTATTAGTCGGTTTAATTCTTTTATTCTATTTATTGATTTATGGATAAAGTTTAAGTCATCAGCCAATCTAGTTATTGTATGTTAAGCCATATCAAAATTCATTTCAGCACATTTTCTCAATTATGGAGATTTTTCATTTATTTTACTTACCTCCAATTATGCATGTTAAAGAGTCTATATTCTAATTTTTGAATAACTAATTACATTGAAGTTTAATTATCAAAGGTCTCTTTTAAATCCTCATCTTTAAAAAATGTAATTGTTTGCATAATAATTTATATTGTTGTATTTTATATTAAATAATTTTCTAATTCTATATTAAATCCAGTTGTTTTATAAAATTTAGATATATTTTTAAAAAAATCAAATCAAGCTTCAAAAAAAATGGAGATGCCTTTAAAAAATTTTGATGAACAAGATACAGAAATTGCTTCATAAAATGCTGAATTAGAAATCAAGCAAATGTTTAAAAATCTCAAGCTTGAAGTTAAGCCATAAAATGGAATAACTAGAAAATCAATAAAGAAAGTTAAAATGTGCTTAGGCGCTAACTAAATATTATAGAGAAGAAAAGCAATGTAAAATTGAATGTTAAATTATGATTTGATTGTTAAATACATTCTTATCTTGTTAAAATATTTAATCATCTTAAGAATTTATTGCTCACAATTTCTTTCCTTTTTTATTCAAAATTTCCATGTTTTTAAAATTTTTGATATTTTTTTCATATATTAACGATAAAATAGATTTAATCACAAAATGATTTTTATAATAAGTTTGAGTTTAAGGAGAAATAAATTGAGAAATGAAAATGACATTTAAAAAAATGTTATATATACTAATGATTTTGCTTATTAATTAAATTAAATTTATTTAATTATTAAAAAATTGATATTAATTGATCTGCAGTTATTTATAGAGTTATATTTTTATCTTAAATCATTCAAAACAAATTTGTTGATGGTTCTAAAATGTATTGAATTAAGATGAATGATTACAAAATATAAATTATAAATTTAGATTTTATAGTTTTTTTGATTCTGCTATAACTTCTTTATATACCCAGCAAATTTTAAACTGATACTATTTTATAGATTTAATTATTATAACAAAAACTTTGTGAATTTAGAGGAATCTGAATTTTTGAAATTTAAAAGAAATAAAAATACTTTATTCTCATATAAAGAATATTTATTATTTAGATTATTATATAAATCCGAATTAATTTTGAAATTCTATCATGATATAATGATTAGTTAAATAAACTAATATAATTTAATAACAGTTTTTGATAAAATAATTAACAATGATATTTTATATTTCGTTTTAATATGAATGATCATTCAAATGCTTCTTCCATATAAGGAAGGAATTATTTCTACCAAGCTTCTCCTATTTCTGATGGTTACATAGCGTCCTACAAAATAGCAAAAGCACAATTTTTCTAGAAGTATTCAACAATTTCAATCATTCTTTTCGATTTCTTATCAAGGCAGCAAGCAATTAATTCAAGTTTTGCTTTTTTCTCTGCTGGTAATTAAGCAAATTATTCCAATGCTTTGGTTGGAAATGAATCTTCACCATCAGTATAGAAAAGTATAAAATGTCTAAATTTATAAAAAATCTTACTTAGTGAATTAATCAAAATCTTAGATGGCTACAATTTTTTGATAAGCTAATTAAAATGCTTTCTCAAAGCTAGTACCTCCTCCATTACAAACAATCAAATTTTTTTGAGATTCAGCATTTGGAATCTAAAAATCTACTACACATCTTGCATCACTGTTAAAGATAATTATAGTAACTTTTGTATTCTTTGTTTTTTCTATTAAGTCTAAAAATTATAACAATCCCTTTTATGCTTCAGTAAATCCTTACATAGATATAGAATCATCTAACAAAATAATATAATGATAAGTTTTTTTCTTATAGTAAAAAATTCTATCTCGACTACCAATTAAATTGTATTTTATTTCTTGTAAATGTTTTTCAATTTTGAAATCTTGAACTTTTAATAATTAAATTTTATCAATTTGATCTTTTATTTCATTCATCATTCCTATGATAAAGTCAAATAATAGGTTAATTTTTTTGATTTTTAGGAAATGACAATAAAATATCAATTTTAATTAGATCATTAGCATTTTCTAATACACTCTTATATTAATCCTTAATATTATCTAAATCTGATTTTACTAAAGATCCAACTAAACATTTCATAATAATCTAGTATAGAATACTTGAAGCATCATTTGAATTATCCATTTTTAAAAAATACTCACAAGCATTTTAATTTTCGGAAACTTATTAAGAAATCAATGTTAGCTTATTAAGAATCTAATTTAAATCCTTACTCAAATTTTCTTAGAATTTCTCAATAGATGATTTAGTATATTAATTTCTAAGATCCTTTACTCTTTGATTGACAAATTCTTCAATAAATTTTGTTTAAAAGTTTACATATTAAAAAATTTCTGCAATGTTATTCTCATTATATAATACATCTTTTTAATTTAATAATTTATTGTCAAGTTCATTTATTAAATAGGAATTTGTCATTTTAGGATCTTTCTTCAAATTTACCAATTCATCTTTAGTAATTTTGGAAATATTAGTTTAATTTTATTTTATCAATGTATTAATAATGATATTAGCATTTACTTTTCCATTTAAATTTGATTGTTAATTTATATTTTATTTTATTTTTGTAGAAAATTATTCAAATTGTTCTATTTCCATTTTACAAAGTAGTTCATTTTGTATTTTAAATTTAGATTAATATGTTAGATAACATTAAATTGTCCAAATAATGAATATTACAAAATCATATATAACTTTTTATCCTTAATCACTTAAAATTACTCCATAATTAGAAAAGCAAATATTATATTCTCTTATTTTAATTTTTATTCTATCCATTATAATATTTATCATACCTAAATCCAATTAATTATCATTAGAAGAATATTCTAATAAAATTATTTCATGAATTTAAGAGTAAATTTTTTTCCATCGATATTATTTTTAATCATTCATTAACTAAGTGATTTTACTTTAGATTTATTTCTGAAATTCAACCAAATTTTGTTTATTTTTTTAACAATCTATTAAAAAGTTGAAAATGAGTGAATTTGTTTCATCTTCATTGTTGTTAACTTCGAGATCTCCATTCAAGATTTATTTTTTATTTATAATTATTTACTTTTTTTCATTAAATTCAACCAGAGTCTATTCATAATTGAATGCTTTGATTATTTCTGTTTTAAGATCTTTGCTTTAACAGATTAAATTACTAAATTCACTAGCAATATTTAAATTTTCATTTCTTATAGAAATCTCCTTGTATTAACAATAATCATATAGATTTTTCTCTTTTTTCACTAGAACCAAATCTTTTAATTCCTCCAACTTATTGTTATCAAAATAATAACCAAAAATATTAAAGTATTCTAAAAATTATAAAATAGGTTCTTTTTTCCTGGATGTCTTACAAAAGTTCTGCAAATCATCAGCTGCAGTTGTTTTCAAGTAATTTTCCAAATCTGTATTTGCTATCCATTTTAATTCTATTTCGTAATTATAAAATTAAATAATAGGTAAAATCTACTAAATTTTCAAACAACTTTCTATTTTTTTTTTAAATTCTTTATTGAAATTCTTCTCAAAGATAAATCCCTCTTTTTAATCATCTTTCTACTGATCTTTCTTCTCATCTTTTGACTCATCCTTTTATTCATTTTTTTTCTCATCTTTCTACTCAATTTTTTACTCATTTTTCTACACATCTTTCTGCTCAATTTTTTCCTCAACTTTTTACTCATTTTTCTATTCACTTTTCTGCTCATCTTTTTACTCATCTTTCTATCCACCTTTCTACTCATTTTTCTACTCATCATTCAGTATTAATTCAAAACAGTTAATTTAATTCAAATAATCAAATAGTGTATCAAAAAATTAAATTGAATCATCTTCTTTAGGATCCTTCATATTTAAGCTATTTAAAAATTTTTATATTTTCTCCTATTGCTCTTGCTGATTTAATTATACATTAAATTTTTCAAATTTTTTACAAATTTTTTGAAATTTATTTTCACAGAGTGTCTTGAACTCATTCTTTAATTTTTATTCATTTTCTTTTGTGATATTGATCCAAAGTTCATCAAACTTCTGTTTAAGTTTTTAAATTTCCTATTGATATAAGTCTAATTTTGTTTAGTCTTACTCTATATCATTAGCAGCTTCATCAAATTCTAAAATTTGTGTTTCATTTTTCATCATATCTTCTAACAAGAGGGATTACAAATCTGATATTATCTATTCCATTTATTTCTAAGCTTAGGTTTTATCTTCAAAATTCAGTTTATCAAGAATATGATTCATCATTTCTTCCATATTACTCTCTAGTTTCTCAACTTATTTTTTATCTTCAGTGTTTGTATTCTGATCTTTGTCTTATATGTTATCTTATTACATTATTATTATTATAAGATATAGAGTTAGAATTGCTTAACTAGAGGCAGAATTCTATTAAAAATATGTCTTAGAAATACAAATTTCTACCAATAAAATAGTATTAGAAAATGAAATCAAAGTATATAATTAAATGTCAAATTCACAAATGGAGAGACAATAAGTGGCTTGGTAAAGTTGAAAAATGAATTAAAGAGATCCTTATTAATTGAATTAAAAAAATAGTAGACTAAACAATTTACATTTTTGCTTATTCAAAGGTAATTATTCATCAATTAAAAAAGATTTTCTTCCTTTTTGAATATAGATTACATTCAATATAAGGTTCTAATGATCTATCTATATATATTGATGATTATCTTAAAATACCCTGAAGGAGGTTAAATAAAAAAAAAAAAATTGGATTTGACAAAATTGAAATTGATTCATAATTATGATTTCAGAATTTGATTAGGATAACCTCTAATCCATAATTATGGTGTTTAAAAAGATAAATTTGTTGAAATGTCAATTATCAATATTAGGAAAATATATAAGATTAGATTTTACTTGATAGAAATTATATTGATTTATATAAATTAAATAATTTAGAGTAAATAAATAATATTTTGTTTTTAAAAAATAATAAATTAATCAAATAAATATTTGGATAAACACTATGAAGCTAATTTGATCTCTTTAATTATTTATCTTAGTTCTCTGATTGAATAACAATTCCTTTTATTTTTTTTTAATTTAATCTCATATTGTACTTTTCCCCTTATAATTATTAAAAAAGACATCTATTTGAATGATAGTACTAATTAAATGAGCTTTTATCTATTTGAATTACTGATTTATTGTATAATTTTTATCGATGATTGATATTATTTCAATATTCATTATTAGAATTATTTTCTATTAATAAGAGAATTATAGATTTTTATATTAATTCTAATATAGTTTTAAGACCTAGATCATTGTCTAATGTAGTATTAATAAGCAATTCATAATTAACATTTTAGTTTATCTAATTTCCAAGCTTAATTTTTATTCTATAAAATTTTTTATTGCTTAAAGTTTTCTAAAGTTCCTGATCTTTTATCCATTTGGGTTTTAAATTAATAAAGTCAACATAAAAACTTTGAATTTCTTATAAAATATAAGATTCTATAAAAATTTATTTTTTCTTTAATATAATTTCAATATAATATAAATTTTATTTTTTTAAATTTAAATTGTTTGTTTGAGGGAATTGGGCAAATCAATTATCAATAAGCTAATTCTTTTGAATCAACTAATAAATGGAATATAATTTTTAAAGCTTCCCATTTGAAATTTTTTTTTAAATATTAGATTTTCTCTAATAATATCAATTGTTAGTATTTTTTGAAATGAATAAATAATTGATCTTTATATAAGGGATGAACAAACTTAAAAAAAAATATACTAAATTTTTTAGTTTATAAAGCAAAATATTTTCTCAAAATATAATAAACTTTATACAAATAATGTTTGAGAAATATACTTTATACAAATAATGTTTGAGAATTAAGAAGTGACAAATCAAAATATAAAATACATTAAGTTGAATGAGAGAGATGAAGAATATAAAAATTTGAGTTATATAAAAAAATGGATTATATTTTGAGTTCTGATGAATATGATGACGAAGTTATTTGAATAGTATTAGTTTAAGAATATGAGTGAATTAATGATGAAATATGAATATATAATTTATAGTACGATTAGATTGAATGGAAATATGATAAATACTTTTAAATTTGGTTTATAACATTATAAATTGTCTGCATAAAAATAATTGTTAATACGAAATATTATAAAAAGTACACGTCAGATTTAAATCAGATACGTACGAATATTACAACAATATTGTGCCTTTGTATACCTGAGATATTGTATTTAAAAAATCGATATATAATAAATAATGAACTCTAGAAGCACACATTTAACCGAATATGCAATAAAAGAAATCATCTCAGAGAAGTTTACTTCATGGAATTCAATCAGCCCTTCAAATATCAGCATAAGTAGATTGACAGGGTTAACAAATATCACTTATAAAGCATAAGCAATGATAGACACCACTCCTTAAACAATTTTATTTAGAGAGTAATGAGTTTTATGATTTAAAATTAGATTTGGGAATGCTGAAGGATTTGTGGATTCTTAATAAGAGAGAATAGTTTTTAAAACTATTTCTGATATGGATCTTGGGCCTTAATTATTAGAATGTGGTAATAGTTGGAGAATGGAGGAATTTGTAAAAGATGGTGTACATCCTAACAATGAGAAAATGGCTGATTCTGATTTCTAATTTAAGTCTATGGGAGTGTTATAGAAATTCCATTAGATGGAGATTCCAATAGTTAATAATGGTGAATCTATGATTCTAAAGAAGACTATATCTGAAGAAATGAAAGCAAATGTTATGAAGAAAATAGAAAAACGAGAATTATATACAGATGTAGAACTTAAATAATTAGAATGCATTGAGAATTTCTTAAATGATGAAGAAGAATTCAATTATTTAAATGAAATGACTATTAGAGAGAATCATGAAGAGGTATTTTTATTAACAATAATTTATAGTTAAAATTCTGCCATAATGATTTGAATTAATTAAATATTTTTAATACATCTAAGAAGGATAAGGAAATTATCTTTATAGATTATGAATATTGTTCATATAATTATCCCTCTTATGATATTGCTAATTTCTTGAATGAATCTACTATTAATTATTAACATGAAGATGAGCCTTATTATGTTCTAGTAGAAGACAACTTTAATACATCTCCAATATAAGCACATTTTCTTGCATTAAGTTACATTCTTAATAAGGAATGTACTTAGATTGAAATCAATCAGATTTAGAGATTAATTAGTGAAAAAACCAACAAAAATAAAGATGAATTGAAAAACTTTATTGGATTAGTTAAATAAATTTTAGAATTAAGGTTAAGTGAATAAGAAATAATTGATTTATTTAAAGAGATTTCTTATTTGAAAAGAAGAATAAGAAGATTATAAATAATATCAAATTTAAATTGGGTTTGGTGGAGTGTTCTTTTGGCTCATGAAAAGAATTCTCTCAATTTTGAATATATAGATTATGGTTTCTTAAGATTTAAGATGCTTGAGAAATTATTAGAATTAGAGAAAGCAAGAAAAAATACTAAATGATTTTACTTTTGTTAATATTTGTTTTATAGAGTTTTAATTGTAAATTTTATTAAAAATTATATTTAATGTAAACAATTGAAAAGGAAGAAGTAAAATTATAAATTTCTAAAAGAGATTCCATATTTCAAATTTTGTTAGAAACTGGGTGGTGTTAAAATGAAGGATATTTATATATCACCCACAAAGGCAGCAACATTTCTTCATTTAATTAATAATGTAAGTTTCTTATTTGTAATAATTAAATAGAAATGTCCTAAATAAACAGCAATTCAATTTGCTTAAAGAAGATTATGTAAATGGGATACAACTACAAAATTAGATGGCCCTAGTACATGTCGTATTTTAAAACCAAAAGATAATAAAGATGTAATTGTTAAAGTTTATTAAACTAATTAGAAAAGAATCAATGGATGGTAAAATATTGGTATGGAAATGTATTATGATAATAAATCAACTATAGCTGATAAAAATTAATTATAATTAGATTTTGATAATGATGCAATTTAAAAGTAGATAGAAAAAAATGAGATGAAATTAAAGAATGATTTTAAAAATAAAATAGCTCATTTGTAATAATTTTATAGAGATTTAAATCAAAAATATTGTTTTAATTCAAACGATCCTGATTTCAAATATAAAATAAGGAAAGCTAAATTAGATTTAATAAATAGTAGAAATTCACCAATCAAATATTTTAAGGAAAAAGGTATGAAATACATTGAAATTTATAATGAATTAAATAAAAAGAATATAAATGACACAAGTGATGGTCTTTTTAAACGTTTACGTGTATTTAATTAAATGAGAACTGATTAATACAGAATAAAAGAAAAATCAATGGGTGAAATTTATAGATAAAAATAAGAAAATTATAGTCCTATTCATAAAGAACTACAACATGATATAAATATTTATGAAAATATGGAAGAATAAAGTGAATAGATGTTAAAGATAATAGATTAGAGCAATGAATTTTCAATGAAACTTAGAAAAAATGAATAAAAACCTGGAGTTTCTTAGAAAGCAATAGTATTTGCTGAAGATTTTAATAGAGCAAAATATCTATTCAATTTAACAAAAAAGAATCAGACATAAAAAATGTTTGAGATCCCAGAAATTCCATAATTAGTAATACCATAGAGTAGTTCATCAATAAGATTGAAGAAGAATTTATCATCTCCTGTAAGTTTAGATGAACAATTTGATAGTTGTTTAAATTAATATGCTCATGAAGTATTGGAATATTAATAAGAAATATAAGATAAGGAGATCTCAACTGATAACATTGAAAAGTTATTATAAGAGAAGGAAAGTTTAAGATGTAATTAATTGAGAAAAGTGTCAAAAACATATCATTCTCCTTAACCTAGTATTCGTTTAGATTCTAGTAAATAAATGAGGAATTAACATATGTCTTCAAGAGAAAGAGATTCCACTAAAGCTGGTAATTCTTCTCATTTAAAATCAAGAACATATGCTGTAAGTCCTTTTTATAAATGATGATGATGTGATATTATATTTCTACTTTCAATAATTCAAATTATTATAATGATTATTTAACAATATCTACTTTTGCATCAAGGTACTTATGTAATATTATAATGTAATAAAGAGCACGTTCTCTAATTGCAAGACAATATTACAAAAATAAATATGGTCCATAATTGATTGAAGATGATAATGTATTGGATGTATAAATAGGAGATGATAATACGTATAGATAGAAATTATAATATATTTTTAGGTTATAAGCAAGATAAGGTTTAGTAATTACTATAAATTCAGATGATGAATAACCTAAATAAAAACCATCTTTACCAAACCTTTCAGAAACAGTTGTTAAAAAATAAGAATGTGCATTATAAAAATTTGAAGACCGAAACAGCACTTCATAATTATAACTTACTCTACAATAGTAATTATAAACACAAACTGATATTTACAAATCATAGCAAGTAAGTAGTAATCTTGATAGTATATCATAATTGTAAAAGTCACTTTCCTAAATTAAAATATAATAACCATAGAGTATTAGTAATCCACCAGTGTTTTAACCACCTTAAAAAATACCTTAAATTAAATAATAACAATAATAATAATAATAATCTAAATAACCACTTACTAAAGGAATTGGTGATTAAAACTAAAAAAATAATGAAAAACCAAAATAAAGAGTTATTTCAATTCCTGATTAGATATAAACTAAAATGAATATAGAATCTGATGAAGAAGAAATATAAATAAATAAGATGCCTAGAAAATAAATTAGAACTAATGAAGATGAAACTCTACCTTCAATTCATTTTAAAAAGAAATAAGACTTCTTTTCTTAATTGAAATAGAAAGTATTTATTATTATTAATTATAATCATAGATAACATAACCATTAGATGAAAATACTGCATTATAAATATAATACAAATATAAATAAAGAGATGATTATTCTCCAGAATTAGAATAGCCATAAAATGTTGCACCTGTTTCTTATTAAGATTTCATAGCAATGAAAAATAGAGAGATTAATGCTGCTAAATAAAGAAAATAAGATGAAGAATATAGAAAATAATTAATTTAATAAAAAAAATAAGAAAAAGTAGCTCCAGAAAAATTAAGAGAAGGAGAGACATTACAATAATATTAATAGAGAATGATAGAATATTTACAAAAATAAAATAAATATAAGAATAAAAAGAAGTATAAGAGAGGAACTGATTTAGATAATAAAAAAACAGCAGAAGAAAAGTAAAAGATTAGTGAATTAATGAAAATGATTGATCCTAATTTTTAATAAGAAGATATAGAAGAAAGACCAATTAAACCAGATTTATTAAATTATGATGTTCTATTAAAAAATGGATTAGTATTAAAATAAGCCTTTGTAAAACCACCAGAACCAGATATTAATCCTATGCTTAATGTTTATAAAAGAGGAAGATATGCAACTGAATTTATTTTTAGTGGTGGAATTGATTTAGATGATGGTCCTTATGGATAATAAACAAGAAAAAAACCTAAAAAATTACCATTTCCTAAACATAGACTTAGTTTATCTCCATGGGAATATTATGGTGTAGGACCTGAAGAATATTTTGCAACTAGAAATCCTAATTTTGAATTCAAATAAAAATATGTTCCTGTTAAAGATTATTATAATGAAATGCCAAGACCTAAATAAAATCCTAAATATTTTAGTTATGATGTTGATTAATTACTAGCTAAAAGATATTAATCTATTCATTTAGAATATTAATATCAAACTTCATTTATTGGATATAAATAAAGACATTGGACACCTGTATCTCATTTAAAAGCTGTTTGTCCTAATTTAGTATTAGAATATGAAAAATATGAAAGAGATAGATTATTTTGTTATATTGTATGTGCTAAAGTTTCGAAATATTAACTTATTGAAACTGTTGGAATCCTTACTTCTAAATATACTAAAAATAAAATTGAAAATTTAGTTATGACTTATTGGAAGGGAGATTCTAAAGGAGAAAAAAAAACTATTTCTAATTTAGAAAAATAAATACCTTAAGAATAAATTAAATAAACTGATGAAATGGAACTTTTTAAAGATGATGAAGATGACGAAAATGAAAAGAAAAAAAAAATTAGTAAAGAATAAAGACATTTAGAAGATGAATGGGATCCAACTAAAGATGAAGCTACTGAAAGAGGTAGAAGAAATAAATTAAGAAAAGAAAAATTTTAAAGAATTGCAGAAGAATTAAAATTAAAATAATAAATTTAACCAGAAAAAAATTAAAAAAAATAGAAAAAAAATAATGATAATGATGATAATAATAATAATAATATAGAAGTAGAAAATTAACCAAATGAATCTAAAAAATAATAAAAAAAATAAAAAAGAAATAAAAAAAAGAAATAAGAATAATCTAAATAATAAATTGAATAAGAAGCAAATTAATTTGAATAATAATTTTAAAAAGAATAATAAAATGATAATGAAGTACCTTCAAAATAAGAAAGTGAGGAATAAGTATTTTATGATAATGAAGATCTAGTTTTTAAAGCCAAAATGATTGAATTAAATTAAAAAAGATTCAATTTCACTGGAACAGATGTAGATCTATAAGAAAGCATGAAATTAGTTTTTCCAAGCAATCAATAATAAAAATTAGATCCTGAAAGATATAAATAATTTATGTAGAAATGAATTATCTAAATATCAAATTCAATTTAAAATCATATATGAATCAATTTCCTTGTTCTGTCTATTGGCTATAATGTTAATTTAGTCCAAACTTCATTTTAATCTGCATTCTCATCTATCAAACTTAATAACTCCTCTCTTTTTAATAATTTACACTATTATTATATTATTATTAATTCTATACATCTAAATTAACTATACAATGCCACATCAATTTAGCATATTTATTTCTCATTTATGGATCTGCTTCTCTTCCTAAACTCTCTATTTTTATTGTAATTTTCTTTGCTTATTCCTCTTCCAATCCTAACAATTAAACTAATTCTAACATATTTAGACAAACTTTTCTTCTTAATGCTTAATCTGGAATTTCATTTTTTTTTTACATTTTCTTCTAAACTATTACATCTTATTTAATTATTTTTTATTATTCATTATTTTTATCATCAATTTTTGATTCTTCATTTGGTATTTAATCTATTTTTTATTAATTAGATAGATTAAGTTTAGTATTATCATTAGTATTATTATTATTATTATTACATTAAAAAATTTAATTCCCAGTAGTTTGATTATCAAAATTTATTTTCTTAAATTTTTCATTCTTTTTTTATTTTTTTGTCTTTGGTGATGAAATTGATGATTATTTCTTTTCTATTATTTTATTTTGATTCATTATTTATGTTATTTCTTATCCTATATAAATTATATTGTTAACAAATACCACGATTAGCATTAGCAGCACAAACTACTGATAAATTTGAAATTATGCTAGCAGCATTAAAAAACTAATTTAATAAAGAATTTTTTAATTTGCTAATTAATTCATGTAATCTTGTTATTTATTAATGAATGTCACGTTAAAAAAAATGATCTGGGTTTTATTCGCTTTAATGTTTCAATATTAAATAAACTGCATTTAATATAGAGCCTTTCCTCTCAGATAATACTTCTGTGATAGTGTTATTTTGAGCTACTTAAGCTTCTATAGTATCAAGGATTGGAGTCAATTTTTATTTAATTTGATCATAATTCAATTATGCTGCTATTAATAGTAACAACAAATCTTAGAATTCTCTATCTAGATATTGTTTTTTCTAAGGAGTTTCTTATAATGGAGATTTTTATATATTCTTATAATAATGATTACATACATCATCATTAGGAGTCTCAGATTTTTTGAATTTTCGCAAATTTTTCTTACTTATCCCTTTATTGTCACATAATTTTTTTTTTTATTTTTCTATAATTAAGAAAGATAATACTTAAAAGTTTTTATGCATCTTGAATTGCTTCTTTTAATTTTTTATTTTTTTTTCCTTTATCGTTGAATTCATCAAATTTTTCTTAAAAATCAAAAAGATTATCACTCATCAATATGGAGCTATATATATTGTGAATGTACCCTTACTGTGAATCATCACCAATGAAATCAACAACATACTTTCCATCTTATACTTGTGTAATCTTAAAATAAGAAATAATAAAAATACAATTCCAGGCCACCAGGGATCTAAATATATTAAATATAACATTTACGTCCTTTTGTTCTAGCCCATACTATTTGTTTCTTCTTAAGAGTTGACTTCATATAATTTTATAAAATATAAATAATATAATATATATTTATAGTGATAATCCTTACTTCAATACTTTTTGATTCATTCTTAATTTCATAACTCTTTCATTAAAATTGATTATTCCATAATCATTAACATTCATCATACTATATAATTCAAGATTTAAGTCTCATATTTAAAACTAATGTTTTTTGTTAATTTCTTAATTCTATTTATTCAAAATATATATATTCACCTTTTTCTTTTCATTTTCCATATCTTCTTCCAATTGTAAATTATACATATTCTCTATCTAATACTAATTCCATTCTAATATTTTCTCAAACTTAATTAAATTATTTTTCCGATATACTTTTCCACTCAATAAATAGAATTCTATGAATTACAAAAGATTAATTAATTCGTATATTCTTTAGATGTGTAAAACCCTTTTATAAAATCTGAATTTCTGGTATTATCTTCTATTTTTATCTCAAAATATAATGTCACATCTCTTTTTTTTAGTTTCCCTTCTCTAATTATAAAAAATTTCAACTCTATATATTATCTATAAAAATCTGAAATTTGCTACTACTTATTTACTTTCTTTATAATTAGTTTCATTCTTATTTTCATACAATTTTCAAATCGAAATCTATTTCAATAATTAAATCCTATTTTCTCTTTTAGAATCTCTTTCTCAAGTGTTTAGGAATATTCCTAATATAACCCTATATTATCTATATTTTTTTAGTTGTAAATTAAGCCAATTACCAATATAAAAATTACCAATTATTATCCAAGTTATTAATAATCAATGAGATTGTGATTTCTCAGAATTTCCATTCTCTAATTGTATTATATGATTCAAAAACTTATTTTACATAAATTATATATTTTTGTAATTAATAATAATAAATAAAACTATAATTTATTGATCCTAACCATCATTTTAATTATTCTAATCTTCTTACAATCAATATAGAACTATTAAGAAATCAACAAAAATACTAATCTAAGTTTATATAATAAAAGATGACATAATTTCCAGTAAATAACAATTCAAAATACCTTTACCTTCATTTAATAATTCTCTATCAAAAAATATTTATTTTTCATCACCTATCCTTGTTTTACTTGAATCCAACAACTATTTCTCAAATTTGTAATATTTCTCTCAAGAATCTAAATTTAATTCAATAATTCTCTTTTCAATATCTAAATGGTATATCATATATCATATACTAAACTGTAAACAATTTCACTTAAAATAAATAGAGAAAAAATAGAGAAAAAAATAAATAGATTATGATAATAAAAAAACCAATATTATTTATTAAATCCAGTTCAATTTATGACTATTACAAAAATCATGATTCTTAATTATTTAAAAACAAATAAATAAATAATATAAAGCATCTATAATATTATGCAGTTGTAATAAGAATCTTTTGAAAGCTAAATACCAGAGTATTTCCAGATTGAACAGGAATTTGAAATTAAATCCTTGTTTAAACAGCTCAAAATCTAAAATTAGTAATTACCCAATAAAAAGTCTAAAAAAATTAAGAAATTCAAGCTAAACACTCAAACGAATTCAATTTTGTAAAGAAGATATGTAAACGTACACTAAATATGACATTTTTGTTTATTTTACTTCTCAAATCTTGTATATAAGTTATATCAGTATTATTTTATTTTTCTACTCCATTTTTCATTCTTACTTGAATTCAATGTCATTAAAATCAATTACTTAAAAACCTCTTATTTATATTCAATGATTTACTATATTTAGAATTCTGTTTATTAAAATAGAACAAATAAATAGTAGAATATATCATGCTTCATATTTATTCAAATTAATCATTCTTCATATATATATCAGCATTACATTTATTTGATAAGAATTCTTTCATTTAAATTGTCTAATATTTTTTATATATTATATAATTACAAATGTAATTAAGCGATTAAAAATTTATAAACAATCCTATCGTCTAATAAATATATATCAAACATGTAATATAAATTAGCATACCTAGACTTTCAATTTACTTAAAATTATCTTTGTTATAAAATAAATTGATATTTTTAGTTAAGTAATAATAAATCCAATAGGTATTTATTTATTTTTTTTAAAAGCATATGAGTAAATCATCTTAAAGACTTTCTTTTTTATATTTTTTCAAATCTAAAAAAATATTATCATATAAGCAAGACAAATATTTTACTGGCCGGGTTACTTAAAAAATGTTATTGACTTTAATATGTGATGACAAGTTTGTTATTTTATTGAATGTTACTTAATTTTGAGATTTCCTTCTCATATGGATAGGATTTATTCATTTTTTATAATCTCTTGAAGTATTTATTGAGAGAGTTAATTATAATTATTTATAAATCAATAAATTTTAATTAACAGTTTTAAAGTTGATTGTAAAAAATGAAATAAGAAGATGACAAAGATTTTGATACTTTAGCAAGCATATGGATGCATATGAAATAAGTATAAGACTTAAATAAAATAGTAAATTGATAATGTTAATGAAAAGAGCAATGTTTAGATCAAATTATAAAATAATAGTTAATAAGTATTTTCATAAGTGAAATACAATCCAAAAAATATTTCTATTTAAATTTAGAAATAGTAAGAAGAATTGTTTTAAAAAAATACAAAATTAATTGATGCATAATAAAAAATAAATGAATTAGAAGAGATTAATATAAAGCTGAATAAAGAAATTGAAACATTGTAAAAAGAGAAAGAATTAATACTTTAAAAATTTGAAATGATAGAAGAGGTAATTGATAGTTTTTAAATGGATAAATCAAGTAATAGATTGATTAGACTTGAAAATGATTAATTAAAATAAGATATTACAAGATTATTAGGATTATTGAAGTAAACTAAAGAATTTAATGATATTTAAATAGAAAACAATTAACATTACATCTAATAAGGTGAATTTTAATAGTAGAAATCTAAAGTAATTGAAAATGGAAATAAAAAGGTTGAAGTTTAAGTCTAAGAAGAAATGTAAATGAATATTTCTATAAAGTTTTTGGATACCAAAAAAAGTAATCGAAATCATAAATAATATTGAAATGAATTACTCATAAAAAAATGAATTATTGATTAATCTTAATTCTACTTTTTATGAGTATTATACAGCAAAAATAAACAAATTAAAATAATAAGCTGACAATGAAATCAACAATCTTAAAAGACAATTAAATTCACGAATACCATATGATGGGATAATGACATAAAAGAAAACTGAAAGGAATTTAAAAGTATAATTTTCTGATCAAAAATCTGAATCAAAAAAATCTAAAGAAACAATTAATAGAAATCTATTTTAAAAAGTAGATGAATAATTGAAAGTTAGTAAAGTTATTGATAAGACATAAATCTTTATGGAAGGTGCAACTTGGATTAGTATTATAAAATATTTATATCATAGTGGAAAAGATTAATAATGAAATTCTATCATATGAAATTGATGTTAAATCTTTAAATTAAGAATTAAGTATAAAGATTGATACTTTAATTAATGAAGAAGACTTGGCCTATAAAAATATAGTAAATAAGGTATACAGGAATTAAACTATATATTAGATATTTAAATGGATTACAGATGCTTCTGAAGAATAAATTTATTCATTAAAAGAAAAATTAAATTGTATTATGGAATCAACTTAAAGCAGAGCAACCACAAGAAGAACATTTTAAATAACTGAAAATGTTTTAAATTGATTTTAGATATTATTATACTTTATAATATTTAAATTATTATTTTATATTTAAGTTTAAGGAATCCTCAATTATTACTAATATTTTCTCTTATAAATAGTAATTCTTTTAACATAGAGAAATAAAATGGTATTGGAGTTCCAAATAAACTTGCTGTTGGGGTTACAAAAGTAGATGTAAAATAATCTGGAAAGGCTAATTTTGCTGCTCCTAATTAATGCTTATGAAATATGCTTATTATTATTGTACTTATAAAAGATCTCCTGATACATTTGGGATTGCCTTACTAAGATTGGATAATATAACAGTTGAAAATGCTTTTGAATATTCTATAGTTGAAGTAGTAACCTATTTATAATTGTAATTTATACATTAATAAATTTACTTATGCTATTAAATAAATAACTCATCAATTTTTTAGATGTTTCCATCTATTATTTAAGCAATGCTTATTATTTTTATAGTTAAATCAATTCTGTTCTCATATCAACCATTTCATCTCTAAAATTTAGATGATTTTCTTATTTTTTTATTAATTATTATTTTTTTAACTCTCGCTTATCTTAATTTATAGTTTAATGAACAAATTTAGCTGAGTCTTTTTATTTTTCTTTTATTTAAAAGCCATATTTATTTAATTGTCTTAAAAAGCTAGAATATTTATTATGCTTAAAATATTAAGGCAACAATTTTGCTTTAAAAGATTAAACACTGGAAATTAAAAAGCCTGAGTCAGACCATTAAACTATATCCTAACTTGAATTCTAGAATAAGGAACATTAGATTTACATCTAAAATTTGGTATAGAATTTATAGGAATTTTGATTCTCTTTAATTTCTGTCTTTTGAATCAATTAACATTTGTAAGAAATGAGAAAAATTAAAATTTGTTATACTTATTAATTATCAACTAGCGATGTAAATAAATTTCATTAAAGTAGTAAGTTTGTGAATTCCTTCATCTATCCAATAAATTAATAAAAAGGCAATGGAGTTCCTAAGTTGCTAATCATTGGAGTTGTCAATCTGGTTTCTAATAGTTCAGGAAATCCTTAAACAATTGAATTTAATTATAACTTAATTTAAATGAAACTTCATACCTAAAAAAGGTCTCCTCCTATATTTCCCCATATTCTTTTATGATTTGCATACAAAAGATTTCCAAATATATTTGCAAATCCAACAGTATGTAAAGTCATCTAAATAAAAATAAATCAATACCATATTCAATCTAGCATAATAAGATTGTAATCTCATCATGATTTTAATTGAAAGTTAAAACTATTTATTTAAGATCTTTTATCCTTCTTTGAGATTGTTCAATTGTGTCCTTAATACTTTTAATTCTTTTTAGTAATCTATTTTCTATTAATTCTTTTTTATCATTAACACTCTCTTTGTTTCTCTGTTATTCTCTCTAATTGTAGGATGAATGAAATATGCTTTTTAATTTTCTTTAGATTTTATTTTGAATCCATATTTATTGAGTTATCTCATTAGACTTTAGTAATTATTGTGCTTAAAATTTATAGGTAACAATTATTTCTTAAATTCTTCAACATTCCATATTACAAATCCATCTTAATGCCATCTTATGATCTAATAATTGTTATGATTCTATTTTATAATTATTAATCAATACATCAAGAATATCATATAAGTGTCTCAAAAATTTTTATCTTTACTTCTCTATATTATTTTCAAATCCTATTTGAAGTTCCTTCATGAATTTAGTAAATTATTTTAAGTATTTAATTTTTATATTAGAATCAAAATCAAATTTTTTATCATATGACAATCTTTAGATAAAATATATATTTTTATATAATAGTTCTAATTCTTTTAATTATTCTAAGTTCTTGATCGTTTTATCTGTAATTAACATATTTCAATTTCTCATCCATTCATTTAAACAATATTTCAATATAATTAATTAGATAAGAAAAGAAAAGAAGATCCATTTTTAATCTAAATCGTCTTTCTCATGATCATTTAATTAATTTTTCTACAGAAAATAATCCAATTCTCATAACAAATTCTATTTTTAAAAAATGCAATTCTGATATTATTAAATCCATATTTATTCATTTATCTATATTCAATTATTATTTTCTTTTTTACTTTCCGAATTTTGTATAATTAGGTTTCTTGAAATATTGAGGTAATAATTGTTTTCAATCTAATTATATTATTATTTTATTCATCCTAAAAGAAATAATTATATTCATAACTGATTGTTTTAAACTTTATTAGGAAGATAGTTATTTTGAATAAACCATCTTAATCTCAAATGTAAATATTAGATATTCTAAAAACAAATCAAATTTATCAAACTGCATTTAATTTTAAATATTCAATAATTTGTATATAAATTATATTTATTCTATAAATGTAAATTGATCTTATTATTTCCAAGCCTATAATTCCTAAAACTATTTCAATAAATTCTTAATTTTATTTTTTACTAAATTTTTCTAAATTATTATAAGTTTTATCAATGATTGTAAATCTAAATTATTGTTTTTTATTGAAAAAATACGGAAATCTCTTTTAAAGAGATTTCTGTATTTTTCATAATTTTTTTTAAAATAATCAATTTTTTGAACGTAAATTAGTTTGTTTTATTTTAGATTAATCAACTTGAAATAGGCAAATAAACATCAAATTGTTCCAAATTATAACACTTTGTGAATGTATAAAAATATTTAAAGCAATCATATGTTAAGTGACTATGATGAGAGAACTTAAAATAATATGTCAATAACTGAACATTTTAATCGGGAATAAATTGTGATAGTTTAAGTAGAAGAATCAAACAATCCTATGTGATTCACCTTTTAGATAGAAATTAAGTGATTCTTATGTATTAAATTTAGTTAGTTGATGAATTATTTTTAAGGATTTTTAAAAAAAAGATGATGTTTTCAAATTAGTTTATTAGAAAAATAGTTGAAAAACAGAATTTCCTAAACAGAAAAAATTCTATAAAATAATCTTGAACTCATAGAAATATCATTAAACATGTTAAATAAGGTATTCATTTTAAAATAATACAAATAATATAGAAAATATTTCTCAGGTTTTTCTTCGGAAATTTAAAATTCAAAGTTCCTCTACATCAGTCTCTTGATCAATCATATCAATTATAATATTGTTTTGACATTGATAAAGCGTCTATTGTTTTATTTTGAATGGGAAAGTATATAATTTGATAGATCTTAAAATTGAACATCCTCATCAGTAAGAATTTCAAGTTTGAGAAATTAACCTTTTATAAATAGCTTTTAATCCTTTGATATTAGTTTTAATTCATTAAGTTGTTATAATGTTTAAAAAAAGCATTATTTATAAAAGGTCATGTTCAATAATTAATTTATTGGTGTTTTAATTATATATTTATATAATAAATTTTAAATCCAAAATTAATTAAGCTCAAAAATCCAGTTTTAGTGATTAGATTGGGTAAATAAACGGAATCAATTTATGTAAACAAGTAAAGTTTGTGAATAACAGATAGTAATCAATGATAATTATTACATTCTTAAAGTTATCTATTGTTATATTATAACTAATTAATAAAAAAAATGAATTTACAGTACGAAAGATTTTCAACTCAAAATTATAAGGATAATTTTGATGAATTTGTTTACAAGATTACTAGAAATCAATAAATTTTGGTGTTTATGTTAATGATTCTTTTTGCTTTAATAAGAGTGATCTCAACACTAACATAAGGAAAATCTTATTATGTTCTTTATGGAGGAGGGTTTTTAATCTATACAATCATACTTTTTGTAATTTCTTATAAAGGGAAACTATGGATTAAGAAATATGGAAATCTGTTAACTTTATGCGTCCTAAGTTTTATGTAATTTTTGGCATATTAAACTAATAATGTTGAAGAATTTTATTAAAATTCACAATTGAATATTATATATTCTATGATTATTTTTAGCATGTTAGATATAAAAGGAGCTTATTTTCAGATTATAGTTTTCATTGGTTTGAAAATTTGGTTTCAAACTTAATAGAATAGCAATTTCAATACATTTACAGTAATATTTGAAATATTAGAAGGAATCTCTGTTGGAATTTATGTTTTTTACTAACAACAGGGATATAAAATTAGATTTTCTTAAGAATGTTTTTAGAAATAATTATGTAATATAATATATAATTTAGTTCGGTTTTTGCCAGATTTAATATAAAATTAATTTATAATGTTTAATTTGGATAGGCAGAGCTCAAGTTTTAATTTAAGATTTTATAATGATATTACTTCTATTGAATGGGATTAATCAAATGCACCAACAACTAATCTAAGATCTTTTCTTAGAAATTGTTTTTTTCAAGATTAATCACTGGAATAATTTATTTTATCAAGAAATAATCTTTACGATAATAATAATCATTATTTTACTCAAAATTTAATTCTTTAATATTCAGATCAAAAGTAAACTACATTAAATTTAAATTATACAGAATGTTTTCTAGGGGAACAATATTATTTAATCACTTTTAATGATAAAAAATATGACTATTTAGCAGATATAAATAGTTCATTGATATCATGTATTAATAGAAATCAATAACTTACTATTAGTTTCTTAAAAAAATAATTGCATCAAATTTCATAAGTTATGATTTCTAAAAATTAATTATAATTATTAGCTAAATTGAAAATACATTGTATGTATTTTCTTGGCTAATTTTTGTAAATTAATAGTTTTTCCTCCATAGATCAAAATATAAAGGACATTAATCTTACAAAGCTATTATAATTATTGGTTAGCCTTTATTGTAATGCTTATAAACCTATTCAAATTGAATTATTATCAGATGAATATAATGATTTCTTCATTAAGAGTAATGAAGAATTGATTTAAACATTCTTTTAAATTATATGTTAATTATTGATTCGATTAAAAGCTAATGAATTAAAAAATTAATTGATTTTTGGATAAGATTAAAATAATACAAAATTATTTTACTTTATAGTAAGAACAGAATGTTATGAAGAGTTTAAAAGATAACTTTAAAATAATCCATTCTTTTAGAAAATTTAAAGGAGATTATGTCCAAATCTCGATATTTTGACATAAAATTAATGTAAATTGAAATTAATAATTTTGTAGCTTTGAAATTTTGTCTCTACAAAAATTATCAATCTTTAGAAGAAATCAGAGAATTAGAAGATGAGATTATTTGATTTTCTTAGTAATTAGGATTAATAAGTAAATTATTTATAAGAAAAAAAACATTTATAATATATTTTTATATTTTTATTGGTATTATTAATTGAGTTTGAATGGTTGAATATTATTAAATTAATCTAAAAAACATGAAAAAGAAATTCACTTTATAGTTTTGCCATCCTACAATAGAATAAGCTTATTAAAAAGATAGATTATTGAAATATTTGTGGATGAAGAAAATACTGGCAATATTAATCCTTTTGTTTTCAATGGCTGGTTTAATTAGTTCCCTTTTTTATGAAAAAAAAATAATCTTGTATTGGGAAATAGGATTTACAAGTTACAGCATATTTTTAGTTATAATATCCTTTAAGGGATCACCAGAAAAAGTAAAGACTATCTTTCAATTTACAAATATCATTTTATGTATCCTTTAGATACGTGTTAATTAATATTCTAACCCTTAATGTATTTATTTAAGTGGATAAAACATTATGATTTTCAATATGATAATGTTTTATTTTTCAAGTATCTAAGAAGCATCAATTTAACTGTTATTTTTTCTTATTTCTAGATGTTTAATAACTGGACTTGTAAATGATATGTTTATAGGCTAAGATATAATATCAATTGTTATAACAACTCTTGTTATATTGATTTTTATATATCAAAATGATAAGATTTAAAGAGGATATTTCTTATTGTAATTCTCTGATAAACAATGGGGTATGAGTATTAATTAATTAAAGAATAAACTTTACCAATTATCATTTAAAGTCCTTTCATTATGTTTACTTTTGATGAAGAAAGATTGAATTTTAATTTAAAAATTGCTAATGATATGACAGGAATTTGTTGGGATAATGAAAAGGCACCTTCTGAAAATTTAAGATTCTTTTTAAGATCATTTAAAATGGGAAATGATAATCTTGAATAATATTTAGTTACAAGAAGTAGAACTTGTAGTGATTATAAAAAGATTTATTAATTTCAATTAAGAATTCAAAGAAATGAATCAATTTATGGAACCAAAAAATTTATTATTCGATTTTCAGATTTCTATTTAAGAGAATAAGTATTTTTAATTGTTTTTGATTAACATGAATAAAAAGTTAGAATTTTAGAGAAAGTAAAAACTGCCTTGATTTAAGGTATAAATTAACATCAAAGTTTAACAATCAATTTCTTATAAAAGTAATAATAATTAATATAGAACTTAATTATTTCTAATAATTCTTTATGCACTATTTATAAAATGAAAATTCATTGTATGTATTTTATTGGCAAATATACTTAATGTAATAGTTTCTAAGAAATCGAACAAAAAATAATATCAATTAATATAACTGAGATGATTAAAGAATTAATTCAAATATATTGTATGGCCTATAAATAAATTTAAATTGAGTTTTCTAGTAGTACATTTGAAGAAATTTCTATATTTAGTAATGAACAACTATTGAATATATTTTTAGTAATAATATTCCAAACTCTTATTCGACTTTGTTAAAACGGAAAAACAGTCTTTGTTCATGTCAGTGAAATTAATACTTAAAAAGATTTAGAACTAATAAAAATCAGTGTATTGTTTAACAAATCAGAAGAGCTTAAATAAAAATTAGTGTATAACTCATTATTTTATAAAATATAAGTAAGACTTAGTCCAAAAGTAGATATTATATCTGATAATAATTGTAATGATCATTTTTATATTAAAATTAGCATGTCATTTTGAAATTTATAAAGATTTAAATTAGTTGAATGCGATACGAATGTTAGAGGAGGATTTGATATGACTCCATCTCAATTATTTAAAATTATATGTTTTACTTAAATTATATAAAATAAACAAATATAATATTAAATTATAATAAATCATTTGATTTTATTTAAAAATGATAGTTTATCATTCCTTGTATTAGATCTTCTATTAAAGATAATCTTTCTTTGACTAAAAATTTAAATTTAATCTTCATCTTTAGACTTTTTTTATGAATTCATAATAGAGACACTTACTGATCTACCATTATGAGAGGAAATCTAATTGAAATTTAATTTTTATAATTAAGGTTATTCTTTAAACCAAGTGTGATTTTGAATATCAAAAATATTAATTCTTTTTTTTGGATTATTAATAAAAATCTGACTCAATAAATTTGTTAAATCCTTATTTATATTTTTTTTTGGAAAACTGTAATTACATTATATTATATTTCTACAAGTTTCAGAAGAGTTAACACCATCAAATGGAAGACTCCCAAAAACTAATCCATAAATAATACATCCAATTGCCCAAACATCTTAAGAAGGTTAGATTTATTTTTAAGATTTCATAAGTTTTTCTGGAGCTAGATAAGATAAAGTACCTAAAACATTATCAATTTATTATTATTGTCCAATATAGTTCGAAACCCCAAAGTCAATAATTTTAATCTAACTTTTAAATTAAAAAATTACTTATTTAGAATTTTGAAATGTCAGCATGATATTTTCTAATTTCAAATCACAATGTACAATGTTTTTTTCATGACAATAAGCAATTGCATCTACTATTTATTTAGAATACAATTTTGCATCACTTTCAGATAATTTTGCTATAAGAATTTATATAGATTAATAATTACCATTAGCTTAGTTTATCAAAGAGCCACCATTCAAATATTCCATAACTAATGTAATCTCTTTTTAATTTTACATTAAATAACAATAATGCATTTTAACAATATTTTTATGATCTAAGTTCTTTAAAATTATGGATTCTTTATAAATTCCATCTAATTCTTAACCTAAGCAAGCTTAGTATTTAATTTTTTTTATTGCTACCAATTGTTTTGTGAATTTATTTTATCCTAATAATACTACTCCTTAACCACCTTCACCAATCTTTTTGATGATATCATACTTTTATTAGAGAAAACTCGAGTTTTACCTCAATTAACTCAACATAAAGAATATTCCTTTTTTTATATTAATTAATTCACATTCTTTAATCTCAATTCAGTCTACTTTAGAGTCTCTTATAAATTTCACATTTTTTCATCAAGCAATATGAATCATTTTCTTAATATCTGAGAATGTTATTTTTTGATTTAGTTAGATATACAAGTAATTACAATTCAAAGAAATTAGAGAGTGCAAGATTTAACTTATTTTTTGGAATATTAAATTTATTGATACTCATTTATTTTATTATTATTATTATAGAATTAACTATTGTCATTTTTATTTTATTTGAATTTTACATGGAATTTGAAATGATTATAAATTTAATCTCCTATCTATTTATTTATGGATTAGATGAAGATACTTTTAACTTTAGTTAGATGCATTAAGTTTAGTTTATAAACCATTTTTATGAAAAAGTTTATTAAATAATAAATTGCAATAATATCGAATTTAAATGTATAATATTTTATAAAAAATTTCATATAATAATTTTAAATTTCTTAAATTGTATAATTATTGTCAATCATATATATCTTGAAATTTATTTAATGATTTTAATTAAGACACATCTTTATATAATTAAATGTTTATTCCATTATCACTTATTTTAATTTAGCTTTCAGGAGAGTGCAATTTTAAATACATTTTTATAACCAGATTTTTATTTAAATTTTCTAATAGAATAAATGAATTAAGACAAATAATTTGAATGAATAAAATTTCTAATTTAGAATGTAAAATAATTCTTATTTTTGATCTTTGATCTGTTGTTGTTTTTCTGAGAGTGATTTATAATAATTGAATGATAAAATCTTAAGGCATATCTTTATAATGAATTGCATCAAATCGATTATCAGTTGTATCAAATTAAAGATTAATATCAATATATGCTTTTTAAAATAATGATATTATGGCTGTAAACAATTATTTAAAATCAATACAAGCTGTTTAAAAATATGTATAGGCCTAAGAGAATGAATTCGATATCTTATATTTTCCTTGAAAATATAAATGATGAAGTTTTAATTAATATAGTAATTGAATTCTAGAAGTTTCATTTTGTAAACTAAGATTAATTAATGTAGCTTGTTTTTTTAAGAAATTATAGACTAATTATTAATGTTAACCAATTAAATTAATTAGTTTATCTTTAGTAGATTATAAATATTATGCTCTTAATTTAGATTATTCTAATACAATTAGAAAATTAGAATCTAAATGATAAAATTCTGCTAGAAGAATATTAGTTTCCTCAAAATCAACAGAATCATATTAATTTGGTCTAAGTGTGTACTGATTTAAATCAAAAAAATTGGTTTGTTTTTCAATTCGGTTCAGTATAAATTATTCAATAGTTACATTAGAAATTTGTTGGAGTCTAAAAAATTATCTAAAATTATCTTCTTATTAGAATTCTTATTTACAATAAGGAAATCTATCAATTTTATTTGAATTTTTGTATTTAAAGCACATTCTATTGTGATCAAATGAGAATAGAACAAATGGATCATTAATTACTGAAGGCAATAATTAATCTAAATAAAATATGGATTATACGCCAATCGTTTCCTTAATTGTTTCTTAAAAATAATAGTCTTCTTTGTTTTTCTATAGTGTAGAGTACAGATATAAAACAAATTTAACATAAAATAGATAATATTATAGAACAACTATCGGTTTAGCCATCAAAAAGACCTGCAATTAATAATTTGAATGTAGTTTAAAAGAAAGAGTTGATGGCAGCTAATTTAAAATCAATAATAAGGAGTATTGTTGTATGTGTAATGGCTAAATTACTACCAAGAATAAATTAATTAGTTCCTTATTAATCATAAACTTAATGTAAAACTAGTAAATTATTGATAAAAACCATACAAAATATGGTACCAGATGAACAGAATTTAAAAATTAAAATGGACATCAATATTATCAATGATAAGATTGCTGATGTAATTAATATGCCCACAACGTTTTCTTATTGAGCAAAACTTATTAATCTTATTAGTGTTATAACAAAAGATAATAAGGCTATTTTCTTAAAGGTATCATAACAATGTTGTTCTTTTTCTTTTTGATACAAAGTTTCTAAATGGTGCTATTTAAAGGTTTGTGTAAATTTATTCATTGTTTAATTAATGAGATGAGAATATCTAAATGAATAGTTAATATATATATCTAAGATATAATAATAAAGTAATTATTTGATGATTATTAATTATCTTTATAGTTTAATAAATGAGTCTGAATAATAATCAGAGATGGTGATTTGAAGATAAGTATTTTAGTGTTTAATTTAAAAATCAAATAATGATGAAAAATGTAAGAAGTAGAAATGATGATGAATAGTAAAAAGTTTAGAAATGGAAGATAATTGATTAAGATAAAAAAGATAAGAAAAATTTGATTAATAATTAAACAAAATTAATAATTTATAAGGGGAGAAATAAAATAAATAAATTAATTATTTATATATAAAATAAATAATGTCAAGAGTGAAGTAATCATTATGTAAGAATAATAAATATAATGATTAGATGCATAGCCATCTCCAAGTACAGGAAGAATTTAAAAGATTTCTGAGAAATTATCAACAATATAGATAGGAGTAGAGAATGAGAGATTTTAGAGATTGGAATAAGCTGAATAACGTATTTAATAGGCTGAGGATGCATTTAATGAATTTTAAGAATAGATTTTTACAAAGCTTAATGGATTAAGAGATTAAGTAAATAATAGATAAGATAGGTTAACAGTTAGGTAAATTATAGAAGTAGGTGGAAGATGATAGATAGGCAAAAGAATAAGCAATAGATGCAAAGAATAGAGATGTATAGGCATTGACAAAGAAGTTTGAGAATGCAATAGAGAATGAATAATAAGGAAAGAAGGAAGGAGAAGCAAAGATACTTAGATTGACAGAAGATAAATCAGCATTATTAAGGACAGAAGTATAGAAGGAGACAGCATAAAGAGTAGATGCAATTGAAGGAATTCATTAAGGATTGTAAAATGATTTACCAAAGATTTAAGAAGCTATTAGAGAAGAAGCTAATGAAAGAGATGAATCAGATTAAAATGTATTAATTATTAAATAAATAATATAGGTAATGAAATCAATCACAGATGAATTAGTTAAATTAAGTAATTTAATTAATGTTGAGAAGAGGAATAGAGATGAAAGTGAATAATCAATATTTGAGATGTTAAAAGATATTGTAAATAGGGTGAAGGTTGAATTAGATTAAGAAAAGAGAAGTAGAGAATAATCAGAAGAACATCTACTTAGTTTATTGGAAGATACATGTAATAAATTAAGTATTGCAGCAAATTTATGAAGAATTTGATATATTAATATAACATTAATATATATATTTAAATGGTTTTAATTCATTATAAGAAAACACAATTAAATCAATTCTTATATGAATGTAATAAACGATCTTGTTGAAAGTAATTATTACCTAATATTACTTTAGTAAATAATATGAGGATTCTTCTACATCCTTTAGTTGTGCTAGTAAGATCTAGCTACACATAATATATTAATTATTTCATGATGGTTTATCGGAACATTAAAACCTATAGATACAAGAGGATTATCTTAATAATCTCTTATTGATGCACTTATTAAAACTATGGCATCTTATGGGCAGTTACTTACTAATTAATATTACCTCGTTAAAGTCAATAAATTTAGTTGATTTAAAATAATGTTTAACGTATGATTATATGTTAGCCTGGATAACATTGATTACCAGCTAGAGAAATCTTAGAAGGTTAATATCATACTTAACCTACATTCAAAGAATAATATGATTTCTTAGATGAATAATAAACATCTTTATGCGAGACAGGTTAAGGTGAATTATTATTATATTTTATTAAAAAATTATCTAAACTAAAATTTTAATATTTCTCATTCTATTTTTTATTAGATTGTTATATTATAAAAAATTGGAGCAGAAACACCTTTTAGTGTTGATGCTGAAACATAAAAAAATAAAAACATTCTATTATACAAAATAAGAAGAATAAAAAGGAGACATTTTACATTATACTATTTTAGGATTTAGAAGTTGATGCTGAAAATTAATATCTAAATCTTAATATAATCCTAAATAATTGAAATTATAACTAATGGGAGATAATGATAAAATTTCATAATATATAAAAAGTTAATTAATTATTTTATTAATTTATGAAGCAAATATTATAAGAAACTTAAAAGAGGTTCAATCTTATTTAACTTAAAATCATTGAAATTATGACTTAAGCTAAACAATGAATACTATAGCAAAATTAATATTGATGAAACTTTGAGAGCCATTTAATTAATTTAAAATATGCACTTTATTGAACTGATAAATATATTTTTAAAAAAATTAAAACAATAAGGCACCAAAATTAAACAAATCTATAATCTCTATTGTTAAATAACTATTATTAATAATAATTTGGACAACGAACAAATAGTTACATAAGAATAAAGTATTTCTATTTAAATTATCAACATAGTGGATTCTTTTTTTATTTTAAGAATCAACTTCAATAAAATTATGATTGTTATCTATTCTATATTCTTACAATATAGGCTCATAATAGAATATTGGTTATTTATAAAATTTTGTTTAATAATCATTATTAGTTTAAATGAAAAGACAACATTCTGATTGTTTTGAGACTTCCTAAACCGAATGGATAGTATAAAGAATAGATAATTACCTAATTATCACAATATTACTAAGCATGGCAAATCAAACAGAAAAATCGCTATTAGATTTAATTGCTTACTATTCTAATATTATCAACTAAATGAGCTAATTTAAAATAGTTTCTTATGAAAATTAGTAGGCCAACGAGCTGTAAAATCAATTAGCAATAATCAGAAATCATTTAAATCAAGAATATTAAGTTTAAAATCCGCAATAATTCATTTCTGAATGGTTGAAAATGAAATAGGCAGCTCCTTTTTTGGTTACATTCTAAATAGCAGAGAATGAAAAAAACTTAATCTAATCTAAAGTAAAACAAGTTGAGGAAATTGTTAGATTTTTTAATATAGCATTTTAAAATTCTAATTTAGAGGACCTTTATGATAAAACAATTCTATTCCTAAAGACTTTAGATAAGGTTTGATGTATACATTTTTGTTCTAACTTGTTCTAACATTTAAAATTCACTATTTTAACATTTTATTTCTTTCTATAAAAATATATATGTAATCTTCAAATATGTCCATAAAACTAAATATTCATCTATATAGTATATAAGACTCTAAATCAAATTTTATCGTAAAGCTTCTAAATTAATTGATATGTTGACCAACTTATGAATAATCTTTTAAGATTTGTAATTGATTCCAAAAAAAAAGATTATTTCCTTCCTGTTTATCCTTAATTAAATTAGAGAGAGGAAGTTTGAATTCCTATTCCTAAATGTTTTTATTCATTTATTTCCTAATACAAAAAAGCATGATAAAAATCAAAACAATCTTACATATTAAGCTAATGATTGTATTTCTTTTGATGCTTTTATATATCAACAAGGTGTTTGGATATATGAAAATATGATCGATATTGCCAGAAATCCAAAAAAATTTTAATAGATAATAATTTTATAAAGTAGAAAGATTAAATTCGTCTCCTTAGATTTAAAAAGGGTATATTTAAGAACAATAAGAACAAATAAGTAATTAAAATTAATCAGAGGTCGATTTGAAATGAATAATAAGGCAATATTCAGTATATATTTAAAAAGCAATGATTGAAAATAGTATTATTACAGAAGGAAAGGAGATAATTCATAATAATGAAAATAGAAACTTAGATGGAGATATATTTGAAAAAGTCTACTAATAAGAGGACATAAAAGAGCAATTATCTATTGATGAAATTTAAATGTAAATGTATAAAAGAAAGAAGAGGAAAAACAAAAAAAAGATTAGGGAGGAGAAGGAATATAAGGGATAATTAAAAAATGAAAGAAAAATGAATAAGAAATATATGAATAAGGAGAATAAAAATAAATAGCATCAAGAAATTTAAAAATAAGCATTTTAAAGGAAATAAACTTCAATGAATTTAAAAATCACTAGATTAAAATTAAACTAATAATAATATAGTTCTCAATTATAAAATTCTTTTGGGAAGATTATAATCTTAAATAACTTTTTAAGTTTAAAAAATTATTTAGAATTCTATAAATATAGATGAATAAAAATAGTAGTTGATTTAAAAGTAATATATAGCATCATTTTATTAAAACACAAGTTTATTTATATATAAATATATGGATTAGTAAATTATATGCTCATAAGAATTATTTCATTAATTTTTAATTAAATTAGTCATTTTATTCTTATAAGTCGTATTTAGTAGGATATCAGGAATTAATAAATTAAAAAATAAATAACAATAATAAGGTGTTGAGATATTGAAATAAGAAAAGGATTTGAAGAAGAATTCGTTCAAGTTTGTTAGGATAAAAGCATAAGAATTTATGGAATCTGTAAATGATTATATTTATGAATTAAAATAAATTTTAATCTGATTCTGGAGGCACAAAAACAAAAGTTTCTGAAGAAGAAAACTTTCTGCTTGTCATGAATTAAGTCTTAGATAGACACAAATCAATAGCTGCAAAGAATAATGAAAGTTAACTTCTTTAGAATGCTCTTAAAGCTTTACAATAAGAATTAAATGAAGCAGAATCTAAGAATCCTGGATCAGCAAAATAAATATTAGATTCTATTTTCAATAATTGAATAATAAGATTATAAAATAATTTTGAATTAATCCATCTATAAAACAGTCATTAATCTTTTTTGTAATTCAAACCATAGAATTCTTAATCAAATTTCTTTAAAGCTTAAGTATTTGTTATAGCTTAAGGTTCACTTTCCTCAATTTCTTTAATAATGATATTATTTATGATTACTTTCATCTAAAATTTAGGGATTAAAATTTGATAAATCAGTGGCAGATTATAAATCTGGAATAATAGGTGCTTAAATCTAAAAATGATTGAGATATATATAAATACTTCTTTAGCTATGAGTTTTTAGAAATCAATTCGTTTAAACCATGGATGTTTTTTAATTTCTTCAGCATCTCCTTTATTACCAAGACGTTCATTAGGTTTTTTCTTTAATAAGCTAGTAAGTAGACTTTTACACTCTTAGGTAATAAGTAGAGTGGATGGGAATTTCAATTCAGATTCTACTATATTTCTAAACATTTGATTTCTGTTTTCTGAAAAAAATGGAGTTTTACCGCATAACATTTCATAACTTGAATTTTAGAATGGTAATTGATTACATAAGGATTCCCAAACACCACCAATCAGCTGTAAATGCATGTCCTTATTAAGTGATAACTTCAGGTGCTAAGTATTCTGGTGTTCCTACAATTGATTATGTAACTTATCCTTTAGATAAGAATTTAGCTAATCCATAATCAGTTAATGCAATATATCCTTTTTCATCCATTAGAATATTTTCTGGTTTCAAATCTCTATAGATAATTCCTTATTTATGCAAATATTCTAATGCTAATAAAACTTATGATGAATAGAATAAAGCAAAGTCTTCATTAAATTTATTTATTTTCTATAAATGAGTATACAATTCTCCACCTCTATTTGTGTTAATAGCATTATTTTTACATCATAAATTTCATCACAAAATAAACACATTCTTATGTAATAAATGCATATTCTAATGACACTAGAAATGGATGTTATGTTTATTCTAAGATCTTTCTTTCAGTTTTCAAATATTCTATATGATCTCTTGATATAATATCTTCTTTTCTTAAACTTTTTATTGCAAAAATTTCTTTAGTATCTTTCTTCTCACATAACATTACTTTTCCAAATGCTCCTCTACCTAACATTTTGATTAATGTAAAATCTTCAATGCTAATTTCAGGAGTATTAGATTTCTGATACAATGTTTAAACATTTCCTCTTTATGTTTGCATTGCCATTTTTACTTCATCAACTGTCATTTCATCTCCTTATTTTGGTAATTATCTTCTGATATTCTTTTTAATATCATAATTAGTAGTGGTATATTAACTTAAATTTAATTCCTCAATGAAGAAACATTTAATTTTCTTTAAGTTGTGTTTGACATACACTTCACATAATGTTTATATTATTAATGCTAATCTAAATTATAGATTACAATAAATACTAATCATCTACTTAATATCTTTAATCATATTCAGTTGGAATATGTAGGATAAATTCTTTCACTATTTTAGAAACAGTAATTCCAGTAATAGCTGATAATGCTATTTTTCTTTTAATTCTTGATCTAAATAATTCATTAGTATTTATTTACTTTGATACTAAATTTTAAAAGAAGTTCTTTACTGCACTTCCTTCTGCTGGTGATATATTATAAATATTCTTATTTGTGATAGCCTATTCACAATATCACTATAATATATTTACTATCACTCTTGATAACTTTTTATTTTATCCTGTAAACTTAATAACTTTCATAGTCAAAACTATCGTCTCTCCTCCTTCTAATTATTCTCTCAACTTCTTATCATTCATTACTTATTCATAATCCATTTCTTTAATAAATTATTTAATAACATCGATAGATATACAAATCCAAAAAAATAGCCAATTGGGGGAATTGAACCCCCGACCCTTTGCTTACGAGGCAAATGCTCTAACCACTGAGCTAAACCGGCATCATTAAATACTACATTTCTTTAATATATAAATCATAATTCATCATGCATCTTCTTTACATATTATATAAACTTATGTTCGAATTGCATTGCTGCATAATCCAATTAAGTCTCACTTATTCCTTTATAATTATCTATTCCATTCTCTAAAATATCTATAAATCTCTCTTATTCTCCCTAATAATCTTCTGTCACAAATGCTATCTTCACAGTTGTACCTAATTTATTATCTATCTTTACTCTTACCTTTCTTTACCTCAGGCTTTACTGTCAAAACTACACTCTTATATTAATCCTCATTTATTATCACTTAAGGTACAAAATTCTAAAGACTTAAACCAACTGCATTTCCATTCATTCCAAATTATAAAAAAAAATCTGTCTCAGGAAACAATTCCTTTAAATCTAACACATTATTTTTCATATTTACTTTTAGCTTTCGATCTCTCATGATATATTACAAATTGATTATATTTCTCTGAATAACACAATACTCCATCAAATTCTTTATAATATCCATCCAATACAGTTGCAACTTATACTTTTACTTTCTACAATCCTGCTTCCTTTTAATCGCAATAACCAAAAACGAATAATGCAAACAACACTATTAAACTCATTATTATTAATCAAATTTTTTTCATTATTTTTATTCTTAAATATTTATATCTCTACACGTAAGCATGTTTCAATTATTAATTTTTTTTAATTTTATTATCAATCTCCTTACATTACTAATCAAATAACACTATTCAATATTAATATTTATTAAATGCTCTTACAAATAAATATTCTTCACTTATTTTAATCTAACTAAATAATTTACAAATTTTAAATTTACTATTATATATTTTATAAATTGTACATAGTAAAGAAATATAATTTATGATATCTAGCATCTCTTTTTTAATTTTATTTTACAATTTAATTATTATAGATATCAAAATATATTTATTAAAAATTACAACCTGTAAAGAATGATCAAAATTCAAATTTAAGAGACTTAAATATTTTACTTAAAAATTAATCCAACATAATTATCTGATACATTTTTATATAATAATAGAATTTAATTTAAAGCAATTGGTTCATTATTACTTATTTCGTTAACAAAAATCTTGAAAAAGAAACAACAATGAAGTCAAAATCTTATGTATAATATGATGTATATTTCAATTTTTTTAATTTCTTCTTAATCATGCTCTAATCTCTGTATTTTTAATATAAGGCCATAAATACTATTTGAATAAATTTTAATTCATATATATTATATAAAATTTGCCTTTTACTATAAACTAACTTCTAAAAATGTTCAGCTCTTCTATATCTTACCCTATATTTCATCATTCACTCTGTAAAATAATTAAATACATCATTCAGAAATTCCCTTAAGAAGTTTTCAACTTAATGTTTTTCACTTATTGAAAAGTAAAAATATATTTTAATCTATTAAATTATCCTAAATAATTTTAGGATTGAAGCTATAATCTATCTTCTATAAATCAATATCAAATATTATGCTATTATTAATAATTAGATTCATTATTGCAAATAGTTTATTTCTTATTTTCTAGAAAAAAAACTCATTTTAATAATTACTCATTTAAATCATTAGTTATTTTTGTTAAAAACTCGATTTTTTTCATAAACTTAAATATTCAATTTATTTTAGCACTTAAAGAAACTTTTTCATCCTTTTGTGAAAATGCTTAAAAATCTTTTAAGTAAAAATATCTCAATGCTTTATAAAAATCTTATCTATTTTCAAACTTCTTATAAAATTATTAGAACACATCTAATTTATTAAAATAGATTAAACTTTTAATAAATAAAAATTTTTTGCACAAAATAAAAATTAAAAATTTTAAATTTAATTTATAAATTTACAAAGATTTCAAAGAAATTTTAACTTGATTTAGGATTCTCAATTTCAACCTTTCTTACAAGAGTATATAAAATATACCTTATTTATTGAGTGTTATGTTATTTATATTAGAGAGTTGCTTTATCCAAGAATTTTTAATTCAAAAAAAAGTAATTTCATATTTCCANTGTAAAGAATGATCAAAATTCAAATTTAAGAGACTTAAATATTTTACTTAAAAATTAATCCAACATAATTATCTGATACATTTTTATATAATAATAGAATTTAATTTAAAGCAATTGGTTCATTATTACTTATTTCGTTAACAAAAATCTTGAAAAAGAAACAACAATGAAGTCAAAATCTTATGTATAATATGATGTATATTTCAATTTTTTTAATTTCTTCTTAATCATGCTCTAATCTCTGTATTTTTAATATAAGGCCATAAATACTATTTGAATAAATTTTAATTCATATATATTATATAAAATTTGCCTTTTACTATAAACTAACTTCTAAAAATGTTCAGCTCTTCTATATCTTACCCTATATTTCATCATTCACTCTGTAAAATAATTAAATACATCATTCAGAAATTCCCTTAAGAAGTTTTCAACTTAATGTTTTTCACTTATTGAAAAGTAAAAATATATTTTAATCTATTAAATTATCCTAAATAATTTTAGGATTGAAGCTATAATCTATCTTCTATAAATCAATATCAAATATTATGCTATTATTAATAATTAGATTCATTATTGCAAATAGTTTATTTCTTATTTTCTAGAAAAAAAACTCATTTTAATAATTACTCATTTAAATCATTAGTTATTTTTGTTAAAAACTCGATTTTTTTCATAAACTTAAATATTCAATTTATTTTAGCACTTAAAGAAACTTTTTCATCCTTTTGTGAAAATGCTTAAAAATCTTTTAAGTAAAAATATCTCAATGCTTTATAAAAATCTTATCTATTTTCAAACTTCTTATAAAATTATTAGAACACATCTAATTTATTAAAATAGATTAAACTTTTAATAAATAAAAATTTTTTGCACAAAATAAAAATTAAAAATTTTAAATTTAATTTATAAATTTACAAAGATTTCAAAGAAATTTTAACTTGATTTAGGATTCTCAATTTCAACCTTTCTTACAAGAGTATATAAAATATACCTTATTTATTGAGTGTTATGTTATTTATATTAGAGAGTTGCTTTATCCAAGAATTTTTAATTCAAAAAAAAGTAATTTCATATTTCCAAAAATGAATCGAAAGCTACTATTTTGTTTGATTGTTTTTCATCATACTAAATTATTATTTTGATCCATTAGATGTGATTACAAATTATTTATAAATTGCAAATAAAGAATAATTGTAAAAATTAATAAATTTTTAAATACATTTTTTTATTCCTTTTTAGAATAAATTATTCATAAAATTTTAAGTATAATACAGACACATAAATTTCACAATAAATTATGAAGATTTTGCTAATTAATTTCTCTACCAGTAAAAGGTAGAAACGGAAACTTCTCAAAGCAAATATCAATACCTAATTATATATATCACAATTTTTACTATAATTTGTTATATCTCTTAATTCTACGAATCTCATTAAATACTCTTTATTTAACTTAAAAAATTAGAGAATTATTTTGCCATTAAATTTTCCAGAAAATTTTAGTAAGATCCTATCTTCTTTCAGAAAAGAATAACTCAATCTAATCAAGCAAGTATTAGTATTTGAGAATATTTTAAATAAAACTAAACTTAAGATGTCTTGATTTGTTTTTAATATTATTGAAGAAGGTAAATTGAACATTACAATTAGGCTAGGAAAATATTTGACTTGCTCTGAAATGATACTCCAAAGACTGATTTCTTATATTTTTGTTTCCCAATTACTTTATAGATTATCATAGATTTCAATTAATCGAATCTTTTTTAAAAAATTAACATATGATGGTTTAGATTTATATTTCTTTTTTAAACATTTTAATAATGTTAATAAGTACTAAGAAATAACTTTGTTACTACAATTTTCTGATTTGTTAGTTAGCCTTAACTTAGGTTAATGAAAAACTAATAAAATAGTTGGTTGGTTTGAGAAGAATATAGAAAATTCTAATTTTATTTATTCTCTTTGATATTTAAGGAATATCTCTTATCTATAAAGATCCATTCTATTTTTCTGATATTATTTCATCTAAAAATATATATAATTATTTAAAGATTGCTTTTAATATTAAGCTTCTTTTAGAAAATTAAAAATTTATTCTTTATTTTCTAATCCTTTTATAGCATTATTTGCCATCATATATTCAAACTAAAAAGAATTTTCATTAAAATTTATTATGATATAACATTCCTTGTTTATCAATTATTTTAATATTCTTTCCCATTGTCTATCTCTTTATATTAACATAAATTATGCTCTCATTGCTTCATTGTATTTGTAATGAAAAAATAAATAAAAAATAGAAACAATTATGAGATTTGTAATAGGATATAAGCTTAGTGCCTATGCTTTATACAAAACGAAAAATATTCTTAGAATCGTTATTGAGAAAACTTATAATAATGCTTCTGGAAACTCATTTCCCATTATAATGATAAAACAAGATCCCATCTGATTAGCTCCTTTTAAATGTGAAACAGCTGCATCAACTTCTTCATCATATATATAAAAAAAAAGGGTCAAAGCATGATTTGCAATTACTGAAAGTATTCTTAAACTTAAAGTGCTTCTAGTTAGAAATATAACTAATAAAACAAAAAGTATTAGCATTAATAGGTTTGGATAAAAACTTTTTAGATCGCTACTTATTAAAAATGTTAAGCATCTGAAAAAGAATGCAGCTATATATCCTTTTGTAATAATATTAAAATGCTTAATTCTTATTTGCGACAGTGATTCATTCTAATAAAGCGCCTCAATTTTTTTGTCTATGAAAAACAAAGTAAATTTATTCATTTTAATATAATTATGAATTCTCTAAAATAAAGATTCTTCATCTTTTTTTAAAAATAATTAAATATAAAAAGAACCTTTCAAATAAATAAAGGAATGTTTTCACAATTTATTAAAAAAAATTATTATTGATTAAATTATCGTTTTGCAAGAAATGTAATTTCCATAAGAGCTTTTTTAATTTAGTAAAACTTGAAATGGAACCTGTAATTTTAAATAGGAAGTTTAAAAAGGGGAATATATTGATGAAAATTTAGATATATATAAAAATTAGATTATATTAAGGTTAGAATAAAAATGAAAAAAAAAATAAATTTTAATATCAAATGATGAAAACATTAGATTGTTCATGAATGCTAGATTTCTATTTATAAATATAATATTACTTTTAATTTTGATTTAAATTTAAGGGTTGATTTGGCATCTTAAAAATGCTTAGAATCCTGATTAGGGCGATTAATGAGATCACAATCTTATTCTTTACTATTTGGACTTATCATTCTTTAACTTCTAGTTCTATTAAGAAGATGTTTTTCTGAAATAATAGTTTTAAGTTCTCTTTAAGCAACTTATTTTTCTTTTTCAGCAAGTAATCTAAATCTTACATCCAATTCTCTACATGATCTATCAAGTGTTAAGTTAATATCAGAACTAGATTAATCAGTAGCAAAGTATTCTTCTTCATCAATTCTTTGACTTTCGAATCTTGATGTTTAAATAGCATCTTCTTAAGATTTTTGGAGTGTGAAATTGAATTATTCATCAAAATTACTTATGGCATTATATTTTGATAGAGGTAAATCTCTAACAAAAGTGGAATCAAAAGAAAAGAGTTATGGATTTTATTTATTTTTAGCTTTAGGTGAATCTTGTTTATGTTCTATTTGATTATAAACAAATTATTAAAGTAATGCAAAATCTAATTCAATATTATTTTATTGAAGTTGTTTTTATGATGTAAGATGATTAACAGACATAGATCTTTTTTTAATAGAATCATTTTAAAAGTAAAGTTCATGATATTATTTATAAGGTAATTCTTATTTTGATTTTTTAGGTGTAATAGGTTCTAATTATCCATTTAATTGTTTTTCAGAGGCAGTAAGAATATCATAAAGATCATTGAACTATTAAGTAATTAAGAAATCAAAGAAAGACATATTAGGATTTTATGCTGCAAGATCAAATAATTCAATTTTAAATTCTTTGATTGCTTTGATAATTTCAATTATTATATTTTATTATGGTGGATTGGAATCTATTATAGGATTTTCAATATTCTAGCCTTAAAGAGCATGAATAATGAATTAAAATGTAAAGGTATATAGTTTTTATCTAAAATTATTATCTGATTTTCTATTTTTTAGTATTAGTATAAATGTACATTTAGATTTGTAAAAATGTGGATACGCATTTAGCTAATTCTTCAATTAGATGAGTAATGGAAGTTAAATCACTAGTTTTAACAGAGGAGAGTAGACTACATTAACTAAAACTCAATTTCATTTAAATTTAAATAATGAAATAATAAAAGAGTCTGTTAATGGAAGTGAGATTGTAATAAAGTATTTTATGTATATGAATTAGTGTTATAATTCTAGTAAATTAATATTAAAATCTGTTAAAAATATAGTTGTTAATAATGAAATAAGACTCTTTGGCAGTAAGTGTATTAATTTTTGATTAGGAAGAATTACTAAATCAAAAATCCAATAGGTCGTGGAGCAGGTAGTTTTGTATGTAAAATTGTGAACCGTTTAAGTAAAATTGAGATGGCTGCTAAGATCATATAGAAAACAAAATCGAATGCGCAAAAAATATAAAATGAGGTTGCTATTCATTTAGAATTACGCCATAAGAATATAGTGTTAATGACAGATATTTTAGAGGATGCAGATAACAGTTATCTAATAATGGAATTATGTGACTCAGATATTTATTAGTTAATTAAAAAAGAACAATTTTCTGAATAATAAATAAGATATTATGGTAAATAATTAGCAGAGGGATTATAATATTTACATTCTCATAATATAATACATAGAGATATTAAATTAGGTAATTTATTAGTTCAGAATAATATTCTTAAAATTGCTGATTTTGGATTAGCAGTGAAATTAAATAATGATGAAGAGGAGAGAAGTACTTTATGCGGAACTCCAAATTATATTAGTCCTGAAATCTTAAATTAATAACCATATGGTAAAAAAGTAGATTTATGGAGTATGGGATGTTGTTTATATGCAATGGCTACAGGACATGGACCATTTGAAGAAAAGAATACCCCATTAAATGAAGTTTTAAGGAGAGTTAAAATTGGTGATTTTGATTTGCCTAATAATTTCACAGAAGTATTTAAAGATTTACTTATTAATCTATTAAATTTAGATGCTGATTAAAGATATTCTATTGAATAAATTATTAAACACCCCTTTTTTATTGAATCTATTCCTCCTAGAATTTAAAGTAGAAATCAATCAAGTTCATAAATTAAATAACTTCTTGATTTAAGTCCTTTTGTTAAATAATAACATAGATCTACTTGTTCTATGATTGGATTAGAAAAATAATAAATTGTAGCTTCTTTTCTATTAAAATAATAATAATTAGGTGGTAAAAAACTTTTATTTGGTTTAACTACTAATTGTAAAGGTGGATTAAAATAAAATTATCATCTAGAAAATGTTCCTAGATTCTTTTTACCTTAAGAATCTCATTCTAATAATACTAGTTGTAATCATCATAATAAAGAAAATATTTAAAAAGAAAATTCTAATAATGAAAATATAAGAGATAATAGTGTCAAATTAACTAAATAGAATTCTTCTGTTATTAATATATATAATGAATCACCTATTAAATTAGGAGATTTAAAATAATGTAAATTATAAACTAAAAATGGTTTATTATAAATACATGAAGATGGTAGATTTGAAATGGATGTATGTAATAAAGATCTAAATTTTATAATCTAAACAAATGGATTAGAAGTATTTATTATATAAATTATTAGATTCTAGTTCAAAAGAAAGGATAAAAACCAAAATAATATCAATTAAATGAATTACCTTAAAAATTATAGAAATTTTATACTTATTCTAAATAAGTTTGTAATGCTATTAGAGAAAGAAATCAAAAACATAAAATTAATAATGAACATGGAAATTTTGCTTTAAAAAATACTAAATTAGGATAATGTTATGAAGGATACATAGCTTAATCTAAAATTAAAGTATTATTTTATTATGATTAGATTTAACATGTATTAAATTCGGATACAATAAAATTGTAATTATAAAATGGATCATTGAAATCTATAAATATTAATGAATTTTAATAGTTATCAAGTTAGGCTAGAATGGATCCTAATGAAGTTTACTCAATAAAAATAGCCTTGAAATATTTAGCTCAATGTTAATAATAATGATATATTAGTTAATATTTATTTTAATAATTATTCACCAACCATAAGTTGCTTTCATTTTATCTTTTTTATCTTTAAATTCTTATTTTCTTTATTCGTAACCTTCCTACTTTAAGGCAGCTTAATAATTAAGTGAATCAATATGATTTTTCTCTCTTTTTAATTAATTGACATCTGTTGGTACTTTTAAAAATGCTTCTTATTTTTATTTCATTTTTTCTCTTTCCATTCCCCAATACTTCTCGTTGGTACCTTATAAATTAATAATTTATGAATTGTCTTCTCCTATTTCATAAGTAACATTAACAATTCCTTTTTCATTTATAGTTTTTTAATCTTACATATAGACATCATCTTAATCAAACTCTTAAATCAATGCTTACTCTTCCTTTGTTAATTTTTTAATAGCAGTATTACTTAAAATTTCTGCTTCTTTAAAATTAATACCAGGAGGCATTGGAGGTAGACGCTTTTTCACAATTGTATTTAATTTCTATTCCAATTTATTCTTTGGTTATGGTAATAAGAGATGTAATTTTCCATTCTTTATCTCTTATCTCTAAATAGGAATTTCTTCCTTATCATCTGATTCAGATTACTAATCTACTAAAACAGCATTCTCATCATTTGTCTTTATTTTCTTAGACATTTTGTTTAGATGATCCAGTGTGATTGTTTTTGTTTTTGGTTTCTTCACTTCCTCAAGAGATTTAATAGAATCGCTATCAGAATCATAATCGACTAACTTTTAAATCATAACAATTATTCAACTATATATTCAACTAACATACGAGCATTCGATAGTAATGTAGTACGTGAAGTTATCTAAGTAACTAAATCTTCTTTCTCAGCATTTAGAATATTACTCACTTTCTTCTATTACTCACATAATGTTTCCAATTATTCTTATGGAACACTTAAATGCTTATAATTTCTAATTGTTAAATATTAATACTAGCCTAATAACTCCCATCTAAAACGTAAATGTTTATAATAACGATTCTTTACCATTGCCAATGTTTTGCCTCCAAAATGTCTATGAATCTTTTAAAACTTTGGACCATTATTCAATACTAATTATAATATCAATCTATCTTCCTCATCAGTGAACTTTTATCCTGATTTTTTACTATTTGATCCATCCATCCCTCTTCTCTTTTTTCTATGATAATCATATTCATTTTTCTTCTTCTATCTCTTCAATACTCCTAGTTTATTTTCTTAATCATTCTAAGATGATCCTTCTTCATTACTAACCATTCTAATCAAAAATTCACTAATTTTATTAATTATCAATTAATATTTGATACACATAAGGTTTTATTTTTAATAACTAATTAATGTACTAAACGATATGAATTCTAAAAAAATCTAATCAATAATATACAACATTCCAATTTATAAATTATTTTCAATCGCCTTTATTTTAATTATTAAATTTCCTATTCATATTTTATTCTATACTTGATTTCCTACACTCTTCTATTAATAAATGTCATTCATTATCAAAATTAAATCATTACAATTTTTACACACTTAAATTTTAATATAAAATATTTCCATTTTTTATAAACTATCGACAAGAAATAGAACTGTTATTTTATTTTTCCATGAGATTACATAAATTTATATTAAAATAATTATTGTTTCCAAATAAAAAATAATGAAAAAAAAAAAGCGCATTATAATTTAAGAGATCATGTATAATTATAATTATTAATAATCATATATAGATTAATATATTCTTCTTTCTAATTGATCTTTTTTTAAGCTAAATCTTTCGAATAAAAGAAGTTTAAATATGAATTTTTTTTTTTGCAGAAAAATTAATTGTTCAAAAGCTATAGAATTATAATTATATCTATTTAATATTTAAACTAAAAATTTTATTTTCTTATGATTTAATAAGAATAATTATCCATATTAGATGGGCTGAAATATATATATGATAAGTAGATACCTTTACCAGATAAAATATTAGAGAAATAAACAATTTTATTTTATTTTAATCTTACAGAAAATAATCAAATTTAAGAGCAATTAAAACAACTGGTAACAGAAGAAGAATCTTGGATTAATGGTTTCACAGGAAGCTTAAATACTGAATCCAAAAATAAAAACAAAGTATATTATTTTTATAATCTAATAATTAAATAAAATAACAATCTAGACATTAATATTAAAGAATTAATTAGGATAAGATTGTTTTTATAAAAATATATTTCTCTATTCAAAACTTGTCATTTTAAATTAATTTTTCATATGGATATTCAAGAAAATGATGAAACTTAACTGAAAGAAAAAATTTTGATAAAAGCTTATAATTTATTAGATGGATTTCGTTTGGAAATTTCTTATCTCATAATTTTAAATAGCTAAAACAATTTTCAATATATAAACATTATTTCAATGATATCAGATTCAAAAATAAATTCTTCTAAAATAGATTTTCTAGAAAGTCTAAAAAAAATAGATTAAACTATGTTTTCAAAGATAAATGATATTGATGAGTATAATTTTTTTTTTAAAAAAGAACACATAACAATAGGATTCAAATCTTAGCAGTATATCTAAGAGTAAATTAATGTAATTCTGAAATCATTTAACACTTAACTATAGTATCTCTAAAACAATTTATAATAATTATAGGAATATCCAATTGATAGTTAAAATGAAAATAAAAACTAAAATGTTAAAGACTATGATAAAAATTTAAAATTATTGATTAAGGAGATGAGATAAGTATTTAAAGGAAATCCTATTTTTTTGAATTTAGTAGACTTAATCCCTTAAATATTGAATAAGTATAAAGACATGATAATAGATAAATTTAAATAAATTTTTGAAACGAATAGATATTTGCAAGATTATTTGAATTCAAATGAAAAAGGTTTAATGTAGATAATGGAAAATTTTCAATTTGAATTTAGACTTAATGAATGTGATAAAGAAATTATGATATACTTTTCAGGGTATTATGATGAGGATGAATTGCAATAAACAATATTTAATATATAATATAAAATTGAATACTGGTATAAGTACTTTGATGAGCATAATCTTTAAAGTTTAACAATTATTAGGAGGTTATTAAAAGATGCAAATATTTTTAAAGAATTTAATGAAACAATTGTATTTGTAGTTGGACTAACAAAAGTTGGAAAGAGTACCTTCATAAATATATTGGATAATCCAGAAAATATTATTGTAACGAAAGATAGAAAATTCGATGTAAATAATTAAAACAACTAATTTAAAATTTCGCATGAAAATAATAGTGAAACTTAGAAACTTGAATATAAAAAAATTAATGATTACATCTTAGTAGATACCCCTGGGATTTTTGATACTAATGAAGACAATAGAATTTATAATCTTATCAATATTTTCAAATCAATAAAAACCTCAAAAAAGTTCATAATTGTTGTGTTAATTGACGGAGAGAAACTACTTGAAAGTAAAAACGATTTGATAACAACAATTTAAAATATTGGTTCAATGCTCCCTGATGAAATTATCTATTCAGCTTTGAATTCTATTATACTTCCTGTTTTCACAAAATTAAAGAATAAATCTACTCTGGAAGAAATTAAAAAGAATTGGTAATCTTAAACTATGTAATTTATTAATAATGACAAACTTTAAAAATTTTTAAAATCTATTAAAGAATAAATTGATAATGGCGATTATTTATAAATTTATGATGTTTAATTCTATTCCTAAAGTAACCTTGAAAAAATAAAGCAAGAAAGAGATAAATTTTAATAGGAAGGAAATGAATATTTTATAAAAGATAAAATAAATGAATGTATGGAAAATATTCAAAAAGTTTAAGAATTAAATCTTCAGATATAATAAATAGAAAATAATGAAGAAATTTATACTACAATCCTGATCTTGAAAAATTTAAAAATATTAAAAGAGAGGTTTTCGAAAAATGTTCAATATTAAAAGATAAACAAAATAATATTTAGAGGATATAACTGGATTTTAAATTAGAAATACCAGATAATTAAAAGACTCATTTTGATAGGATTATACGTAATCGGAAATAGGTTTTAGAGCATGCTTTAAATGAAATTTTTTTATAAATCATCAATAAAACTTTATATGATAAAACTATAGATATTCAACATAAATAAGAAAAAATAGAAAAATTACAGTTATATTTTAAATCATTCTAAATTTTTAATTGTTCTTTACAAAAAATAGATATAGATTTAATAAGATATTTCGGTATAGCACCTCTTCATTATTATTTTACTAATTAAAAGGAATAAAAATATCCTTTTGATAATTTAATTAATTACTTAAATTAAATTTAGGAAGAATTTCCTTCTAATTATATTGAAGAACAAATTAAGTTAATTAAAGACTTTAAAGAATTATAGACTTCTTGTAAATAATAAAATGTATCCTCTGTAACTATAGAAAACTTTATTAAGGAATTATAGATTTTATCAAAAGCGTGCAGTGATAATAATTATACATACGATCAATTATCAAATTAGGTTTCTAATTTTATAAAATCTGATCATTTAGAGCATATCCTTTTATTTTGGTCTTTTTTTTTTTTTACAGTCAATATCACTCTTCCTTCTTTGATTGTTTCTGGATGTTATAAATGGGTTCATAAAAACCTGATAATAAATTAAGAAGAAGAGAAGTTTAGATAATTATAGTTAAAATGGGTTTAAATTTCATATAAGTTATAAAAAGGGGAATGATTAAAGTAAAGTCTTGGTACTTGAAAATAATAATTTATATTGCATTAAAATTCTAATATATATTTTTATTTTAGATAATTTAATTATTTTTATTTTAATGAATAAATTAAAAAGTAATGTTATTAGAAGCATTCCAAACTTACATTAAGAAAGTAAGGTTGAGTATGGTAAAATATTAAGTGCAATAAAGCCAAATGAATTTTAAGAACCAAAAACAGCTAAATATATGTAATTGGATCTGAAAAATAAACTTAATTCATAATTTAGAGAAAATGTTACGAGTTTAAGTTCAGAAAGATAATAACCAAAAAAGATAAAGAAAATAGATGGAAAAGTGGCAACAATTGTTGAATTGATCAAATAAGATTTGCTTCCTATGTTGAATATTCAAAATGATAGAATTGAAAAATTAGAAAGAAGATTTAAATTAAAGAACGATTCAGAAGGTGATTGTGATTTACGTAAGACTTCCATAATATCTGATAAAAAATCAAATTCGGTTGTAGAAAATGAAGTCCAGAATTTATCCGTTAGTGTTGATGAAATAAAAAAAAATTTATCACATCTTGATAATTTTGTTAAATATCAATTTATAAAGGGTAAATGCTAGTCTTAAGAAGTGCCAAACAACAAAAATAAAAGTTTAATATCATAAATCTAATCTAAAGTTAATACAGAAATAATGTAATAAAAAATTGAGTCTTAAGAGACAATCAAATAAATACAAGAATATATATCTGTTTAGTTATAAGAAATAAAAGATTGGATTAATACTATATCAATTGATTAATAGAAAGAAATAGAGATTAAACAAAATCAAATGGAAACACAATTTTATTAATTTTTATATTAACCATTAGAAGTGTTAAGATAAATCTAAACAAACTAAAATGATATTTAGATTTAAATAAAGTAATTGGAATCTGTTTTGAATTCTAATGTATTTTTTAAAAAAGATTATAATTCAAAAGATGATATTATTTGTTGTAAGCAAGATCTTAACAAAGAGTTAATTAAAATTGATTGCGGTCATTTATACCACAAGGAATGTTTAGAAAAGGGAATTGAAATTGATCTAAAAGATTAAAAATATTTTAGCTGTAAAGAATGTCACACATAGATATAATTGAATAAAATTAGATAAATTAAAATCTCACAAAAATTATTAGATTAAATATTTAAAGAATAATTAAAATAGTTGATGACAACTTCAAAGATTGAAATGATGTAATGTTTGAAATGTGGATTCATATATATATAAGATAAATAATAACAAAACCACTCAAGCCCCTGTGTATAATGTACTTGATAAAAAATTTAAATCATGAAATAATTTCAAAGTAACTTTATATATTATTTATATTGATATACTATAATTATATGGGTTGCTCAAAAAGAAACCCATTCTATGAATTCCATGAGATCATTAATCTCTATCACGACACCTATAGAATATTTTGAAAAGAAATCAACTCTTTGTAGTATGTTATTTTTGTAGAGGCTAACAAAATCACCAAATGAATAGAACTAAAATACAGAAATTATTTAAATTTAAAATCTATAATTGAGCTTATTGAAATGCAAGTTGAGATTAATAAATCCCACATTATAAATTGAAAATTTGGAACAATAAAAATTAACTAAATTCTTTCATCAAATTTGCCTAATAAGCTTATTTTTTAGAATTAGTTGTTCAGATAACAAATAAATAAGTTATTGAAGCAATTAATTGAAAAATCTGATTTTCTAGAAATAGAGAGAATATTGAATTTATCATATCAAAAATGGCCATTATTATTTCTTCCATAATATAAAAGAACTAGAAATTCTTTAATAATTTTGATTATTATAAAATTAACTTTTTATATAAAGTATTTTATAATTTTTTAATTAAAGTAGTATTATTCAATGATAAATAATTCAAATTTATAGATTATTTATATTATGAATATCAATTAAAATAAGCATATTATTTTTTTTTATTCAGTAGATCTTGAAATAAATTAGAGTAAAAAGGCGATTTAATTATTTGTAAATAAATATAATTTCAAAAAATCAAGATTATTAATTGTTTGTGAGGTGGATGCAAAAAATGAAATAATAAAATTTGAACAGTAAAATGATAATTAAAAAAAATATAGAATAGGAAGGAAGTATTTTCAAATCTTTGAGTAGAAACCTTGAAATTATAATTTAATTAAATATTAGAAAATGGGAAATTAAAAAAAATTCCTACAAAAACTTTTTAATATTCTTGAGGTACTCACAATTATGATTTTAGTCAAAAGAGCATGAAGATTGTATATAATGGAGTCCTGATGGTAAATCGCTTTTAATAATTTCTGGTGAATTGTTTGAGGAATAAGTTATGCCTTCTTATTTTAATTCAACAAAAATTTCAACATTTTATCGTCAATTAAGTTAATATGGATTTAAAGTGAAATAAAATGAGAAAAAATAAAAATAATTTTATCATTCTAATTTTGAATAAGGCAATTTGTATATTATAAGTCTATGACTAGTGAAAAGTTATTAAATATAGAGAGAAGATAAAGATAACTGAATCAAGATTATGATAGCATTATAAGTGAAGAGAATAAAAAGTTAAAAAATGAATTAAAGCTTTTACAAAAGTAACAATAAGTAATTTAAGCTTAATTGAATATACATACATAAATTTATTTACTAATTTGTAAATAGATAAAAAATGTTTATGATGTAATTATGCATGGATATTTTAGTATTTGAAATAAGATGAAGATAATGAGGAGGAATGTAGGATATTCTTTGAATCAATAATTTAAATATTTAAAGGATTCAACCATGATATAGCTTAAAATATATTTGAAGAATTAAAAAATATAGGAGGCCCATTAAGTCCATAACCATCCCCAATTCTATTTCCTTACTTAAAATTTAATTGAATTATTTTTTTTTGAATGCTTTTTATTTTCTATATTAATTATAATTCTAAAGAATTATTAAATCTAAATAAAGGGGATTTATGTTATATATAAATATTTTGAGAAAATAATGTATAAACTTACCTCTAAATATCAAGCTTAAAGAATTAGAAATATTAACATTGCCCATGTGGCGCAATTGGTAGCGCGACAGCCTTCTAAGCTGTAGGCTGCAGGTTCAATCCCTGCCATGGGTGATTCTTTTTTTTATAAATTTAAGAAATATAATATTTTTATATTTAATTAAACTAATACTATATTTTATTAGGCTATTTTGTTAAGAATTTAAAATAGATCATCATCAAATTTTAGGTTTTTCTTAATTTTAAACATTAGATCAGGATCATTTAATTAATTTTACTTTATCTTTCTCAATTATTTTAAAAATTTAAAGTATATCATACATATTTTGTATATCCTAAAATAATCAAATAATTAAATTCAAGATTTTATACTATCAATAATCTAAATTTATCAAGATTAAAAAACTATCAATATACTTACAATCAAATTTCATTTTTGTATAATCGAGAATACTTATTCTAATTAAACTTTATTGAAAAAGTAATAAATAAGTAAAAATTATATTATATCCAAAGTAAATTTAATTATATTTAAAGCATATAAATATAAAATCAAAACTAATAGGTGCATACACTACNTAAGTCTATGACTAGTGAAAAGTTATTAAATATAGAGAGAAGATAAAGATAACTGAATCAAGATTATGATAGCATTATAAGTGAAGAGAATAAAAAGTTAAAAAATGAATTAAAGCTTTTACAAAAGTAACAATAAGTAATTTAAGCTTAATTGAATATACATACATAAATTTATTTACTAATTTGTAAATAGATAAAAAATGTTTATGATGTAATTATGCATGGATATTTTAGTATTTGAAATAAGATGAAGATAATGAGGAGGAATGTAGGATATTCTTTGAATCAATAATTTAAATATTTAAAGGATTCAACCATGATATAGCTTAAAATATATTTGAAGAATTAAAAAATATAGGAGGCCCATTAAGTCCATAACCATCCCCAATTCTATTTCCTTACTTAAAATTTAATTGAATTATTTTTTTTTGAATGCTTTTTATTTTCTATATTAATTATAATTCTAAAGAATTATTAAATCTAAATAAAGGGGATTTATGTTATATATAAATATTTTGAGAAAATAATGTATAAACTTACCTCTAAATATCAAGCTTAAAGAATTAGAAATATTAACATTGCCCATGTGGCGCAATTGGTAGCGCGACAGCCTTCTAAGCTGTAGGCTGCAGGTTCAATCCCTGCCATGGGTGATTCTTTTTTTTATAAATTTAAGAAATATAATATTTTTATATTTAATTAAACTAATACTATATTTTATTAGGCTATTTTGTTAAGAATTTAAAATAGATCATCATCAAATTTTAGGTTTTTCTTAATTTTAAACATTAGATCAGGATCATTTAATTAATTTTACTTTATCTTTCTCAATTATTTTAAAAATTTAAAGTATATCATACATATTTTGTATATCCTAAAATAATCAAATAATTAAATTCAAGATTTTATACTATCAATAATCTAAATTTATCAAGATTAAAAAACTATCAATATACTTACAATCAAATTTCATTTTTGTATAATCGAGAATACTTATTCTAATTAAACTTTATTGAAAAAGTAATAAATAAGTAAAAATTATATTATATCCAAAGTAAATTTAATTATATTTAAAGCATATAAATATAAAATCAAAACTAATAGGTGCATACACTACATATTTTTTAATTTTGATTATTTTCATCATTATAATCTCTAAATTTTATTTTTTAGTAACTCGTTTAGAAAGGAGCTTGTTTTAAAGATAATTTAAATGATTAATTTTTCAAAGTTTTGAATGGAGGGGAAAGTAAATGTTTCATACTTCTGATTCCGTCAACTAAACTTTTAAAATATAATTTTTAAAGAATTTAATATCCTTTATTTATTCTTTTGGCTTCATTCTATTTTATGTATTTATACAATTTTAAACCCTAAAAAGCAAGGCTCATTAATCTCTATTTTTATTATCTTTATCTTTTTTTTTTATTTTATTCTAAGACTTTTTTCATAGAATAAAATAAACTTGATAAATAGACAACTTAAGGATAATCTAAAAATTTTGTATTATCTTATTCTTAATTATCAATTCTACTAAGATATCTTTAAATTCTTCTATGAAATATCTTACATAATACAGATGCTAAAGATTATGCTTTTTTTTATTTTAAGACTTCTAATTTAAGATCAGAGTATGTCTTAATAATAGTTATATTTTCTTAAATATCTTAAACTTATTCTTCTCTTGGAGATATTTCAAGCTTAGAAGGTTTTAGATTTAATTTTTAAGGAGCTGGTTCTTCTGATGATAATACTTTCTATTTCTTACGTAATGTTCTTACACTCTAAGGAACACTTTATATAGCATTTTATTTTAAATAAGCAACTTATGAAACTAAATTTTTTAGTTCAATTAATTTAGAATTAGCAATTTGAAGTATAGATTGTATATATTCTTATCTAAAAGGAAATACTGGAAAGTATTGAAAGAACTATTCTTTTTCGTAATTTGGAATTGTTCTTTATTTTCTGTAAGTATTGGAGATAACTTCTTAACACTTAATTTTATCTTTTAGAAATGTTGGTACAGTTTAAATTATTTTTAGAGGTTCTTCTTGAGGAATTAAATCATCTTCTTTAGGGTATAAATCAGAAGATATATGTAATTAAGGTTTTTGTATTGTTAAAAATACTTTATAATAATTGTTTTGATCTCCATCATTTAATCTAATCAAATAATCAATAAATGAAGCATAATGATTTGAAGATTAAAATTTAATTAGATCTTGAAATGTTTGATAATGTATCTTCTTCATTTCTTTAGTTTGTGCTTAATCCAATTCCTAATTATATTAGATTGATTGAACAAATTTACATAAATTTTATAGAGTGGATGAATTGAGTAATTTTAATTAATTATCAGTGAATTGCCAATCAATCTATAACAAAAGATCATTTGAAATTGTTTTTAATTGTGACTTAGAATCGATCTCTTTTGTTGCATTTCTTAAGGATAATACTTTTTAGATATTCAATAACTAAATATTAAGTTAATATATCCATGGAATAAGCCATCTTGAAACTGTTTCAGCTTATATTCTTTAGGATTTAATTATTCTCATGTCAACTGCCATTCCATCAAGTCTTTTTAGTTTTAAAAAAAGATTGTAACACACATCGTGATAATCATAAACAGTAAATGGATTAGAATGAATAGATAAGTATTACAGATTCTAATTCACTTTTTTTAGTTCATTAATCTCAACAATTTAATTGTTACAAAGAGATAAGCTTTTTAACTATTTGAATTATTGAATTCCATCCAAAATAGATATGTTATTATGACTAAGATGAAGATGCTATAAATTTAGGAAAGGTGAGTTTTGAAGTAATTTCCCAATTCTTGTGATTTATTTTGAAGAAAGATTTAAGCTTTTATTAAATTGACTAGGTAGCAGTTAACATAATTCCATATTAATATTTATAACTATTATTAATCTTAATAACTAATAAATAAAAATGATTAAGCAATCTATGAATTTTTCATTAAAATAGAGGAGAACTTAATCTTTGGAAGGTGACATAGATGAAGAAGTATTTGGAGAACTGAAGAATGAAAAAGATTTTGAGTCAAGATTGCAATAACTAAATGAAATATAGCAAATACATTAAATGACTCAAAGTTCAGGAATGTCTATGTCATCTGGTCGAAGTAAACCTTCAAAGCATCAGATGTTGGAAAGTTATGCTCATTTAATTTAAGAGATGGTTCATAATAAGGAATTACAATAATTCTGTCATTAATTTGGATTTACAATTTAGGAATTAGAAAAATATACTAAAGTAGAAGAGCGATAGAATTTTGTAATAGGAGCGATGTGTAAGAACATAAAGGAATAGATGCAGAGTATAATAATAATTAAATAGGTTTTATGACTAAGGTAGAATTAAGAATGCATTAATATAGAGTAGACGAATGGAATGAATTAAAGAAAATGAATAATCAGAACATAAACATTTTTGAATGGTTGAATGTGAAATCAAAATATGAGCATTTGAGAAAGAAATTACAATATGCTTTAATTGATAGTATAACTGCTACAAAATCCAAGTAGTAAGAGGAAAAAAGAAACAGAACTTTTAGTTAATCTAATGCTTCTTAAATAAGTAGAGCCAGCACAACATTTGCTACAACCAGTAGAAGAAGGTTGGCATCAATTTAAGAAGAAGTTACAGTGAATCCTAAAATATAATTAGTATCTGAATATAAAGATTTTAAAGCATAGTGGAATATAGATTTAGAGAGATAGTATAAGTAGAAAGGTAAAATTCATAAGGTATTGGGATTGTATCCTGTTATTCAGAAAGCTATATTAGATAATGTTGGATAGAGTGTTTGGAATTAATAGAGAGATAGATTACTCACTAAGTATACAGAAGGAGGATGTCTCACAGAAGAGGAAGTTAAATTTATAGCTACTACATCTCAATTATTAAATAGTTGCTCAGATAAGGAATTTCTATAGAAAACTATATCTCATTTGGATAAAAACATCATTGATTAAATTGAATATAATATAGCTGAATGTATATTGGCTACATATACTAATATATCTAATGATGTCAAATCTCTTAGATAGGTATGGCTTAAAAAAATTAGTGCTAATCTTGAATAATAGGTTAAAGATACTCATTTCAGTGTTTTAAAGAAGATGTAATTACAAAAAAATTAAAAGGAACTTGAAAAAGTTAAGGTGAAAATGGTTACTGTTTTCAAAGATTTGCAAAAAAAACATTTATTGAAATTGCAGAAGGAATTAGATAAGGATCACTATATTTAATAATAAAAAGGTGTAAATAAAGTTATTTTGAAATTCAAAGATAAACTAATGAAAAAACTTAAAAGATATAGAAGCGAAAAGAATATGGATATTGCTAATAATTTTATTACTAGGAATATACCAAAATAATAAAATCTACTTTTTAAAATTAATAAAGAAATGAAGTCAACTGAATTTGTTTAAAGAATGTTTCATCCTCCATCAAAATTGATTGTAAAGAATTCTGGATCTAAGACTGAAAGAGCTGTTAAAGAAGAATAAAAATATAAAGTTAGATCTTCAAGTACTATTAGATAATCTGATTATAAATAATATTTGAGTGGAGGTCCATAAACAGAAAGGCAATTTGCTTCTAAATCTTTAGCGGATTAAAATTAATAAAAAGTTAGTGGACATAAAAACCCTCATGAATGGATTACTACAGAAATTGAAGTTGCTGCTATTAATAAAATAAAAGCTGCTATTAGAGCTTATCTTTAAAGAAAAAAATATAAAAAATAAAAATAAATAAAAGCAGAATAAGAAGAATAAAAAAAGAATTTATTGATGTCTCTTACTAAGAAGAATCCAGAAAGGATTTAAAAAATTGAAGCAGAAGTTATTAATGTAATTAAAACATTGGCTTTAAATAAATAAAAAAGTTAGTCAACTATTTATTCTTCAAAATAAAGACTATAATCTGATATGAAACTTAAAACTAGAAAATTATTTTAAGCTGCTAAAAAAAGATCTCTTAATATTGCTATTCAATCAGGTTTTTTTTATACACCAGAAGATGTTAATTAGAAAGATGAATTTGGAAGAACTCCACTTTCTTATGCCGCAGAAAATGGAGATGAATCTATTTGCAATTATTTATTAAAACTTGGAGCCAATATCAATATTCAAAGTTATGATGGCATGACTTCTATGCATTATATTTTTAAAAGCAATTCTATCCCTCTTATTATGAAATTTATAAATTTAGGTGGCGACTTAAATAAATTAAATCATGATGGATTAACACCTGTAGCCTTTTGTAGTCAAGAAACTATCAAAAAGTTAAATTTAACCAAAATGATCTCCTCTTCTCTAAAAAAAGGATCTTTTGATAATCACTCCATCTTAAATAAGAAATATCCTTAACATACAGACATTATTGAAGCTTTAGAATTCTCAGGTAATTTTAGTAAATTATAATGAAAATTTATTTATTATATACTAATAAAAATATTAATAATCAGTAAATATTCAAATATATTTTCAAATCTTTAGAAGATAAACCTTCCCAAATTTTATATTCAATTTAATTAATTTGTTCTTAGTGTATTTGAGAATAAATAAAAAGTAATTTGTTGTTATAAAAAATTAAATGAAAAATTGGATTTATTTATGAATTCATACAAATAAATTCTCTTTATTTATTTTAATAAACATATACTTAAGTAACAATATATGAAACTTAAAATCAAATAAATTCAAGTTCATTAAATATTGCCTTTAAATATATAATCTCCTTAGATGAATAATCTAATTTGTTTGTAAATTCTATTGAAATTCTGCTCATATTCCTTTTTGATTGAAATCATTAAGGTTCTATTGGAATTTATTTATATGGGTTATCAAAATGAATTATTTTATTTTTCTACTTGATTAAATCTTAATTTTTATTTGTTTTCTTTAATTTTAAAATTTGCTCTAAAAATATCAACATACTATATGAATAAAAATAGGCAACAGAACCAGTTGGATTTCCTTTCCTATTTTGTTTATCAAATTAATTGAATAGTTCCTCAAGAGTTTGTTTCTAAATCATTATTTCTCAAGTTCACAAAAGTCTATTTGGGATTTGAATTCTATTCATATAGTTCTTAATTGATAATTCTAGATTTAAAGGAAACATATCTTTAAATAACTGAAAAAATTTGTTATTCCATTATTTTACTTAAATTTGTATATTTCACATCATGTTTTATAGATTTATCTACCAAATTTAACAGTTAAGGTTATATTCAATAAGTTTAATCAAATTAGAGTTTTGATTTATGTTACCAAGAAATATAGTTTCTTAATTATTTCAAGTAATTGTTACTACCTATATTTTCATTCAGATTTATTTAAAGTATGAGAATAGCATATATTTTGACTTTTATTCTTGTTTCCGAATAAAGATAGATAAAATAACAAAATATAAACAACATTTTATAAAATTAAGAAAATGATGTTAAAATCGTTGTTATTTAATCAACAGAAAAATTGTTCCTTAATTTCAATATATAGAATATTATTATTATTATTAATTATGCAATTTTATAATTAACTTAATTTGAATTCAATAATATGTCATTGTAAAAGAATTATAAGTATTATTTTTCCATTTAATTATAAATCCTTTTTTATAATTTTCAGCTACATTCACTCCAAATTTTGATATCCATTTGTAGCTTTATTCATTTTACAGATTCAAATTCTTGCCTTTATTTTATAAAAAATAGCCTTTTAACTTAGGATCAGCACATGAGTACAAAATAAAATCCCCTGTTTCATTAAAAAAAAGAATAAATTTTCCTAATTATATCTAACAATCTAATCTCTTCTAAGCCATAGCTTCGACAGAACTAATTTCATCATTCATATTTTGTTGTTACTATTATTATAACTATTTTTATTAATACTATGACTATTATAATTATTACTATTATTACTATTATTATTATTATTACTATTATTATTATTATTATTGTTATTATTAGTATTGAATTAATATGTTATTTTAAAATTTCTATGGCGTTATAGCTTGATTTTTTAAAATAGGTGCAAAAGGTTAAGGAACAAATTTTTAAGGATTTGATTAAACTTAAGTTTAAGTTTATTGGACCATATTTTATGTTTTTATATCTTAATTTGAAGAAGAAACATTAAAATTTATAAAATTTTAGGTTGATTAAGGATTTTTTTGCAAAGAAAAATTAGGTTTAATTGAAAATTATTAATTTGTTTACGATTGATTTTATTGAATAGTTTAAGATATTTAATTTTTAAAATATTATTATGTTCCATTTCCAAATTATTATTATGTACCATTTCCAAATTATTGTTATGTTGCATTTCCAAATTGTTATTATACTGTTCCATTTCCAAATTATTATTATGCTGTTCCATTTCCAAATTGTTAAGCTATTGCATTTCCAAATTTTAGAGCTGTTCCATTTTAAAATTTAGAAGCAAAAGCTAAGTTGTTTTAATTTTAGGATAATAATTCAACGATAGGTTCTTAATTATCAGAATTGAAGTGTATAATTAATTAAGGATTTGAAATATCTCCCCAACGATCCTTAAGCTTAAACATTTACATTTCCATCAAAGTTGCTAATTTTTAAGTTTGATTTATATCAGTCACAACTATTGATTATGGTATATCATTTATAATAAACTTCGATTTGGCATCCTCTAATACCTAGAAATTTCATTCGTAATACTTCTTCAAATGTAAAATCTGATCTTAATGAAACTCCACAGTCTAATTCGATTCCATCTCTTTTAAACCAACATGTTACATTTGGATATGAAGAAGACAATGATTCTTAACCAATTACTTTTGCATAAATAATAATATTCTAAATATTCGCTTCTTAAAGGGTAAAATCAGAATTTATTTGCTATCTACCTTCTCGATCATAAAATAGTTAGACATTTGATTAAAGTTATTCTTCACATTTTTCAATCAAATCTCTGATATAATAAAAATTAGCTTCAACTGTAATTTGTTGAGCAAATGAAGGAGGCAATGTCTGAATTGTTATAAAACTTTTCATCATTAATAGAATTTGATTAAATAAATTTTTATATACTCTTTTTAATTTTTTTTTTAGTATAATATATAAAAAAATTAAAATCCTTTTATAATATAGTTTTTAAAGAAATAGAGTCACAACAATTTGAAAAATTGGCATGAAATAACAGCAATCTAATTATATTATACCTTAGTATATATCATATTTTCATTTATATAAATAGTATACATAAACATATGATTAATTTTAAAAATATAAATGAGTGGAATGAGGAATTTTGAAAGATTGCAATTACAGTGGTTTGTGTGATGATAAAATAAATGATTTTATATTTAATAATAAATTAATGAATTTCATTACATTGAGATTTAAAGATTAAATTCTTGAAAAATAATATTAAGAAGTTAAAACAAAAAGGATTCGTAAACCAATTTACTTTGGAATTTATTCTTTTTGTTTTAGTCTAAACGCCTTTAAAATATTGAGAGACTTAATTTTGTAAGAGAATTGGCATCAGCTTTATATAAATTATATATTTTTAGCATTTATGGTGTTATCAATGATATTGATAGTTAAAAATTAGAATTTCGTGAAACAAGCCCTAGTGATTTCAAATCTTGTATCTGGATTGCTTTAAATGAATTTTAATGAGTAACAGACAACAAAATAAGAATATTATTCTTTCGGTAGTAGTTTTGCTTAATTACAAGCAGCTTCATATTTTGTGTCAGACTTTTTAGATGGTATATTATAAGTTGTTGGACATTTGATAATGAAAATTATGATTACATCACTGTAAACTCAAAAATTAGATGTTCTCTGTACAAGTTTTGCAATTACAGGATCTGTATTCATTTTGGTTACAATTTATATTTGTGATTGCAGTTCCAGAAAATAATTTTTATCAACAGTATGTGAAAACATTTGGGATCAACAATTACCACATATTATTAAAAGACCATTCATCAAACTTAGTTATTCAAATACTATAATAAATATATTGTAGAGTCATCTTATTATTGCATTTCCTAGTTTCTTAAGTGATCAATGTGATGGATGTAATGGTAGATAATTTTTAAGAGAATGTTAAATTGATAAAGTTTCATTATCTAATTGTATACTAAAATAAAGCGATATTCTCAATAAGACTATTCAAGCAAGTTATAAATGTCATAGATTCAATATAAGAGTTTGTAAATATGGAGTGGAGAATATGAATTTACTTGTAATTTTGGAAAAAATTATTACGATTACTTAAACTAAACCATTTCCAAATTAAGTTAGACAAGATCTTAATAGACAAATACGAATCAATCATTAAGAGTATTTACGTTTCTTTAATTGGGGATTACTTTCTCTTGTACTTCTCAACAATCATGAAATTAAAGATATTAAATTGTTCCTTATGATCAAAAGACTCAATAAGTCTTATCGCAATTATTTACTACCAATTTAACTTTTCACTAAATCTCGTGAACTCTAATTTAAAACATATGCCAATTTATTGCGGATATTTCTTATTCAAATATACCACATATTAATTGAGCTCTATTCAAAATCTTATAAAATCAGAATTCAAGTTAAAGAATACGATGAATACATAGAATTACATATTCTGATCAAATCAAGTATGTTTCATACTCTTTATCAAAACAATGTGTTTATTTAAAATATAGAAAGATTTATTCTTTATGAACCTATGTCTTAGGATCTAAGAATACATCTCAGTAAACAATTATCTTTTAAATGATTATTCTTGTTTTATGTAATGAATTTGTTGAAAGTGTTAATCACATTTTATTATTCAATTAATATCTTAATTTATAAATATTTTAATAACATATATTTTATATCACAAATTATATTCTAACCATTTATTACCAAATATATTGAACATTAATTGAAAAATTAATATAAAGTACTATTTAATCTTGTTTATATGAGTATTTCGAATAATTCTTCCCTTCAAAACATGACTATTATAAACACTATATATATAATTTATTTCGCCGTAATAAATACGAATTATATAAAATTTATTCTACATTTTCAGAATCAAATAATTAGATTTATGAAATTCTTATTCTTTTTTCCTTCTAAATTATCTCATCAATACTTTCATTATTTATTTCTTATATATGTTATTTTGATCCATTTATTCATTATTGCTTCTAAAATTTCTTAATGAATTAAATGAATCTTGAATTGTTTCATTAACTTTTTCTAAAAATGTATTATAACATTGAATTTTGATTTTTAAGCTTATTTTTTATTATCATTTGTTTTTTTACTGTTCAGTATTGTCCTTTTCCATAACCTAGATTATATATTAAGACTCGATTAAAGAAATAAATGATTTTTATAAACACTAAGCAATTATATTTTTTAAATAGAATTATGAAATACTAGAATACTATAAAAATATAAATAAAAATAATATTTTTTATGGAAAAAGATCTCCATTTGTAAATTCAGTGTTGAAATGCTATAGAGGTAGCGGTTATCTTGATTTAATATTCATTAATGATTTTGGATAAAGATTTGTAAATTTTCATGGAGCAGCGGATAGATTTAATTTGCAACCAAATGTACCAATAAAATTTTTTGAAGTCTATTATCAATGCTAATAGGCTAAAGTTTCTGCAGAAAATAGAATATGTTTTGAATAAATTTAAGAAACAATAAAGGATGTTGCAAGTGAGAAATATAATATTTTTTTTAACAATGGAACGAAAAGTGGAAATACATTATTAAGCAGGCTGTCTCTTGATAAATTAAATTATTCAGAAGTAGATAAGAATGAATTAAAAAGTCGTACAAATTGAAAATATTAATAATTGATTTACATAAATTAGAAATAATTTTCAGTCTTTCTAAAGAATTTATGTAAACTTAAAAAATTTCCTTGAAATTCTTCTCTGTTATTATAATTTGAAATAACAATAAAGGTTAGAGGGTCTTTTAATCCCAAAAACAAGAAGATTTACGCAAGTTTTTTTATAAAAATTTAATAAATTTTATTTAGTAGAATTAGGTAATTTGTATTTATTAATAAATAATAAATATAATTTGGTAGAACAATAAATCTCCGTTTATAAATTCTGTGTTGCAATGCTATAGAGGTACTGAGAACATTAATCTTGACTTAATATTCATTAATGATTTTGGATTGAGGTTTGTAAATTTTCATGGGCTACAGAAAGGTTTGCTTTAGATCAGATGTACCAGATAAATTTTTAGAGGATTATAACTCGTGTTGTTGGAGGTGGATATATTGCATTAGAATGCGCAGGAATTTTAAAAGGATTATGTTTCGATGTAACATTAATGACAAGAGGAAAGTAACTTAGAGAATTTGATTAGGATATTGTTGAGATGATTTTAGAGCATTACTAAAAATATTAAAAAGCAAATATTATACCTTAATCATTGACATTTCATTCAGAATAAAAAATCTTGTTTAAGTGGCTATCAACTGTGAGTTCCTAAAAAGGTAGTGGAATTATTGATACTCTTCTTATGGTTATAGGCAACACAAAATTACTTAATTTGGATGAATTAGGAGTCAAAGTGAACCACAAGAGTATGAATATACAAAATTAGAATATAGTGATTATCCTACAACTATTTTTACTCCAATTGAATATAGCTTCGTTGGCTTAAATTAAAAATAAGCTAAGGCAAAATTCGGAGAAAAAACATTGAAATCTATCATTCGTAATTTTTTCAATTAGTAGGAATAATTATGCGATAAACTTGATGAAAATTATGAACTTCTGCAAAAAATACTGTATGTCAAAGCTGTATTTTGTGATAATGTAGAAATATTTTTATTTTATCATGAATTAATATCTATAATAAATTATTTCTATAAATTAGCATTTTGATTTATTTTATAATCATAAGTAAAAAAGGATTAAACATTTGAAGTTTAGATATTTTACCAATACATAATTAAAGTAAAATTTTTGTGTTGTTGTTTTTTTGATCAGAGATTTTATACATTTTTATTTAGAGATAAAATGATATTAAAAATATTATTTTAGAAATTGTTTAAATTAAAATATCTAGAATTTTTGTTAATTTTATATCAATTAACTTAATCATTGAAGAATGAAAAAAAAAAGTGAAAAAACAATAAAGAGAATATATGTTGAACTAAAAGAGTAAAGTGATGACCCTTTTAGGTAATTTTATATATATTCTTAAATATTAATGTGAATGTTATATTTATAATAAATTTAAGTTTAGTGGTTCTATATTAATTTAAATAAGAATTGAATAATTGATTTGAAATAAGATTCAGATATATTAATAAAAATCGTTTATTTGATAGTTAAGAAAGATTGTTAAATAATTAGAGGATAATATAATTTTTGATGAATTATTTTTTTATAAAATAATTAATGGCAGAGTAGAATAATACATCTTTTGAATGGTATGTTCATGCAAAATTAAATATATTTGTTGTAATGTACTTAAATTATAAACTCATTTCTTGGCTGGAGCTTTCTTTTAGGCTTAAGGCTTATCAGCAGCAGCAGCAGCAGCGGCAGCTTTTTAAGCAGCAACAACTTAAGCATTTACAGTGAAGATGTATTATTTTGAATTTTAATCTCCAGCTGGTACCAACAAACCTGATTTTGCAAAATGTCTAATGCATCTTCTTGCCAATGAACTTTAATAAGGAATTAAGAGACCAATAAATACCCATTTACTTTAAATTTATCTGATACTGTTGAGACGGTGATCAATGAACCCATTTTTGGTAATTAGGTCTCAATTTATTTGTAGGATGTATTATCTAAAAACACGGCATTGTTTAATTTATCCTTTGCTCTTCCCTTAGTCCATTTCTAACCAAATTATCAAAACAACAATCTTACCTTCTTTGTTTATTTACTTCTTTAGGAAGCTGCTTTAGCAATCTAATCCTTGGTTTTCTTTTAACCTTATGTTGGTTGTTTTCCCTAAAAGATTATTTATAATGTATTACCATGATTTTAAATCTTTAATAAAATTTTTTGAAAAAATTTTAATATATATTAATGTAAAATCTCACTTATTCTCATGCAGATAAAATCAAAACAACTAAATTTATCCAAATAAGTTAAATCATTTAATCCTTTAAGAAAATCACAACTTAATATTAATTATATTAGTCAATATTATAATTTATAAAAATTTAATGAAATTTTGTGGCAAATAGCATTTATGAGTTACAAGATCATTCAAAAACTTTTTTTTATTTTAGATTTTTAAATTAATTTAAAACCAGAGTATAAAAGATAATCAAATCAGTTTTAATATGATATCAGATTAATTGAACAATTAAAAACATCATGGAAATCTAATAAAAAAATAGTAAGTTATATAATTAATTAATCGATGTAGAAAAATAATATGTTTTATTTAACAACTCTAAAACAATATATAGAAATTCATATTTATTAATTAAAAAATTTAGCATTGTGTAGAACTATAATAGAGAATAATAATAAAAAAGGATAAGAAAAATTGAGTAAACAATTAAAAAAAATAAACAAATGAAAATTAATTATCAATAATTGAATAATTTTAAAGTATGAAGAGATTAATTTAGGGTAATTAATATATGTTAATATTGATAATAATAAACAATTGTAGAAGTTTAGTATAAATGATTTGTAAAGGTATCGGGTGTAATTAATTAATATTTATATATAATCACATCTTATAATAATCTTTTTTTATAAAAATGAACGATAACTTGATTGATGAAGAAAACGAAGGTAATGTATAGGATAATAGAAAAAAACATATCAATTAATTATTGAGTACATGTTAAAAGGTTTCAATTGGATGTTTATCAATATTTGGATTGGGATTATTTATATTATCATTTTTTATGCCATCAATAATTGAAAATTAGATTAATGGTAAAGTGCCAGATTAAGTGATTTTGACAGAAGATAATAGTGGTTTATGGGCAAAACTTCCAGGAGATTCTTAAGTTGATTTAATGAGAGTATTAACAGTCTATGAACCGACAAATTTACTTGACGTCATTTTTCGTGGGTAAAAACCAGAATTTATTGAACATTAAAATGTTTATTCATTAATTTAGGTTTAAGAATTTATTAATCGTACTTACACAGAAGACGGTAAAGAAGTTAGTAGTAATCGATTTGTAACATTTTAAGAGAAAAATGCTGAAGAAGGAACAAAATAATATGAAGTTTTAAATCCAGGATTATTTGGAGGTTGGTATTTAGGTACTCATTTATCAGAACCAAAATTATCATGGATGACTATTGGATAAGTACTGTAAAATTTGTACGAATAATTAGTGTTAAATATATACTATTAAGGATTTCATTATTAATTTGTAAAAGATGAGGCATCTTCAAATGCTTTATTGAAAATGATAACAGATGAATAAAAACGAAAGGATATGTTTAATGATCATTTTATGGGATTGGGAAACCCAGATACAATGGAAAATTGGGTTCGTTTGGGTTTAGAAGGACATGATTTTGGACCTGCAGGTTAATTATTAAAAGATTACTTTGATCTAAATTAAGAATAAGTTAATGATATTAGAAAGGTAATAAGTTAACAAATTAAAGCTATAAATGTATCTGCAATGGCAAATAGTTATAAATGTAATCCTTATGGATAAGATCCTGATTAGAAGAAATATAAATATGATTGTGATGGTAAATATTTTACTGCTTTATAATGGTAATCAAGTGGTATTTCAGCTAATCCTCCACCAGGATTAGGAATATTGCCAACTGATTCTGTAAATTTTACTAATAATACTTTGCATGATTATATTGAAATTTCATATTTTTACAAAGGAGGAGAATTTAAACCTGATTATGGTTAAATGACATTCGATTTAGATTGGGCATATTAATTTTTAAATAGAAATTATGATTATCCTAATGGTGATTCTATGAAAGATGAAAATATTTTATAACATAAAGGAAATGTCGAGTTTATTTATGAAATTGGAGCTAAATTTGATAAAAGCAATAATTTAGAAGACTTGAAACCAATGTAAGAGAGATTTAAAATTGAATCATTAGAAATGACTCATGTTGTTTACAAATGGTTATAATAAATGGGAGTAAATTTTTCTTATAGAAAAAATTTGGATGGAAAGATTGATCATGGTGTAATAGGAATGTTTGCAAGTGAATCTATTTATTTTCACTTTAGAAATGTTAGTGAATTTTTATTACCTTTTTTAGTAAGTTAAGAAGTTGTATATAAGTAAAAATGGAGTGATTGTAAAACTATGTTTAGATAAAGTATTGGGAATATTGAAGATTAATAAGTTGAATCAATTTGCAAAAGTATGGGATACTAATTAAATTATAATCATTTCATGACTTTATAATCATTATGTACATTTGGAGTTTATGGATATTAGTTATAGGAATTTGGAAAGAGTCATTAATTAAATACAAATTAAATTTTTGAGATATGTTCAGAGAAGGGTTCTAGTGACTAATCTTTTTAAGCTATTATAGAACTTGTACATTCAGAATTGAGATAAAAATACAAATGTTAATATAGTCACTGTTCTAAATAGGAATTAGCAATTAAATAATTTGCTAGATGTGAAATAACACTTAATCCACCTGCTTCATTAGAAAAGTAAATTAGTATTCATTATTGGAATAAAAAGATATTTCCTCGTCCTTTTGAATATGGGTATTTTATGTCAGAATTTAAGGACATTTTTATTAAAGATCCTCCTAAATTGTCAGATGATAAGGCTAAAAAGATATTACATTTTAAGGGAATATTTAATCCTTTAGCAATAACATCTGCATTTATTTATTAAAACAAACATCCTAAATTTGAAAAGGAATTCAAAGATATATATTAAGTGGAAGAATATGAACATTTAACTTAATATTTACGTTTTGCTGCTATTTAAGGAGTGATGGGTGGAATGACAACTCCTAAGACTCCTAAAGATTTATTTTTTGGTTATTCTGAATAATTAGGAGAGGAATTAAAAAATAAAGATCCAGCTGGAAATGGAGATAAAGCTACAAATTCATGGGTAATGATGGGTGATCCAAATATGACAATGGCAGATAGTTAAAATTATCCATAAGTTTTATATACAGGGAAAGATAATTTAACAATGACTAGATATATAAAGTCTATGAATAAATTTGATTATGCAATTGTAATTACATATTTAATATATAATTTAGTACAATTATTCATATTTTGATGGGAATAAAACAATTACAAAATGGGAAAATCCTTGGAATGAAAAAGAGGATATAACTTCATCAACAGATGGAATTACTTTTAAGCCCTTTTTAGAATAATAAGATATAATTAGACTTTATGTTCCATAAATATATAGAGTTTGTAATAATTATAAATTATGATTTATAGTGGAAATGAAAGCAATAGGAGATGGACCATAAATATATGGATTAGATACTATAAGTTTTGAATTAGACATAGATAATCTTAATATTGATCCTAAATATTATAATTAATGGAATGGTACAATTAATTTAGAGAAACCATTTAATGCTCCAGTAGTTGTATCTTTACCTCATTTCTATAAAAGTAAAAGTAACCTTAAAGATCTTATAATAATTAAAAACTAAAACGGACATCCTATTGTTGCAAATGAATATGATAAAATATATGCCAACATTGAGAAATTCTCTGGTGCTCCTTTATAAGCAGTTATTCAATTCATGATATCTATGAAAATTTAAAAGGATGAATTATTTAATAATGTGACTGAAGATATGGTATTACCTTTAATCACTTTATATAATTCAGGCAACTTCTCTGAACAAGGAGTTAAAGATAATTTTGGAGATCTCAAGTTTGGATTATCTATAATCAATTGGGGTTGGTACTTAATTATGAGTATTGGTATTATTATGATTTTGGGTGCAGCACTTATTATCGTAATAGCTAAGTACAAAAAGACTTAAGTAGTATCAGTCATCAGTGATTTATGATATATTTAATAAATTACAAAATATTTATAGTTTGGAAATTATAATTATACAATTATTATAAATTATGGGAAACAAAGAACTCAAATTACTTAATTACAATTCATAAGACCCAGATTTAATCTAATTTAGATAATTGTACATGCGCTATCCTAAATCTAATAAACTCAATAAATCATAATTCATTTCAAATACTTAAGAGCTTCTTGAATATGAAATTCTCATTCATAATGAAGCTTTTTCAGAAGTTTTTGAGCGTAATCATTACATCAATCTCAAAAAGACATAAATGAAAGTCGATATTGATTTCACTAGATTTTGCAGTGGTTTTCATGGACAACAAATGAGATTATTAGGTTATAATACACTATTAAATGAAAAAAAATCCATTGGTAAATTTATGCGTCTTAAAGACTTTGTTGAACTTGTAACAGATAATTAAAAGATTAGAATTTTAGATTTAAGCGATCACTCTTTTTAATTCACTCGCAAACTTAACCCAGAAGATAAACTACGAATAGAATATAGATATATACTTAAGCACGAAATTCTATAAAATAATGTTCGCATACTATGTTTGTAACTCAATCCAGAATGTCCTTATAAAATTTCAATCACTACCCCAGAACTTTAATCTGTTATATCCCCCACTCATAAATTATAGATAAATGATAACCATATTTAGTGTAATTTTAATAAGGGAACAGATTCCTCTTTATTTATTTTATTATTTACAATAAAGACAGAATTGATATGTACGAAAATACAATTTGGTGCTCCAGGATATTCAATTAATTAAAAATATTGTATGTATTTAAATCTACCATTACCTACTATAATGTATGATGAAATGATTTATTTTAATTGTGAAGATCCTCAAAAAAATTAAGAATAGGAAACAATGGAATCAATGCCTTCTTATTCAAGTATTAGTCCGGAATCAATAAATTAGCATAATTGGCCTTATTTTTTCAATATAACTCCAATAACAAATTAAAGAAATATAACATTTTTTTTAGATCAGAGTAATTCAATGGAGGGAACAAAAATAACATTAGCTAAATAAGGATTATAATTATTTATAAGATCTTTACCATCAGAATGTTATTTCAATATTTATAGTTTTGGAAGTAAATGGAGAAAGATGTTTTAAACTTATTAAAAGATATGTGAGCCAGTTTTAAAATAATGTGAAAGAGAGATAAAAATGATGGAAGGTAATATGGGAAGCACTTTTTTATTAGGTGCAATGAATGATGCATTATTGAATTCAGTAAAATCATCAGATACAACATGGTTTATATTAACAGATGGTCGTATAGCAGAGATTGAAGAGATATTTACTTTATTGAAATAAAATGCTCATATAAGGGTATATTCTTTAGGATTTGGATTAGAATTTGATTAAGAAATAGTAGAATAATTAGCGAGTTTAACAAATGGAAGGTAAGAATATAATATTTATATGTTATAGTTGTACTTTCTGTGAAAATATTTAATCATTAAATTCATAAATGATTTAATTGTTGTAATAGGCATTATTGCCAAAATTTAAAATGAATGTAAAATTTGATAATCATATGCATATTACAACAATGTTTCCGAGTCCAAATAGACCTTAAAGAGAATTACTTTGTTATTTAGATAATTAGTAATTGTAAGAGTAATCAGAAATTGAATTAGAAATTAGTTTTGGAAATGAAAATGAACCTCAAGTTATTTAATAATATAAGTACAATATTAAAGATACTTAAACCAATTATTTATTACATCTCTATGGTTATATATAAATTTTAGAGAAGATTTTGGACGAAATTTGGTATTCAGATTAAATATCTACAGTGTTAAGTAACTAAATAAAGAATTAATTTGATATAAATAATCCATTATTATTGTTGTTTTTTAATCCTCTTAATATTTTGATGATTGATAATTGTGCTGTGATTTGTAATATTAATATTGAAAATCTATAGAAGGTAATAAATGAATAAAAGAAATCAAGAGATTATTTAGGTTTACTGTTGTAATATATAAGTGAATAAACATATGAGTAAGCTATTAAATGTATAAATGCAAATGAGAAAATATGTGAATAATCTATTTCTATTGAAATGGGTTCTAGTTATACATAGGCTAATTAAGATTATTTAATTAAAGTAATTTAAACTTAATAAATTGATGGATCTTTTATGGATTAAGAAGCACTTGCATTAGTTTGTCCAAGCAAATCAATGAATGCAATTTTAGCTAAAATGCCAGAATCTAATTAAAGTTAAAGTCTGGTTAATGGAAGATAAACATAATAATTACCAGATTTCCTTTTAACTTAAATCTGGGTTACTGCTTTAGTCATTGCATATTTAAAAAAGTACTAAAGATAATAAAGAGGATAATGGATCATAATTTATATTAAAGCTATTAATTTTATTAAACAATATTTAAAGAATTGGTAATCCTTACTTTACAAAGCCAGAATTGAATTAATTAATGCAGGTCTTAAATGAAAACAAAAATATTTATTGATAATCAATTAATTCATTCATTATCTTTGCCTATTATATTTGAACACTTAATATTATGTAAATGTTTATAACTTAGTTTATGATAAAGTTTTTCTTTTATTGCTTTAGCTACTTGACAAATTTGAATATTTTTCAAAAATCTATTCTCTGCTTGGTAAAAAGGGACTCTTTAAAATTATTTTATCTTAATGACTTTATGAATGAGATTCAGAATGCTAATGATAATATGATTTCTTTTTTAATGATTGTTTTTCAAGAAGACTATGTTGAATATCTTTACTTATTTATGTTTTTATTTTCACATAAGATAATTCAGAACGATGTGTTAAATCTTTCCATTCTAAGTTTTTTAATTGATTTACTGATTCTTACTCTTTAACTGATGAATTTATAGTCTATAATAGATTCTATAATTAATTTTATGAATTTAGATTTAATTTTTATTATTATTATTATTATTATTATTATTATTATTATTATTATTACATGCTCTATTTCTTAGATTAGAGATTGTAAAAGAAATTATCTAAAATATCATCTTCATGATCTGTTTCACTTTTATAACTTATATTATCTGTATTCTATTATTAAATTGATTACAAAGCCTTTATTATAAGTTATGCCTATTCCTAATAATTCACTTAATTTTAACTAATGAATATCTTGGCATATATCTTAAATCTTGAACTAATATCATGAATTTCTAAATTTCTTTTTCTTTGTGGTAATCCACAATTAAATTTCATAGAACTCACTACATGAGGTCTTTCATGCATTCTTAATTCACTGCCAATAATTAGCATATTTACATTGCAATTTACACATTCTCTATACCTAAAACACTTTTTATTTCTGGACACACACTAGAATTGATATATTAATAATTCGAACATAAATCTTTTCCACTCAAATTACATCTAGAATTACCTAACACAACACCATCAGGATTAAGCATTGGTATCACAATTACATTTAATTAAGTTAGCATCAATTACTTTATTAATTCTTCTGCTAAATATGAAGTATTTGCATCTATTGGTCTTATTCTAGCAACTATTAAAATAAGTGGTCCATGTTATTTTTAAAACCAATAATAAATTGGATATTATAATCTAGACAATCCTAATTGTCCATATTATTCATTTTATCTTAACTTAATTAATTAAAATGGTTTCTAAAAACTTATAATAAAACTTTCATAAGAAGATTTAATTTCAAAAGAACATTATGCAAAGTAAGTATCTTTACGTTTAATATTTGTAAATGAATAATGAGAAGGTACAAATAATTCATGATTATCAGAAACTCTCAATACATGTACATCTCTATTCTTTTCTAGAGCTCTCAAATTTATTATATTCACTTTTATATTCATTCTTTTAAATGCATATATTTTCAACCCAAAAGAAAACCATTTACAAAAACCATGAGAATTTGTATCTGATTTCAATACTATCTTTACTGTGTCATTTTTGCAATAATAGATTTCTTAAACATTACATCCTTCAAATCCTCCAAAAACTTCATAATCTCTTGGATGATTGGCATCGTATTTATATTTTTAATCTTTTAAACTTTCCACTAATTCTGAAATATTTTTTATAGGTATATAATTTTATTTACAAATGTTTTCCTTTACTTCAATATTGAAATCTTCATAGTATATCAAATTTGATGAATTATTTGGAGACATGACTCCTTATAATTAATCACTATTAATAGCACTAATTCTCTAACTGATATTTCCCTTCGTCAGTTTTTAATTTTATTAACTGTTAATTGTAAATGTTCTCTTTGTTAATCTCTCCTAATACTATTCTTCTCCTAATTTCATCTAAATAAATTTTGGTTTTGGATCATCTGGTAAACCAATTTAAATTGGAAGAGGTTTTGAAATTCGATTATAAAACATTTTAAAAATAAAAAATTACTTATTCTAACAATTAATGCAAATCTATTGTACTCATTGATTTCATTTCTTTATCATATTCATTATCATTAGTTTAAATAAAAATAATTGATTCATTTATTTATTCTGTTCTTTTCTCTTATTCAACAATATTTTGATAAATCAAACATCATTAATTTTTGAATTTATTTAACAAATCAGTATTCTTAGACTTTGTTTACAATTAGACTTTGTTGAAAATCACTTTCTTTCTCTTTTAAACTCTTAAATCCAAAATTCTATTATTAATCTGATTGAAATGATTTTTTATCAAAAAAGATCTGAGAAAATAAATATGAACCATTTCTATATATTTTGATTTCTATACAAAATAAGCTACACTAAATATATATTAATGTATTGAATTAAAAGAAAAATTGGATGTTTTTTATGATTTCTATATATACATTTTCAAAAGCTATTAAGAAGTACTTTTTCATAAATTATAAGGTAAGGATACTTTCTAGAGTAAGATTCATATTTTCTAATTGTAAAATAATAAAGAACTACAAATAATTATTAAAAATTGAAAAAGAAACTTATAAAAACAACAGAAAATTAAAATGATGTATATCGATTAATTTATTTTAAAGTTTTTATATATGTACAAAATAGCGTTTCATTGTTTTTAAAAATTTCTTCATTTTATGTATTAATAAAAGAAATATGTAATAAAATCTATTGATAAAGATATATGAAGCATCAATTTAAATGTTTTAATTGATTTATAGAAATATAATTAAGTTATGGGTGTGTGCTAAACAAAAAAACAAAATACAAAATAAAACTTATCAAGTAGAGTTAATACTGAAACTAAAACTAAGATGGAGATATCAGGTAATCAAGATTAAGAATCAAAAAAATCTCATTTTCACAATCAAGAGAAAAGAGTAAATACAGAAACTTTTTGTTCACAAAATATAGATTATCCAACTCCAGCAATTTAAAGAAATCATGCATTTACAATGCCAAAAATATCGAATCTAGCCTAAGGTATGAGTCCAATTGTTGAATAAACAAGTGCTTCAAAAAAATACACTCTTATTGGATAACACAAATCAAATTATGTATAAATATAAATCTTATTAAATTAGCTACTTTAAATTTTGCAAAATAACAAAACTGGTAGGCTTGTTTAAATGGAAAATATCCCTAAAAATATAGAAGAAAATGAAAAATATATCAATTGGCTACAAAAGACAACTCTAGTATTATTTAATTTATTATCATTTTTAAGGATCATCCAAATATACTTAGAATTATAGAGATTTATCAAGATAAAACAAACTATTAAGTGATTTCAGAATATTTTAATGGATGTAGTCTTTCAGACTTAATTATTGGAGAATCTAAAGTTTCAAAACCAGTAGTAGCTTAAATTTATGAATAAATAATATCAGCTATGTTATATCTTCATCAAAAGAATATTATTCATGGTAATTTGACTCTTAAATCATTTGAATATATGTATTTTGACAATAGGGTTGTTGTTAAGTTAGCTAATTTAAAAGCTATGTATATAAAAGATTAAGAAAATTTTGAAATTGTTAAATTATTACCTCCAGAATGTCTCTATCATTAAAAACTATTGACTAAAGAAAGAGATATATGGACTGTTGGTTTAATTGGTTTGACATTGAGAAAGGGTTAAATTCCTTATGAATTCCCATAAAATGCATCAGAATAAAATATGATGTAGATTATTCAAGATCATAAATTCAATTTTTAAAAAAAGAAAGATTCAAAATTTAAAAAATTTTTAGAAATAATATTATCAAGAAATCCTAAATAGAGACTTGATTTTGAAACTCTACTTAAACATGAATTTATTAAATTTTATTCTAATAAGTAAATGACTGCTTAGGAAAGGTTACTCAATAATTTCTTAAAAAATAAACCGTGCTGTTTGATTTAATAATTGATATTAGGATATTTTGCATAAGAATTTAATTTAGAAGAATATATTACAGCCTAAAAGTTATTTTTAGAGAGTAATATTAATAATGATGGTTCTTTAAGTAAATAAGAATTAATTACAATATTTTAATACTATAAAATTAATTGCGATAATATTGAAAAAATTATAGATGATATATTCTAATAATTTGAAATAGATGTTGATTGTGGAATGAATTAAAATCAATTCATTTCTTTAACATTAACTAGAACTATATTATTAAGTCAAGAAAACATCGATATATGTTTTGCTATTTTTTCATTCAACAAATAAGAAATTTTATTGAAAGGATTGAAGAGACACTTATAATGTGAATCTATTGATATTAAAGCAGAATTTGCACAAATAACTGATGATTTAAATACAGTAATAATTTTTTATATTCTTTAGTTAAATCACTAACAATTCGAAACCTTGATGAAATTATTGCTATGAATAAATATTATATAATAAATAATTCTGATTTAGTAAAATAGCATCAACATTTTTTTCTATAAAAACATTTTATACTGGTTCTTATTATATTTGTTAGTTATGATTAATTGATTTCTATTCTCTAAAAGTTATTAATAAGCATTTATTCTTAAAATTGATCTATAAATTCAGTTTAATCTGCATCTTTTTTTGGATATTTGATTGAATCTATATATTCATAAATAATATTTGATTTTTTTTGAACTGATGAAAAATTAGATATAAATTGTTAAATGCACTAACAAAATAAAAATACATCTTTAGATATCCAACAACTAGGTTTTTTAAAGATTCCAGCATAGTTATCTGATATGTTAAACTTTTTAAATCTCTATGTAATAGATTTTGATGAAGAATGCTAAGTTACTCGAAATATTCTTGCAATTTATTATAATGGTTTAATCATTAACCTTAAGAAAAAGGAAGAAAGGAATGAAGTTACAACAGCTACAATTATTAAAAATAATATAGCTTGTATTAATCCTTCATTAATTTAAGCTTTCATCTTTATCTAGTGATTTTAGATGTATTATTCGTATTTATATTTAGTTTAGTATCTAAAGATTAATAAAATAATTTTACAAAATAATCTTTAAATTATATTGTTCCAAGGAAGTATGTAACATATAATAATCTTATTAATCAATTTTATTTTATCTACAGATAAATCCAACATCAATATGTTCACAATTACTCTAATTTTTATAAATTAATGATTCCCAATCTTCTAAATTAAAACCGGTTTTGGTTTGATTATAAAAATAATCTTTACCCAATTCAAAATCAGAATTATTGAGTAAATTATTAACTAATAGCATACCATCATTCGTAGTTAAAATTAAATTAGTTTCTCTTTATTCATTGTTTATTAAATCTTAAAGAATTTTAGATTATATGTGAACTCTTAAAGCCCCGATCATACTTTTATTATAATTGATGAGTGGTAATGCAATAGAGAATCTAACATCATTAAAAGGGATAGCTTAATATTAATCTATTTTATACTTAGATAATGTCCAGTCAATCTTAAAGAGTATTATTAAAAATTGCTTAAGTTATATGCTTTTTAAGCCTCAATATACCAAGGTCTTGTCTTAGGATCATAAGAAGTGTAGTTATCGAATTCTAAACAAGGATAATTATAGAGGTGCTATAATGAATAATCAAAAAACCCCATATATTACTCAACCCCAAACATTTAAGTAGGTAAAGCAGTTTGAAATTATAATAAGGTTTAAAGGGGTATTATTTACTCATCTAATTTTGAATCAATAATTGAATGATTTAGATAACAAAAGCAAGCCATTTGAATCTAGTTGATTGCAATAATTACTTACTTAATTTAATGTTTGATTGTAACAACTTTCTTCTTTTTGATTTGATTTCACAGATAAGATTTTTTGATGCTCATAAAAGTTATAAAGGCGATGCAATGAAATTATGGGCTATGATACTTCATAATATAAATAATTATTACAAGAATGAATAAAAATAACCCAAAATAATTCTAAGCTCTGTTTAGCTAAATTCTATCGTTTTTTTGAATTTAAATCAAATATTATCTCTGATGATTCCATTAAAGTTTAAGATACTTATTTGCTGATTAAACTGAACAGCAAAATTATGCTAGTCAAAATAATAATCATAGAACAGCATATATATAAATATAAGATTGTTCTTGCTCTTAAATTAGTAAAGCATCTTAAAATTGGCGATCTTAAGATAAATTACTAAATTTTTGCTTAATCTCTTTTCTAAACTCTTTTTTAGAGTATTCCAAACATAATTTTAATTTAGTTTATAAGCTATATAAAAACAAAATAATTAATTAATGGAGATAATTATTAATTCTTAATTGAAAATGCTTTATTTTTTCAACCGTTCTAGCAATTAATTTCATTATCAAAATGAAGATCATAACTAAAATCATGAATAGGTTTCCAATTTGTAGGACTATTTTAAGGTTTATCTTTATTTTTGATTGGAGTCAAATACTCTTCTTATTCAACTTTTTTGAGTAAAAATTAAGTTTTGAGCATTGCTTGAAATTTTAGGAGAATATATTGGTTTGTTCAACATAATAAGCTTAATAAAAAGTAAATAATAGACATACAATTTAGAAGTACAAAGATTACGATCTTCACACATAAATGGTGCATATCCTGATAACATTTCATATATTAGAATTTCTAATGTTCAAAAATCAACTTCATAAGTATGACCAGGTCTAGCAATAATTTCAGGTGCCAAATATTCAGGTGTTCCAGCAACCTATAATTATTATTTTCAATTAATACAGTATATGTATGTTTATCTTATATTTATATGGTTAATCCAAATTCCGTTAGATTAATATGTCCTTATTCTGTCAATAAAATATTTTCTGGTTTTAGGTCTCTATATACTATTTTTAACTATTGATGTAAATATTCTGATGCTAAAATTATTTCAGCAATAAGAAATTTAACTATTTTCTCTGATAATCCACCATTCTTTTTTAAAATTCTATGTAAATCACCTACAGATATATGTCTATTTTATTATTATAGCAAGTTTACTCCATTACAAAGTAGCATCTTGATGAAGTTTAAAAGGCATACTTTAATTTTACTAGAAATGAACATTCTTTTCATTACAAACCTTTCTAAAAAATTGACTGTTTCTAAATTATGATCTGTTAAATTTTAATTCTTTCATTGCATATATTTAAACATTGTCCTTTTTCATTAATTTAAATACAGATCCAAAAGCTCCTAAAAATCATATATTATTTAAACTTTTCCAATCAATCCTAAATTTAGAAAATCATCGCGATTTACTTTCCTTCTTTTAGGTGAGATACTTTAAATTGTAGAAGATTCATCAAACATAGGATCAACATTAAATATATCTAATGAACTAATTTATGCAGGTGAAATAAATGTCTCACAAATATTCCCCATTATTTTATATTAATTATAATTTAACCATATTCATAATAAAATATATAATATATAATAAATCATTAATTATATAATAATTTAGATAATTTATTTATTGCAGAATTGTAGACAAGAAATAGTTTATTAAGTTTATATTATATAATTCATTTGAGTTTGTTATTAAAAAACTTTTAATTAATTAACTTGAAAATCATTTAATTTATAAGGTAATTTAGACACTTAAAATTGTTGATTTTTGTAAGGTTAATATTATGTATTCTGATTGATATTACTATGTTGAATTCTTATCAAATATTAATTTCAAACATATTTTATTATTTGAATAGATTGATGTAATCTAATATGTTTAGTATTTCCTTGATTGAAACATTTTTTAAAGATAGATTTGATCAGATTAATACTTGATTGAATATTCAAAAGAATATGATTAATAATTGAAATAATAAATAAAAAAAAAACTTCTTAGACATGTAATAAAATATTCATGGATCAAATTTAAAGAAAGCATAAGAGAATAGTTATTAAGTAAATAATGAAATGTCATAAATTTTAAATTGTTGATTAGATAGATAATAATTAGCTATATTGTTTAGTATGATAGAAAATGGAATGAATCCTGAAGCTTTAGTTTTATTTGTAAATGAAAGAAAGATTGAGTAGAAGACATACAAGAACATTAATAAATAATGATATTATATTCACTTTTTCACAAAACTAAATATAGTTGATTAAGTTTATTTGAGTACTTTTTCTACAGATTTAACTGATTATTTTTTTTGAGTAGATTGCTCTTATATAGGTTTGCATTTAATCTAAAATAATAATAATAACTTTAATATATATACTTGACTTAAGCATTATGTGTTTGTTATTTTTGATTTTATTGAAAAGGGATTATGTAATTCAGATGAACTCTAATTAGAATCTGATTCATCAATAGTTTACTATTATTTTTAGTTTGTTTTAAATTAATCTTAATCATCATCAATAGATTGTTGTATAATATCTAAATCATCAACATCTTATTAATTCTTTTAAGTATTATTTTCTTATTGATCAAATATTTCTTCGCATAATTAAAATATATTAATTTCATCTTTTTAAACTTAAGTACGTTTAGGTGGTACAAATTATTATTCTTTTAAAATATTGGCAGGTTTTTCTATAAATTCTGGTAGATTATCAATATCTTATGTAGATAGAAATTAAGACACTCTTTGTTTAGTTTCAATATCTATAATTTGTTATTTAGAATTTTCTAATCTTCTTTCAATTCTTTTGAATAATTAATCAAAATTGATTTTAACTCTTTCTCTAAAAACCAAAGTTTTAATATCTAATTCTCCATTACAAAATTATTATTATAAATCTTCTTGAATTTTATCTCCAATTAATTATTGAATTTAGTCGAAAGGTAAGAAATCATTTTCATTAAGTTATAAAATAAAGTCTTAATATTTATCTTAGTTAAGTTAAATCCATTTTTTGGTAATTGGACAATAAACAGTTTGAAATTGAAAAATCAATCTGGTTGCTTTAATTATTTTTTCATACTCTTAAGGTATTTTATCAGTGAATTATTTGATTTTTTTAATTTTGGCTATAGCATTAGTAATATTTTCATATTTGGATATAAAATTAATAGCTTTTCTAATTCCCATACCTCTAATAGATGGAACATAATCACATCCACTCATAATACATGTATCAATCATTTATTCAGATTTGAATGCTAAAAATTATCTAACATCTTCATTTTTAATATGAGCTCTATTTGGTCGAGATTCTTTAAGTTTTGATAATTCTAATTCATAACATGCACCATTGCTTTATAATTTAAACACAATTAAAGGACATTGATAACATATTAAATCACTCTAAAATTTATAATAAAAATTTATATACATCTTCAGTTATGACAAAATCACATTATCCACTTAAACTTAAATGAGCTAATTAAGCATCAGCCTCATATGGTGCTATAATAAATTTTACATCTAATTCTCTTAATACATCAAATGTTGTATACATCATTTTCTTTCTTATTTTTAGACATCTTTGAAAATATTTTTTTGCCTCTTCTGTATTTCCATTTTGTAATAATTCTTTACCTTTTATTAAATTTTGCTATTTTATTTATTTACGCATTTATTCAGTTTTTTGTTTTGCTCTTAAACTACGACCATCAAATACTAAAATTGGTGTTATTTCATATTCTCTTAACATTATTAACTATGACTAATGATATTTTTATTTACCATTTTTTAAACATAATAAAGAAAATCATTTGTTTAAATGTCTTGATTTAAATCATATGCACAAGAATAACATCCTCTATATAGCCATGACATTGCATCTACTGCTGCTGTTTTACCACGATAATATGTTATACATCTTTCAACTAAAGCAGGCTTTATAAAATTGAGTAAATTATCTATTCCCATTTTATTAAATAAAATTTATTATCCCGCCTTTTTCTAATAAAATTATTAGACATTATCTTAACTATCAAAAATTTTATTAAAAAATGGATTTAAAAAATGGATTTAAAAAAAAAATGTTTCACACATACATATATATGAACTTAATGTTTTGGTATCAATTTTAATAAGTTTGATAGTTAATTCCTTCCTTTGTGTATAATCAGTAAAACTATATTCAGTTTTATTAAGTTATTAATTTTTTAATATAATTTCTTATTTATACATAAAACAAAATAATATATAAAATGGGTCCTTGTTAAAGCAAATCTAAATAATAAATAATTGAAGAATAACCTTAGTCTTCTACAACCAGAAGAACAGATTAAGTTTTCACTTTAAACAATCCTTCTTTAGTTATTTAAACAGTCACACCTCAATTAGAAGTAATTAATGAACCTTGTTATTAAATCAAAGAGAATTTGAGTAAAATAAAAACAAATTATTGTTAATACTCACGTGATTATAGTGATATATAATAAGGAAATCAGAAATGTAAGTTGTATAAACCTAATAATTAAGTACTTAATCAGTAGAAGCTTGTTCAACATAATTTGACAGGGAAAATCCGAATTATTGAAACTTATGATCGAAATTCTGTTAATGAGTAATTCATAATAGATCTTGGTTCTTTAGTATTTATTTGTATTTATGTAGGATCACCCTAAGATTATAACAGTACATGAACTTTATATTACTGAAGAGTCCTATTAAGTCGTAATTGACTATTGTAGTGGAGGTGTACTATCTAATTATTGTTAAGACAAATCACTTGTCTTATTTTCAGAATCAGAAATAGCAACTATTATCTATTAATGTTGTGAAATTCTCCAATACTTTTAAAAAATTGGAAGAACTCATGGTCATCTTACTATGAGTAGTTTTTCAAGAGTAGATTCATCAAATGATTTCTAAATCAAATTCTCAGACATTAGAGGATTATATGTTAAACATTAAATTAACAATAACAATATATATACTCTTGCTCCGGAAGTTTGTAACTTTACTGATAATCAATAATATCCTTTATCTACAGACATATGGAGTTTAGGAGTTTTAACTTATTAGATGGTTTGTGGATATCCACCATTTGGAGGTAGTACTATTGAATCTATCAAGTCATAAATTAAAAAAATGGCTGCTCAATATAATAATTTTTAATTTGATCGAGTGTCTAAATTATGTGTTTAATTGATTAAGAAAATTCTAGTCCCTTCCAAATCAAGAATAACTCTTACAAATTTAATTAATGATTAATGGTTTAAAATACGCATTAAGTAAAATGACTAAAATATCATTAAGAAACTATAATTAAATAAAGTTAAAATTTCATCACTTTAGTAGCTTTTCTTGATATTTATGATTAAAAACTTTTGTTCTGCTGAACAATAACAGCTACATGCAGAATTTGTGTTATTAGATGAAAATTAAGATGGATAATTAACTAAATAAGAACTCTTAAAAGTATACTCTAATAAATTTGATACTAATTCTGAAGCTTTGCTTTATATAGATAAAATATTTCAAGTTGCTGATATAGATCGAAGTGGAACCATTGATTTTGGAGAATTTCTTGTTGCTATCACAGATAAACCTGGTTTAATCACTGATGAAAATCTCAAAACTGCTTTTAAGATTTTGGCATCTAGTAATGGAAAATTTACAAAATAGGCTTTAAGATACCATTTTAATTTATCATTATAAAAAGTTGATAAATTATTTGCAGATCATAATTTAGATATAAATGTAATTATAATATGTCAATCTTTAGAAAGTTGGGTATGTAGAATTCGAACATTTGATGAAATAGATGCTATGATTTGTTAATCTATTTCATTATAAAAATTTTGTCTAAAATTGATATTTTTATTATATTAAAAATCCAACAAGGTATTAGGGCAGTTAAATAAAGATTGAAAGAATTAATAAGTTTTTGTTGAATAGAATATTATTTATTTTAGGAGAATGATTTTTTCAAGAATGAAATGTTATAATATATATAAAATTTATCTATAAATAAATAAGATTCAAAAATATTTATGACAGAAATAACGAAGAATGAAATCCTGAAGTTTTTAAGTTCAGAGTAGATGCTAGAATAAGGAATATTAAGGATGAAATAATTAATAGAATTAAAAAATGAATTAGCTTGTAAAACCATATGTTTAGTATTATATGAAATATTGAAAGATTAGAATTTTGAACCTACAACTAAATTGTTAGCAATAAAGGTATGCATTATAAGAATAATATAAAGTTAAGCTAAGAACTAATGAATCTTAAAGATGAATAATTTGTATTTCTTTATGGAGAATTTGTTTTAAATGCCCTTAAACAATATGTTGAATTCAGACCTTAAGATAGCAATCCTTTGAAAGGTTAAACTTATTTTGGTGAAAATGGCAGTAATATTTAAAATCTAATATAGATTAGGAACTTAAGCAAGTTGGAATATAACTTGTGAGTATGAGTCTATAGTGCATTTAGGTTTGGGCTCAAGTCTTTGCTGTAAATCGAAAAGGACGCCCTTCTGAATATTTAGTACTTTATGGTGAACTTAAAGAGAAAGGTGTTTAATTACACACAAAATTTTAATTTTAAGGTATGTAAAATGTAGATATTTATCCCTTGTTTAACGTTTGTTTTCAACCTCTAAATTAATAGACTTTTAAGTAAATTAAATTTAAAAATTTAACACCAGATGATGCAATAAGATTAGCTCATAATTATTTATAAAAAAAGGAAGAAATCCAAATTTACTTATCTCAATATTGTTAATATTAGAGAGTCTATGAAAATTTTGATTTATCATTAATATTATTCATAATTGAAAAGATTAATTTTGATATTGAATCATTAGTTGATTAATTGGGAGATTTCGGCAAAGAAGATATAGCATCAAAAGTGTCAATGGAATTAGACAACCTTAATATAATTAAGAAATTAATAATTGCTATTATTTCTGAACCAAATTATTCTTAATTTGATATATGGATTAAATTAAGATAGTAGTGTAAATAACATTAAGATACTTCGACTTAGATTAATGAAATAAAGGCTCTATTATAATAGAAATTTGATGAAACTCACTAAAAGAATACAAATAACAGCCTTAATAATGAACTACTTAAAAAAAAATAACTATTAGAATAGATTGAAAAATAGATTGAATAAAAACAATAACAATTAGTCTAACTTATTGATTAATTATCGTAATAACAATAAGCTCAATTATCATCTAATTCTTCGGATTCCAATGTTCTTTCGACAATATAAAGATAGAGTTAATCTCTTGAAAATTAAATATAAGAACAAAACAACAAAATTTAAGAATTTATCAATATGTTGTAAAATAAAAACCATGAATAAAATATTTAAATACAAACTCTGTAGTCTTAAATCAATCGATAAAAAAACGATTCATCAAAAAATCATATAAATTAAGCTTAAACCTAATAATTATAATTAAAAATAGATGAACTAATAAATGACTTAGAAATAATCACTTTGAAATATAAATTTTAATGTTAGATAGAAGAAATTAAAATCAAATAAGAATTAATTGTTAAAGAAAATTATAACTTATAAATTTAAATTAATGAATAAGATTTATTAATAATTAAGAATGATCACAAAAAAGAATAAAAGGAAAATGGTGAGTTAAAATCACAGATCTAATAGTTATAAGAACAGAATGAATAATTGCAAATTCAAATCTAATAGTTATAAAAACAGAATGAATAATTGCAAATTCAAATCTAATAGTTATCAAAACAGAATGAATAGTTTTTATTAGATAAAGAATAAATTCAAAAAGAGTAAAATAATCAAAAATTAAAAACTAATAACAGTAAAGAAATTAAAATTAAAATTTAAGAGGTTTTAGAAGGAAGTCCCAAATCTCCTAAAATACCTTCACCCTTAAGCAATTAATTTCCAAATGAATTAAAAAAATTTTAACATTTTCCACAAAAACTAGATTTATCAAACTTTTAAGTTTAATTTAAACCTAAAATTCCTTTGACTGAGGATAAAATATTAATGATTTTTCCTCACTAGAATCCTCAAGAGTATTATGAGCATAAGAAAAAAACTTAAAAATTTGGTTAAATGATTTAACCTTTTTAAATAAAGTAATTAGATAGGATAAATCCTGAGGCTTAAAAATTTTTTAAATTAAGTTGTTTGGGATAGTAAAATATTTTATTTGAAAATGATTAACTCAAAATTTGTTTGGATCATAGAACATAAATTCTTGAGGAAAAGTTTTATTATACTTTTGGTTTATATATAAATAATAAAAAATAACAAACAGAGAATTTTAAAATTGAATTTGAGAATACTGAAAGTAAATAATTTATTAAATTTAAGGATTCAAGTATTTTTGGTCTTCATTACAAAGAAATGAAAATTCTATTGGATCTAAATCAACAAAATAAATTGAAATTGCAGTTAGATCAAATGATGATTTACAAACAGACTTTGTTAAATTAACAATTTCTAACCTAAATTAAAATTTGAAAATATAAATCCCAATTCATATATGCTAACAAATTCAATATGAAAATACAAGTTTAAGTAAATTCGAAACAAAATGGAATGAAATAGTTGAGGAGAAGGCATTTATAACTCCTATATTTTCAATAAATATGGAAACATTTATAAATATAGACCATTTTATGAAGAAAATTCCAAATTTAATTTTAGATAACAATAAAGTGTAGGATTATGATTAAGGATTTGATGATTTAGAAATTAAAGGCGTAGGTTAATATCAACGATTCTAATTTTTTATTATAGTAATAATTGTAAAATTATTTTCAGTTTGAATTAATCCCCTAGAATAAAATGTAAATTTAGATCCGTTATAATAAGACATAAAGTGAAGATTATTAATTAATATTAAAAAAAATTGCAAAAGAGTACGCATTTATATTTGGTTAATTTCAACCAACAACAAATTGAAATAATATGAAATTATTAAGTATTATATAGATCATTTTTTAAAATTAAAAAAGTCTACTGGCAATCCAGTTTTTGAAGTTTTTGGAATAGATGATTATTTTGTATTTTTATCTGAAAGTCTAATTTTAAGTTCTCTTGTAGAGAGTAAAAGCAAATCAAGTATTTTATCTGAAACATCTGTATTGATTTTGTAATTCTTATTTTGGTAAATATTTATATTGTCTTATTTATTATTGGTGGTTTCATCAAATAATTTAGTTGGATAAATTTTTTTGCAAATAGATTTAATCTATTCTTTAGATTAAATTTATTTAGAGATGAGGATAGGAGTTTTATAAGAAGTGATTCTTTCATTACAAATTTAAATATCAGGTTCAGTCTTGATAACAGTTTTATCTTTGTTAAAGCTTTGGTAGTCAAAATTTTATGATAATTTTGGAGATTGATAAGAATTTGAATTTAATTGTTACTTGACTAAGTAGCCATTAATAAGTTTAGATTTTGAGGGTTGTTATTTAATAGCTTAATTAATTGATTACTATATTGTTTCAACATCTTATGATTTTTATCTTCTTGAGGAATGTAATTTAGTTGTAGTGATGTTTTTCTAACTTTAGAATTTGTGTTAGTGAATCTAGGAATCTTTTTTATTATGTAGAGATTGATTAACATTTTTTTTGGATTTAAGTAATTTTAATCTAAGGATGATATAAATTAATACTAATCAGTAATATGATCAGGATTTCTATTTGAGGATCCTTAGGATTAAATGTGGCAAGTGATTTAATTGGATGGTACATAATATGCATGATTCATGATGTTAAAAAATAAAAAAATATATATTAATCAATGTAATATTGAATTAGGTAAAAGAGCATTAAAAAAGTCATTTGGAAATTTGGAAATTCCACGTTTAGGAATTAATAATTTATTAGATTACCTTGCATTAATTTTAGAATTTCCTACTTTATTTATTTCAGATAATTTAGTTTTTAAATCTTAAGTAGAGAGACATAACAAATCTAAAATCTTCTCTTTGGTTGATGATGAATTAAATTAATGAGGATTGAGTTTATTTTCTTGTGTTTCTTAAAGATGTGGAATATTTTATTCTATTTTAATGAAAATGCGATTAGATTAATCAGAGGATTAAACTTCTTTTTTTATATTTCGAGTAATAGTAATATGATTAGATAATATGGATGACAATTTCTCATTAGGTTCAGTAGGGATTGATTGTCTATGTAATCGAAAGAGTATTTCTTGAGATTCATCTTATTTAGATACAGTTTGAATATCAAAATCATTAGGTTCTGTTTTCATTTTGTCTAAAGGTGTATTATTAAGTTTTCTATCAGTTCTAAATTTAATGTTATTTAAAGGATGACTATGAAATTTATTATTTTGTTTAGGTGTACAAACTTATTCATCAGATTTAAGTCTCTTACTTGTTGCCATTTTATTGAGAGTAAAATCATTAATAATTTTAAACTTTGATATAGATCCTTCTGTAAGTGGTGTGTTAAGATTAGGAGTAGTTTTGATAATTTTATTACGATAACTAAATATAATTGTTTAATACAGATCTTTCACTTAAACAGGAGAATTCAAATGTTAAGTATTAATTGGTGTTTTACGTCTTCCTCCTTAGCTATTTGAAGAAGTTTCTTCTTTTTTGTTAAAACTACCCTTATTAGCTAAGTTTGGAGAACAAATATTGGAAGGAGGTCTAATAAAATAGGGTTATTGTTTCATTTATATACAATATTATTATATAATGAGATTTCTTATTGTTAATGGTTTCAATGCTACACAAGTTAATGGGAAAACATTTGATCATTTTAGAACAAGCATTCAATAAGTTAAATTTTTAATAATGTAGATGATATCATCCTAGAAAGAAGTTGCTGATACTGAATGTGAATATCACATTAGAGATCGACATTCATTAGATGATTTCTTATATGAACCAGAAACGAGTTTGATTAGAATGGAATATGGTTTAAAATTCGATTCTTTAGATATAGTCTTTATTATTGCATCCCCAAATTAAAAACCATGGCATCCTAATATGAGGAAAGTAATAAAACTTCTATTATTTTAAATAAAGGTCCTTACATTAATCCGTATGTGTCTGAAAACTAAGAAATTATTATTCACCACTTCTTTTGGAGCTTAAGCTATTGCTTATCTTTGTTCAACAAATTTTTCTGTGGTAACTAAATGTTTTTTTATTTTAGCATGCAAATATCACTAATAATCATGGAGATGGTTGTAAATTAGTTGATTTCCCAAAATATACTTTATAAGCTTTTAAAAATGGACCTAATGAATACTTTTTAGATTCAACTACTGGAGATCTTTATTTTTATAGTAAAGTTACTGATGAATGGTTACCTAAAGCTAATACTGGTCTTCATAATAGAAGAGATGCTATGGAATATTAATCTATTGGAAGATTTGTTGTTAAATCACCTACATATAAACCTAAATAAAATATTTTAGCTAATCAAAATGATATGTTTTGTTCTATTAAGAAATAATTCTTGCATCATTGGTTATTTAAAGGAGTCTAAATGGAATTCTCTGTAAATCTAATTAATTAATGGGATATTCATGCTATTACTTTCACTAATCCAGATAGAGTAATTATTTTACTTCTATATTATTCATAGAAATTCTTAGCTCTGGCTGAAAATAATCTTAGAGGACCATTAATTATTGAAAGTGATAATATTATTGCTACCATGTTCGAATTAGAATCTAAATAGAAGGATACTATGAAAATACTATCCAATTTTATAGATAATGCTGTTAAATTAATACGATTTAATAATAATTACAATTCAGTTAGTATTACTAATGAAAAATATTTTTCATCAAATAAGGGATTAGATAATATAGAACTTGTTTTTTAATAAAAAAAGAAAAGCTCTAATCTTAATCCTGAAGATTTACATAAAAAATAATAAAAGAATTTCATGCTTGAATATAGAAAATTACTTAATACTGCTATCTAAGAAACAGAAAGAGATAAAATATTCCATGTAGGATTCTCAGTTAAAAAAGATCGATTACCAGAGTATTAAATTATTAATATAGTTTCGTTTAGCAAAATAATATATAAGATAAAAATTACAAAGTCACCAGGAGAAAATCTTTTTAATTGAAAAAAGCATAATTTTTAAGACAACAAAGTTAAATTAATGTTGGTGGAGATGATGATTAATAAATCAAAGATCTATAAGATGAATCACCTAGAAGAAAATTGCCATTCTAAAATGTGGTTGTTACTGCTAATACAAGTAAAAGACTATTTCATTCTAAAATGAATTCACATCCTAAAACACCATTAACTATTGAAAATGAAGAATATCCTCCTTAAGATCCTGATGTTTAAACTCTTTGTCAATCTACAGCCAGAAAAATATTACATCCGACTCTTGATGATGAATTCCTTGGATCCAAAAAAATCTGGGTTCCTGGCTATTTATCTAAAGATAGAATTAGAAATGGAAAACCTCCTTACACTTAACGTTCTATGCGTACATAAATTTTAAGAAATCATACAGACTCTTTGGTTTGAATATCAATATATTAATTTAATTATTCATTTTATTAAAATTTTAATTTATTATTTTTAATACTTTAAACGTTTTTATTTAGCTCTCAAAAATATTACATTATATTTCATTCATTTTAAATTATATATATAATATAAAAATCAAAATTAATCCCCACCATCATAGAGCATCAAACATTATATCTTAAAATTACTTAAAATTTATCTAATAATAATAAAAAAACGACAAATACTTGATTGTTTTCATATATGGAAAATTACTATTTTAATTGCTGTTTTTTATTATGATACAATTAACTCATTTTTGTTAGAGAAATATGACCTTCTACATCTGATAATATGTGAAATGCCTCTTTTATATTCTCTGTTGTGATCAATGCATTACGATCTATAACTCCTATTAAAAATTCTTAAAAATCTATCTCACCATTCCTATTAATGTCTACACCTCTAAAAACAGTATCTACATGTTCTTTTACCTCCTATAAATTTGAAAAATGTTTCATATATGCTTGTGTTAGTTCTTATCTATTTATCTTTCCATCATGATTAATATCAAATTATCCAAAGATTTAATACAAAGATTATTCTTAATCAGATTAAAAGGTAGTGATCATGTACTACAAGAAACAACATTACAAAAAGGAAAGAGGATGATTCTAATCAAGTTATTTACAAATTTAATCTTATTCTTCTTATGATTGTTCAATTTTATTTTTGATCCAATTATCATTCAAAGCTAAATGTAATTTGATTCGTTTTTTTGGATCACATTTTAAAAATTTTTTAATAGTTTCTACACAATTATTTGGTAAACAATCTGTTATCAATTCATCAGATATTTAATATTTTGTAATAGATTCTAGTAATTCATCCTTATTTGATCCTTAAAATGGAAACTATCCAGAAAGCATTTTATAAAGCATTACACCTATACTCCAAACATCCCTCTCTGAAGTATATATTTCAGGTTGATTTATTGCTTCTGGAGCAAGGTACATTAAACTATCTTTTGTTGAAATCATTTATTTAACATAAATAGGCTTGTAATCTACTAATTTAATGTAATTTGAATTTGATTAATTGTATTTTTAAAAGGATACTAAAGATAATCCACAATGATTAAGTTCTAATTTATGTACATACTAAATAATTTCAATGACTTATTTCAATATCAGTGCTGCCTATTATTAGGTATAAACTGATATAGATAGATATTATTGAAGAGAACCTCCATTGCAAAAATCATGAATAATTTAATAATTGCAAGAATCTTAAAATATTTCGTCTAGCTTGATTAAATTAGGATGGTTCTAAAATTTATAGATTTATAAATACTAATTAAGTTTTACATATAGATTCTACAAGTTGATCACCTTCATATGTTTTAGAAATAAATTCAGCCACTCTAATTTTGCCACTAAGATTGTGTTAAACAAGTGCCATTTATTCGTTAAACTTGATTCGACATTTAGATTATTCTTTATTTAAAACAGAATAGTATTTTGAAAAGTGAACATTTTTAATTGAAATCCATGTTTTGAGTGTACCACGTTGACCTGAATTTTCAATAATTTAATCTGCCCAAACCATACGTTTAATAGGTTTGGCAGATGGACTAGCTACAATTTTGGCTTTAAGATTTAAGTTAGATGAGTGGGTACCTAACTTATTAGTTTTGATATTGGTTTCAGATTTATGATTTCTTTAAACATCTTAAGTAGGATCAAGTTAAGGAGATTATTAAGGTATTATTTCTTATTATTCCTTTAGTTCTTAATTATTTTTGGTTTTCGCTGAACAGATTCCCATTAAATTTAATTATATACTTTCGGATTATTGGTACAAAGTTAAATATTATTAATGAATATATGAGACAATATAATAGTAAAATTAGATAAAAATAAAGTGATAATTTATAAAATCAATATTTGATGGATTGAAAGAATGCTTAGAGAGATTAGGATCATAATTCTAGGGATTCATATAATAAGATTATAAAAGTTGATAAAAAATTAGGATATTAAATTATATAATTGAGTCATAAGAATAATTATACTGTAATAGATCTAAGAATAAGTGAATTTGAATTTAATAAATCAAATTTAGAAAACATTTAAGTTTAATTTTGAGAGCAGGTTATCAAATAAATTTTAGTCTTTAATAAAGTATTGAATAAAATAATTAAGTGTAATTAAAGAATTAAGTAACAAAGAGAATTATGATGGATCCTGATAAACAAATATATAAATATTATGAATTGTGTATGAATAATAAATAAAATGATGAGATAGTTTTATGTTTAGAGTTTAAGATTAAAATAAACTGAAATATTTATGATTTGTTAAAAAGAAAGTCAAAAAAATTCAAATAAGTCCAAAAAATATAGCTTTTCAAATATGTTTACTGAAGGAATATAATAGAGTAATAAGAAACATTTTATTGATTTAATTTAATATATTTTATATTATCCCTAGCAGGTTAGAATAATAATAATAATAATAATTATATAAAAATTAAATTCCAATTTCTATAATATAATCAATAATGAATACTAAAGTTATAGCTAGTATCCATATACTAAAAACTTTCTGAAATTAGAATTTTCGTTGTCTAATAAAAAATTAAGACCTCAAATTAGAATCCTACCGATATTTATCAATTTAGATGATAAATTTAAGTATATATCTAAAATTATTATAAATTATTTTCGTTTGATTATATTAACAAATATAAGGGGTGGGGGTCTTTCGACCTGTAAAAATTTCTGTAAGTCACCGGTATGAGCCCAATCCACGGTAATCTTTAGTAAAAGGCGAAAAATTAGCACGTTATAGGTTGAGCTCGGTGATGAATAAATTATTTATAATTGTTATTGGGTTTATATATTTAATTAAATATATTTATTTTATGGGTTTGAGTAATTTTATAATATAATATATCAATTAGCAAATTTATAATTGTGTTTCATCTTTGGTTTTCCATAAAAGAAATGGTGATTTTCAGTACCTACACTTTCATTTAATGAATGATTGCTAAATCTATCTCTATGTGGAGACTGAATAGAATAATTAATTTAATTTATTTTGTACTCGTCATTTATGAGTGAATCTGTCATTGCCCCTTTACTAATTTCATTTAAATGAGATGAATCTAACATTGGATTATGTAATTGTTTTTATTCTATAGATTCAAAATCAACAAAATTATATTCTTATTTTTTTTTAATAGTTGCTTTATGTTTATTTGGTGAAATTCCAATATAATCATTCTTATGTGAATCTGGTATAAAAAGTAATTAACTTTCTTAATGGACATCATTGTTTTAATCCAAAAATTTTAATTTCTTATTAGCTTTATGAGTTTCTATATATTTTGTAATTTAGACTTAGAATGTTTCTATTTCTTCACTATTTAATGAAATTTAATGTTATGATTCAATAAGTTTATTATCTTTATTTAATGAATCCTCATCAATATCACTTTATGAACTTTCTTAAACCATTTCTTTTGGATGATTAATTATATTATCACGTGATGATAAGATTGCTTCTTAAATTTTACCTATAGTTTTTACTGAATAAGCTCTAAATGTTCTAAATATCATTAATAAAAATAAATATTCTTATAAAATGTTGAAATTGCCTTTTATATGCATCATTTCATAAATAGGATATCTTCTATCCAAAATATCCTAAATAATTAAAAAGAATTACAAGTCTTTTGAAATGTAATCTAAATCTAGTATCTTTATCAATTTATTTGATTACTTTAATACCTTCTGTATGTCCACTTTTAAAAATCTAATCTCTATAAGCAAATCTAATAGTTTCATATAAAACTTCTTAGAAATGAATATAACCATTTTAATCAGCCTTGATTTTAAAATTTGAAGCACTTTTAGCAGCATCCCAAATATTATCATCATTAGCAGATCCTAAAGGAGGACCTAATTCTAATAGAAAATGAGCTAGATGTTTAGAATGCATTTAAGCACCTTTAGTTTCTGTTGAATATTTACACCAAGTAGTTCTAAATGGATCAATATTCTCTATGTATGTTTATAATACACTATTTTAAGAATTAAAGAATTCTATTTATATTAATTAATATATTTTACTTTCGAATTAATCAACTAATGCTGTTATGAATAAATTAAATGCAACAAAATTAGATATAAGTACAAATGTATAAAAGAATATATTTGCATATATCCATTTAACTCCACAAAAATTAGGTGTTTCAGGTGTACAAAATTCATTATGTTCAGATACATCTATCATTATTCTAATCCAATTGTTTTTAGTACAAATTTTAAATAAAATCAATAAAGCTTTACCAATATTTGTGAAATTCATATAATCTGTAACATATGTTCCTTTTTCAATCATACCAAAATATTCACATCCAATAAATCCATAAAATAAAAGAATTGAAAAAAAAAAGCATAAAATTTATAATAGAAAAGATGCTGAAAAATTCAGAATTCTTAATAATCTAGTTAATCCTTTAAATTGTTAAATAATTAATAAAGTTCTTAGATTTCTACATGCAAATGCTAATCTAAGAATTAAAAAGTATTTATCATTTATTGTTGATTTAAAGTAATATTGACTCCAATTGATTGATAAAAACAAAATGAAATCAATTAAAGCAATCAAACTCAATATAAATTCAATTTCTCTCCATATATATCCCCAATATCTTCTAATACCAAATGCTAATATTTTAAAACATGTGTCTATTATAAGAAAGCAACTTAGGGTATGATAAATATATTCTAAAGTTTGTAACAAATCTAAGGAAGCCTCATCATAAAAGAAAGTTAAAATTCCTAAATAGAAATATAATATTTAAATACCAGTATTGATAAATATTGATAATAAAATCATTCTCTCATAGAATGTTTATTTAATAATATTTGATGCTAGTCTTCTGATAAATGATTTTGGAGGATCAGAATAATTAGGAACTTCTTTTTATATAATTTTAGTAATATTTGCAAACAATTATTGATCATTGGTTAAAATCTATTTTTACAATTTTGTTTTATAAGTCTAAAAATTAATAAATAAAATTCCTGCGAAAAATCCTAGAAAGAAAAGTACTCCAACTAAAATAAATAGCATAAAATAGATTAAAGTTACCCATCTATTATCATATAAAATTGGTCCTTTATCTTCTCCTCTTGAATTCAAACAAATCTACATAATATATACCCAATCATCACAAGCTGTCATTCTGTATAAAGCTAACATTGCATTTCCCATATTATCAAAATTATATAAATTATTTATCCATTCTTCACCTTATTCTAAACATTTCTATTTATTGATTCCAAAATTTAAAGGATGTTAGCAATAACTCATCTTATCTTTATATAACATTACACCAAAAATTGCAAAAATGAGCCATACCATTATTTATACAAATAAAATATTCATTAAATCAACAAGAGATTTAGATATGGCACTATTTATATATTTAAGTTATTCAAATAAATATAAAAAACGAAAAGGTCTAGTATATTTTAATGCTTTCAAATATTTAAATGCTTCGTATTCAATTATGAAATTAGAAATGTAACATAACTAATAAACAAAATCAATTACTCTCCAAAATTCACTTGTAAATGCTCCTTTATCTCTCATAAAACCTAATGAAATTATTTTTAATGTAGAGTCTATTAATAATAAAGAATTTATTGTCAATTCTACATAATTTGAAATTTATTAAATTTTATCTTATTCTATTTTATTTTCATAATCAAAATAAGTATATATACACATATTTATAAGTGCAACAAAAAATGTTATTTAAATTAATTTGATGTATAATTAATAATTGATACAACGATAACATAATTTTCTAAAATAGTTTTATTAGCTAAATATAAACAAAGAATTTTAACTCTCATTATTAGTAAAGAATTAAAATTTAGCAAATAATTATTCTAACAGTAAATTAATTCTAGCAACTAAATTAAAAAAGTTATTTTTCTTGATAGATTATTTTTCTATTTCTTATTTTTTATCTTAAAAAGAAGAATTATTTAAATTTGAATTCTTTTCACTAATTTCACTAGGTAAAGTTGATAATTTATCACTACTTAAAGTTAAATCATTTATATTTTCATTACCTTATAAAAAAGAGAATTATGAATCAGCTAATTCCACTTCAGAGACATCTTCATCATTTTCATAAGATGAAAATGAATCTAAAACTATTGCTAATATAAATCCTATTGTCATTAAATTTAAAACATATACAGATATAACACTAAAAAACATTGTTCCAATTTTACTACTATATTATGATCCTAAAATAACCATCCCAAACCAATCTTCATTTGCAGCTCTAACAAAAACTGTTAAAAAGGCAGCTGCAAGATCATCAAATGATTATTATAAACCAAAGTCTGTATCTATTGGAAATTTACCTTTATATAAATTCATCCCAATAAAAGCAAAACAAAATATTAAAGTTATCATCAATAAAATTAAATTTAAAAAAGAAGGTAATGATTTTTTTGTAATCTTTGCTATCTTCAATGCAAAATCATTATATTTTATTATTCTATATATTAAAAGAGCTTAACCAGAATTCAATAAATCTAGATATATATTTTCTTTCCCAAAATTTTAATTCACATATAAAGATTAAATAATAGAACAAGTTAAAATAAAGGTATCTATTAAATTGCTAGCTCTTGAACAAAATCTACCTATACCCTAAAATATTAGCTTTAAAAATAATTCACCAAGAAGTATAAACACAAAATAATCATTTAATTACCTTATTATATTTTCATCAACATATCCTATCATACTTAATAATATAATATTTGTCAAAACTATTAAATCAAAAAATATCTAAGCATTTCTATTTCTTAACAGAATATTTATATTTTTCTAAATTAAAAACCAAAAACAAGATAAATTTGGCATTTTCCATTGATAAATATCAATATTATTTAACTAATTGAATATTTAGATTGTTGATTTTATTTTATATTTATTAACTAATACATTATTTCCAGACCAATTATTTTTATAAACAACTCCTTATTTACATTCTTCTAATCTATACTTTACAAATAATTCTTCAAAGTCTTATATATTTTCCAAACATTCAGGTATTTATCTATTGATAATTTATTAAATATATTCTGAATCATATGTCTTATTTCCTAATCTCGATGTTCTTTTACTTGTTTAATTATTTCCAATAATATTTATAGCTTAAGCCTCATTACTATTATTATTTATTATTTATTATGCTTTTTCACTTGTATTATTACTCTTTTCAATAATTAATTATTTTTATTTTATTGGTAAACGAGAACCTTGAATACAATTTTAATTCTTTAAATCTAACTTTGCAAAAGAATAATCTGATTTTTTTATTCGAAAACAGTGACTTAAAACAGATTTTCTTATAAATTCAAATTCTCTTTCTCTTTTTAGCTATTGTTACTCATTCTTAATTTAAAAACTAAAAATATCTGATTCAGAAGTGCTGATATATTAGAAATACTTATTAATAACAGTTCTCCATGAATAAAGAGGAACTTTTTTTAAAGTTTAGATATAAAACAATTTCAAATATTCTTTATCAAAAGCATAATTTTAATAAATCTTTTACATGAATTGTTCCTTATATTATTCAAATAATAACAACTTTTCAATTTTAAAACTATCGATAAAGTTTTCGAGTTTACTAATATTTGATTTAATACCTCTTTTTCTATTTTTGATTTCTTCCTATTCTTTAGTTTATCTAGCAGATAAGTATTTATGTTTGTAATTAATAGTTTTTAAATTATTATTTTAAATAATAGTTTTTGCTATAGTTGTTTATTCATCTTATTCATTAGGTTTTTTTCTTGCCCAATCCTTTTTTTGATTATTCTTCCATTCATAATCAATAAAATAATTTTTAATAATTCTAAAATTTAAGATAATATCTGTATTAATTCCAGATAATTCTTCTATATCTTCATGTTGATACTTAATCAAAGTTTATGAATAATAGATTTTAAGAACTGCTATAATTAGATTAGCACCAAAAATAGCAATTATAAAAATTAAAAAAATGAAATAAACAATTGAGAAATCATGAAATGTGAGCATTGCCAAATAGATAGGTTCAGTCCATTCATTAAAAATCATTAATCTCACAACTTCTTCATAAGAATAAAAAATATCATCAAAATTAGTAGGTACATTTGGATTTGTTAAAGATTTAGAACATATCATTGATTGATCTTCACATTATAGATTATATCCACATAATACATTAGTTTAGATTCCTAATTCAGAATAGTAACATTTATATAGAAACAATCCTTAAAATAAATGCATTCCAAATAAAGCAAAAAAGTATGAAAAAATAATTACAATGATGAGTGCTTCAAGTAAAAATCTTAAGGAGTGCTTTAAAGCAAGTAACATAATTTATAATCTTTTACTAAATACACTAATGACAGATAAAATCTTAAGTAATCTTGCAGTTGAGAAATCAATGATCATCAAAGTTGGATAATAATAATGGAAGGAAAAGAGAATGAGAATTATAATATCAAAAACATTTTATAGATCCCAAAAGAAATCAATAAGTCCTTAACCAATTAATTTTAATATGTTTTCTGCAATGAATAGAAATAATATAACTATATATCATGAATTAAAATTACTTTATTTTTATTAGCTTAATTATTTTTGAACATCAATTGTTAAATTATCACTTTAACTTTCAATAAAGACTGTTATATTAAATATTATAGACATTAAGACCATAATAGTAAAAATTCTATGATTGATTATTTTATTAGCAGTATTTGTAATTAATCTAATGATAAAGACAATAGTTTTTCTAAAATAAACAAAAGGATAATTATCCCAATAATATTAATAATCTTATAATATCCAAAAATAATCTTATTTACTTTACCATATAAGAGGATATGGATCATAAATTGGATCTCGTTTAAATTTTCTTTCGTATTTAAGAATTTAATGATCTTATTAATTAGTTGGATCTCTAATTGTTTAAGTTAATTATTTTTCATATTCTCCATCATCATCTTCATCTATTTCAATTTCTGATGATTTTTCAGATTAAGCAATATAATTAGAATCATCATCACTTAATTCTAATTTAAAATTGTCCATTAGAAATTTCATTCTATCAGTCATAAATCCATGACTCTAATTTTTAGTAAATACATTATCTAATATTGATGTCATATTAATATTTGATGTAATATTTTATTGTTCATGTCCTTTATTTCCAAAAAATAGTGATTCATTTTAAGCAACAGAATAAACACTAATTTAATCTCCATCTACTCCTTTTAATTAATTATCATCTCTATAATATTGATTAAATAAATGCACAAATGTCTTTCTCACTTTTTATTTAATTTTTCTTCTTCCTGTTGGTAATACTTCTGCACATTGTTTTTCAAGTTCTTCAATTATTTATTTATATTAATTTTATTCTTATTCTGGTATTCCTGCTTAATCTAATATTTTTACTAAGCTTTTCAACTCTTAATTGTCAACATTTACATTCTTTGAGGTTGATATAGATCTTTCTCTATTGAATTTCGTTGAATAATTTTATTTACTCTAAAAACTACTTTTTTTAGAATACTAAGACATTTATTTGATACTTTTCATACTTTTCATTGTCTATTTCATTTAACTACTTTAACTGCTCTTTAAATAGGAGGTTGCTTTTTATTTGCTAAATATTACAGGTCAATACCTGATTGAAGATAGTTATTAATGCAAAGTTTTGTGTATAAATTCCATCTGTTCATCTATCACTTTATCATAATTTTATATCGAAGCTCCTTTCTATTACACTTTACTAATCTTTGATGTCAAATCTTAAGATGAATCACTTTCAGACGATTCAGAAATGAATAAGTCCTAATATTCTTAAAATAAATTGTTTTATTTATTCTTTAAACTAGTATTAGTTGTTTTTCTTTATGAACTTTGAACTTCTATTGATAATTTTGATCTGTGATTTCTTGAAATCTAAGATTGTGAACCTATTCTTGATGATTATCTCCTTTGAATCCTTCGACTAAACAATTCAGGTGTATGAGGAACATTCTTATTATGAAGCAACATTTAGTCTTCTATTATAGAATTCCTCCGATCTGATTGAATAATATTTGGAAACATTTATAAAATATATTTCAAATTACATACATTTATATAAAAATATCAATTAACCTTCGAATTTAAATACTAATTTAGAATCTCTTATTTTGAATCCAATCTCACTATTTTCCCTTTTTCTAAACATTATTTAATCAAACTTATCCAATTCTAATTTATACTTCATGAAGTTTTATATTCTTTTGATAAAACATACATTTTAATTTAATATATATAAATATATTGGAAAATTGCATTATTTATAATAATTATATAATAAAATTTTAGAAATATAGGATTATCTCTTAAAAATATCAGAAATAAATTATAAAATATTTACTGAATAACTTTTGAAAAATAATTCAATCAAATTATTTTCTAGTTTGTTTCTGTTTCTCATTACCTTTTCACAGATTTTATCAGATTATTTTTATTTTAATAAACTTGTAGAATATTTTTTTTATGTTTATCAGCAAAAAAAATTATTTGTTCATTTCATTAATAAAAAAAAATTTATGGATCAAAATAAAGGAGACAATTAAAGCAGACCTGAGACATTTACTATTCCTGTAGGTAGTTTTTCACTCAATTGTACCCAATAAAAAGAAGAGTAAATGAGTTGCACTTTAAATACTCCCAGCATCTAATTTGGATAATCAAATAGCTTCAACTGTAATGGATATTACGGTATAACAGAGTAATCTTATGGAGTATAATGCAGATACAGATTCTGAGAAGTAATATGTTTCTAATTATATCAAAATCATTAATGTATACAAAATAAGTTTTTTATAGTAATGAATTAATGAATTACTTTCTTTTCAAATTGAACATATTCTATTTTAATTTGATTCATTAGGAACTTTTAATTTACTTTATAAAAAAATTATATTCTATTATAATTTTCATTTAAAATAGAATTAATAACATATCAGTTAAATTATAAAGAAAAATTAGTAGATTTGTAAATAGTTTAATAATTATTAATAAAAACAATATATAATAAATATTAGTTTACTTTTTCTTTTTAGATATACATCATTTTTGAAGTAATCTTTTTTTAAAGCTTAAATTCTTAAAAAAGGTAAAAAATATAGAAATTAAGAAAAATATATTGTACATTTACATTTATAAAAAATATCAATCAACCTTCTAATTTAAATACAAATTCATAACTTCTTATTTTGAACCAAATGCTACTATTTTCCCCTTATCTATAATCATAATTTGATCAAACATATCCAATAATTCTAATTTATGCGTGATTGCAATTACAGTTTTATCCTACCAATAATAAAAATGAATAATACTTTCATAAATAAATCAAGAGTTAGATTAATTTATTAACAATATTAATTGTCAAGATTTCCAGTACATTCATCTAAAATCACAATATTTCTTTTTTATAATAATGTTCGACATAAAACAAGTAATTGTTTTTCTCCTAATGAAAGATTAGAACCATGAGGTAAAACTCTGTATTATAAATTTTCTAATAATTTCACTTAAGATAATCCATATTTCGTTAAGATTCTGATGATTTCGATTGGATTGTAAAAGTTATTTGGATCAATATTTTACTTAATCGATCCCTCAAATACAAAAGGATCTTAAGAGACAACAGAAAATAATGACCTAATTCTGTTTATATTTGTATTTCTAATGTCTTATTCAAATACTTTTAGGGATCCTTAAGAAGGTTCAACTAATCTTGTGATACAATGGATAAGACTGGTCTTGCCTGCTCCAGTTCTACCAAGGATTGCTATCTTTGAATTATAATATATATGATTTTACCTTTTATCTTTATTTTAATTTGAATGAAATATCTGTTAAAACATTTGCATTTTTGTATTATAGTGAAACATTATTTAATTCAAGAATAAATTGTTCTTTAAATTCTTAATTATTATCTACAGATTTTATGGTTATCATTTCAATTTAATTTTTTTAGTTTTCATGACTACTTAATTAAATATGATCATCTTTAATATCCATAGGATTTTCATAATCACTATATTATTAATTTGATAAATCTTCTTTAGCAATATTCTTTATTAATGATAAGCATCTTTCAAAATATACATTATTTGAATAAAAAGATTAAAATGATAAAGTTAAACTAGTAAATTTTTCTCCAAGACTTACAGCTAAAAACATAGATATAGTTGCCGATTCTTTGTTATCAATTTTGTAAATATACTACATTATTATAATAAAATAATACATTGACAATTAGAATAAACAAGTACATGATCAACATTAGAAAACATGTGATTTAGATAAACCATGAATGTAAAGCAGCAGAACAAAGAAAATTCTATGTATAAATATTGAATTATTAATAGAAAAAAGTAATTTATTTGAAAATATCTTTACAATGTCTATTATATAAGATGCCTTAATGAGTTTAAGTTANCATTTACATTTATAAAAAATATCAATCAACCTTCTAATTTAAATACAAATTCATAACTTCTTATTTTGAACCAAATGCTACTATTTTCCCCTTATCTATAATCATAATTTGATCAAACATATCCAATAATTCTAATTTATGCGTGATTGCAATTACAGTTTTATCCTACCAATAATAAAAATGAATAATACTTTCATAAATAAATCAAGAGTTAGATTAATTTATTAACAATATTAATTGTCAAGATTTCCAGTACATTCATCTAAAATCACAATATTTCTTTTTTATAATAATGTTCGACATAAAACAAGTAATTGTTTTTCTCCTAATGAAAGATTAGAACCATGAGGTAAAACTCTGTATTATAAATTTTCTAATAATTTCACTTAAGATAATCCATATTTCGTTAAGATTCTGATGATTTCGATTGGATTGTAAAAGTTATTTGGATCAATATTTTACTTAATCGATCCCTCAAATACAAAAGGATCTTAAGAGACAACAGAAAATAATGACCTAATTCTGTTTATATTTGTATTTCTAATGTCTTATTCAAATACTTTTAGGGATCCTTAAGAAGGTTCAACTAATCTTGTGATACAATGGATAAGACTGGTCTTGCCTGCTCCAGTTCTACCAAGGATTGCTATCTTTGAATTATAATATATATGATTTTACCTTTTATCTTTATTTTAATTTGAATGAAATATCTGTTAAAACATTTGCATTTTTGTATTATAGTGAAACATTATTTAATTCAAGAATAAATTGTTCTTTAAATTCTTAATTATTATCTACAGATTTTATGGTTATCATTTCAATTTAATTTTTTTAGTTTTCATGACTACTTAATTAAATATGATCATCTTTAATATCCATAGGATTTTCATAATCACTATATTATTAATTTGATAAATCTTCTTTAGCAATATTCTTTATTAATGATAAGCATCTTTCAAAATATACATTATTTGAATAAAAAGATTAAAATGATAAAGTTAAACTAGTAAATTTTTCTCCAAGACTTACAGCTAAAAACATAGATATAGTTGCCGATTCTTTGTTATCAATTTTGTAAATATACTACATTATTATAATAAAATAATACATTGACAATTAGAATAAACAAGTACATGATCAACATTAGAAAACATGTGATTTAGATAAACCATGAATGTAAAGCAGCAGAACAAAGAAAATTCTATGTATAAATATTGAATTATTAATAGAAAAAAGTAATTTATTTGAAAATATCTTTACAATGTCTATTATATAAGATGCCTTAATGAGTTTAAGTTAAAGTATTTAATAATGGTGATTTAGAAATAGCTTGTAATCTTGATATTTCTAAATTAATTCTAAGGTATTTAATAAGATATTGTGTTTGTAGTAGCAAATAACAAATTAAAACTGGATAAGATAAAGCACTTGATAAAAATAAGCATCCTAACATTGATGCCATAAAACTGAATACACTATCAAATAAAGAAGATATTAAAGATGGAGTATTCATATCTAATCTAATATAAATTAAATAATACCAAATTAAAAAAGATCATTTGTCATTCTATTTTTTATAATACTACCCAAAGTAACATTATAAAATTCAGTCACTGATGCTTTTAATAAATTATTAATAATGTTATTATGAAGAAGCATTGATGCTGCTACACCTTTCAATGTTAGAAATATTCCACTAAAAAGTGTTAATATGGCCATTAAAATATGAGATAGTGGATAAACTAATAGAAATTATTCAACTGCCTTTGATTTTTAATCTTCAGTAGATTGTTATGAATTAGAAATCTCACTAATAGATTTAAACTTTAATTGATAAAATGTTGAACAACACATTCCTAATATACAAAAGATCATTATTAAAATTAAAGTCTAATATCTTCCAAATAATTAATAAAGATATTTAAAAATCTCTAATTGTAAANTTAATTCAAGAATAAATTGTTCTTTAAATTCTTAATTATTATCTACAGATTTTATGGTTATCATTTCAATTTAATTTTTTTAGTTTTCATGACTACTTAATTAAATATGATCATCTTTAATATCCATAGGATTTTCATAATCACTATATTATTAATTTGATAAATCTTCTTTAGCAATATTCTTTATTAATGATAAGCATCTTTCAAAATATACATTATTTGAATAAAAAGATTAAAATGATAAAGTTAAACTAGTAAATTTTTCTCCAAGACTTACAGCTAAAAACATAGATATAGTTGCCGATTCTTTGTTATCAATTTTGTAAATATACTACATTATTATAATAAAATAATACATTGACAATTAGAATAAACAAGTACATGATCAACATTAGAAAACATGTGATTTAGATAAACCATGAATGTAAAGCAGCAGAACAAAGAAAATTCTATGTATAAATATTGAATTATTAATAGAAAAAAGTAATTTATTTGAAAATATCTTTACAATGTCTATTATATAAGATGCCTTAATGAGTTTAAGTTAAAGTATTTAATAATGGTGATTTAGAAATAGCTTGTAATCTTGATATTTCTAAATTAATTCTAAGGTATTTAATAAGATATTGTGTTTGTAGTAGCAAATAACAAATTAAAACTGGATAAGATAAAGCACTTGATAAAAATAAGCATCCTAACATTGATGCCATAAAACTGAATACACTATCAAATAAAGAAGATATTAAAGATGGAGTATTCATATCTAATCTAATATAAATTAAATAATACCAAATTAAAAAAGATCATTTGTCATTCTATTTTTTATAATACTACCCAAAGTAACATTATAAAATTCAGTCACTGATGCTTTTAATAAATTATTAATAATGTTATTATGAAGAAGCATTGATGCTGCTACACCTTTCAATGTTAGAAATATTCCACTAAAAAGTGTTAATATGGCCATTAAAATATGAGATAGTGGATAAACTAATAGAAATTATTCAACTGCCTTTGATTTTTAATCTTCAGTAGATTGTTATGAATTAGAAATCTCACTAATAGATTTAAACTTTAATTGATAAAATGTTGAACAACACATTCCTAATATACAAAAGATCATTATTAAAATTAAAGTCTAATATCTTCCAAATAATTAATAAAGATATTTAAAAATCTCTAATTGTAAACTTCCTAATGATTTATCTTCGTTCTCTATTACCATTATTTACTTTTTATCAATTAAATTATATAATTGTTCATTTGATTGTTTAATTATTTCAACTTATTTAATCTCTTAATTTTCTATTAAATCCATATAATCTAAATCTTTTGACATAGATTTCCCTTTAAATTAGTCTAAACTACCATTATATATGATTTATCCATCTTCAAGATGAATTATTCTATCACACATTTTTATCTACCTTACATCATGGCATGTTAAAATTATTGTTTTCTTTTCTTTTTAACTAATTTAGTACAATTCATCCATTAATTTCTTTGCAGTTTTATGATCTAATGATTCAAATGGACAATCTAATAAATAAATATCACTATGTCTATAAAGTGTTCTTGCTAAATGAATTCTTTTTCTTTATCCTCCACTTAATGATTATCCATCTTCTCCAACTTCACTATTATGTCCACTTTCCATTCTAAGAATATCCTCTAATAATTAAGTTGTTTTTATTATTTCAAGATACCTATCCATCTCTAAATTTGATTCATCAATAATATTCTATTTAATAGTTCCTTATATTAAAAAAGGCTCTTATTATGCTACTGATACTTTGCCCTCTAAAATTATAAATGAATCTTCATTTATCTTTTCTAATTCTCCAAGTAAACAATATAATAAAGAACTTTTACCTGATCCATTCTTTCCAACTACTACTATAAATTCCCCTTTTTCTATTTAAATGTTCATATTCTTTAATTTAAATGAATTATTTGAGTCTCTCCATTTAAAATCTCCTTCCATTTGTAGAATGTATACTTATTATCCATGTATCAATTATTATTATTATTCTACATCTAAAGCTGAAATGAAATCCATATATCTTTTAATTGATGTTTTAGCCATTAATACTTAACCTAAATTAGTAGGTATAAAATTAACAGACTATATTAATTAAGCATAATTCTATGTAACCATTAATACTGATTTTAAATTAAATATATTGAAAAACTTCATAGTGAAATATAAAACTCCAACTGGAACTATTGAAAATAAAGCTTTCACAATAAAAGATAATTTCTATTGTATAGCTATATTAGACATCTCAATTTATCTCTTATCTTTAATCTATTATTATAATATTTAATTATTCTTACCCGATTAAAAAAGAATTTATAATAACAATTTTATTTGATTGTCAAAATGCCTTTTAATAATTCATCCATATTTGAAACTCGATTGTCTCTAGAGGTCATAATCTTTTTTTATAATCTATTATATTTTTATTATCAACCTAGAATAAATGCTTCCATAAATCAAAGAAATCCCTACTTAAATAAACATTCCAATCAAACCAAAAGATGCTGCTATACCAACAGTCTCAAAATATATGTAAATTGCTCCACAAATTTAAAAAGGTGTTAAAAATAATGATACTCCACAATCAAACAACATTGTTATTTATGGAATATCAATTTAAAATAAATTTATTATCTCTGCTTATTAAGGCAATGGCAAACATGCACTAAATAATTTTTTATATAGTATTGAAGCTAAAGCTGCTTACACTTTTATTTACACTTATTTCTATAAATTAAAAATAAAACTTTACTTAGTAAAAACTTAAAATTGAAATTAATATATAAATAGACATAATCCAACCTATAAAAAGTGATGTTGTCTTTATAAATTACCAAAACTCCAATTCAGGAGAATCAAATAGTTCAATTATTTGATTTATCAAAATAGGATTCAATAATAAAATTCCCATTATTCCTACTTTCAATAAAATAATGCATATCCATTTTGTAGGATAACTTTTTATTAAAGAAAACATTAAGTTTTCTTTATTTAATTCAAATTTTAAGCTCTACTATTCAATACTTTCTTCAGGATTTATATTGAAAACTTCTTTCTATTCTAAATTTCTTTAATGTATTTAAACAAATTAATTTAACCAAGTAAATAAATATGTTGTAATTCCTTTTTTATTTGTATAACATTCCAATAATTCTTATTGCTAATTTTCAAAGTTTTAATATTCTAACATTTATATATTATTAAATTATAAAATATATGAGTGAAAGTGAGAGTGAAAAATAAGATGCTTAAATAGATTATTACAAGGAGGCTGTGAAATTATATTATTATAATTGTATATTGTACAACCATGTAAAGAATATAATAAATGGAGTTGGAAAAAGTGATGACAGAGAGAAATGATTTAAAAACTAAAGTTCTTAAATATGAGCTACTAGGAGGGGAATTAGCTTAATTAGATGATGATGAAATTATGAATTAATTGGAAGATAGAAAGAAAAAGAGTAGAAGAAGTGCTGCAGACATTGATAGACAGTTTTTTTGTTCTTTTAATAATTGCAAAAAAGCATATGGAACTGAAGCCTCACTTATATAACATCAAAGATTAAAACATGGACAAAATAATGGAATGGATGCATATTTTAGAATTTGATATATAAAAAGATTAACATAATTTATTATTTAATTTTTAGTAGTAGTAAATTATTTTCAAGAAGTAAATCATTTATCAACAAATACAATATTCAGATAACAACAATCTTAAAGTTCCAACATAAATTATTGTTTCATTAAAAACTTTATTTAGTAATATTAAACCTTATATATAAATAATCACAAATTTATCCTAAAAATGAGACTAAAGTCTTATTAGCATAAAATAGTTATTCTAAGATATGAAATCTCTGATGCTCAATATATTGATTTCATTATTATAAATAAACAAATTAATCTCATAAATTCAAACACCATCTACTAATTTAAACAAAATCCTTAATTTTTAATGATATAGATCATGTTCAAATACATTAGTTGTAACTATTCAAACAGAATGTACAGATTTAAGTAATTTAATATTTAACTCAAGAGAATAAAGTAAATAAAATTAAAAAATTGCTTTAAGATTTAAAATTAAAATAGATCAAACTTCAAAAACTTTAATTAATTTCATGGACTTAAAATTAAATTGTTAATTTAGGATTTAATAGAACTGATCTTGAATTGAAAATAAAAATAATGAGCAATTTCCTAATATTTTAATTAAAGATAAACTTTAACCTTTAAACAACTATAATCTTAAATAATTATATCATAATAATTAGGTATTTTTAAATAAAGTTAATAGAATTGTTTAAACTTTTAATTAAAGGTATTTTTTACATTTTATATAATTCCAATCATTTCAATTATTTCAAATTATACTAATAATTATCTAATACTATTTTTATATATTTCATATTTAACATAAAATTGCTTGAATAATGATCTAAAATTATTCTTAATCTGTATTAAGAAAGCTAAATATTAATTGAACAAAAAATTGCTGATTAATAAGAGTATTGAATTATAGAATTTAGTTGTTTCTAAAATTAACAATTGCATCTCATAGATTCTAATGATATTTAATATATATAATCTTCTAATGATCTAAACTAATTGATTTATATAATGTAAGCTGTATCAGAATTAATATTAGAAATGGATTCCCAATCTTATTTTTATATTATCATCTATAATTAAATTATTTATAAAATGATATTAAACTCTATCGCCTTTCATAAAAAAATTCTAATTTAACTTTAGTATTAACGTGGAACTAATTAGAATAAAATAATTGAATAAAATTTACATAAAAAAAATGTTTTCTGTTTTTTACTACAATTATATGAATTTGTTCTAATTTTAATTAATTTTCTAATTTATTAATTATGGACTTTATAAATGATAAATATGCTGTAATTCCAAAATCTTTGAAGGTAATATTAATTCTTTAAGAGAGAGTGATGAAGAAATTTAAAAAAATATGGCTCCTGAAAGTAATTCATTTGTTGAGAGAGCTAAGTTTTTATTAATAAATGGTTAAAGTTTCTAAAAAATGTTTGTCGTTAAAAATATTTAAGAATCATTGTCTAATCCTAAAGGAGCTTAACAATTATTAGAAATAATTGCTAATTAATTACTTTAATTGCATGAGGAAACCTTAATATAAGAATACATCAAAGCAGTGAGTGAAATATTCAATAAAATTTAAGTATTAAGAATTAATATTTTAGATCACTAATTAATTGAAACAATCTTATAGTGATATTTGCTTTAATATGTTTACAAAATAATATCAATAATATGATATTATTAATTCTTGTGCAGAAATACTTAAATATTTAGATGACCTAGAAATTTATAAAGAAGGATTATATCTTGAGACAGACAATCAAATGTATTAAATTCTAAAAATTATTGAAATATATTATCATAAATTTACACCTGAGTTAAAAAAATAGGCTCACCTTCAAATTAAATCAAGTATGAAACATAAAGATGAAAGAGTTCGTAAAATTATTTCAGAAATATTATTAAGTAATCAGTAATTATAAAAATCCATATTACATGAATTTGATTGGATTGATAAATTTACAACATTAATTTATGATTAATCTAAAGAAGTTAGAATGAGTTCGGCCAAATTTTTTTTAGCTACTTATGAACTGAATGAAGATATTCATAAAACAAGGTTGCTTCTTCTCTTAGAAAATATTATCAAATAATTGGATTCATCTTAATTTTAGTTTTGTCAATTAATTTCATTATATGTACTATATATAATCATATTTAGAGTTTAAACTCAGATAATTTATAATCTCTTTTAATTGATAAAATTAATGAAATTATTGATATTAGTAATGAGAATGTTTTCCTATTTTTAGAATCATTACATACATATTATCCAACAATAAAATAATTTAATGAAAAAAACTCAATTTTCATAGATGAATTGTTATTAAATTCTATATAAATCATTTCTGAAGATTTGAGAGATTATGACATTTTTAAGTGTTTGACTAATTTATTTTCAAGTTTATCCTAAGATATGTAATTTAAAGTAATTTAAAAATTATTTATCAATTTTGAAATAAATTAGTTATTATTTATTCCTTATTTATCTGAAATAATTGAAAAAGCAACATTGATAAATAAAAATAAAATTTGGCTTTAATAACTTTAAACTATATATGAAACATTTAAGAAAAATGTTTTTTTATATGAAATAAAAGGATTATGGAATGAAATATCAAACATGATAGATTCAATGATAATAATATCAAGAATATTATTTTTATAGAAGGATTTTCTGTAATAATGTTTAAAAATGAGTCATATGGGTTCAAAATTTATAAGAGATAAAATAATGAATCTTCTGATTGAAAAAATCATTGAATTAGATTCATTAGAAAGCAGAGATTTAATAATTCAAAATTATTCAGGTTTCATTAATCATTAAAATTATTAATTAAGATAATTATCGATAGAATTTATCAATAAATTATGTTAATAACGATCAAGGAAATTCTTTACATCAAACAATCTTATTAATGTATTATAATTGTAGTATGATCCTGTTGCTTTAGTAAGGGCTAAAATTCCAAAATTGTTATTGTAAATAAAGCTATTATTTTGGAATGATGAAAAGGAAATTCTCACCAGAATTGCTTAAATTTTTTAAAACTTGATGAACGATAAGAAATAATACATTTAATAAGTACATGCTTATATAACAAGATTTCCAAAGACTTTTGGGTCGAATTATCAAATATTTAATATTCGAATGCTTAAAAAACAATTGAGTAAAATTAAATAATGGATGAAAGAGAACAATAAGAATATGCAAATTTAAAAGTATATAGATATTAATATAAGGTAATTAAATAACAGTTGTTGCTAAATCCAAAAAATATAAAAACAGATGTTAGTAAATCCAGAAATTAAACTCCTACAACAAGATTGCCACCTCTAAATAAAAGATAGAATAATTTCTTACAAATTCCTAAAGGTGTGTAGCCTAGAAAAACTTCTGCTTAAAGAGTTATTTAATCAAAGTCTCCCCAACCCTTTAAATGATTTATTATATATTTTAAAATGTTCACATTTAGAACAATTTACAAATTTACAAACAAAACAGTTGATACAGAGGCTTTATTAAAGAAACTCTAGACAAAATCTTTAATAACCCTAACAAGAGACAATTATTAATTGAATATGGGTTTGATGATTCAAAGAGATATAATATTTCTTCATTATACAGAAGAAGAAATGAAACTAAGAAAATTTAGATATTAATTAGGTAAGCATTGAAGCATAATTTGTTAATAGAAAAACGAAATAATTATATAACCAAATTACCTAAAGAATTGCATGAATATACACATTATACAGGAGATCAGAATGTATTTGGAGATGATACTCCAACTCATGTAAGATTAGTTGGAGATGTTCGTTCTGTATTTTTGGAAAATAGTAAATTCTTTAGACATTGTGGTATTGATAAAATATAATCAATAGATCCAAATGAAAATAATAATAAGCGAATATAATATAATTCTTTGCATACTGTATACTTATTAGTGAAACAAAATGGAATTTGGGGTTTTCCAAATATCAATATTGAAGATAAAGAAACCTTTAAAGAAACATAAACAAAATTATTCGAAAAAATGACATAAAATACTTGGCAAGTATTTATATATTATCATTTAGGTATACTATTTTAATAGACAGCCAAGGTTAGTAACAGTAGATCCTAATTCTGATGAAAATGCTAGAATCAAAGGAATTAAGACCATCTATTTTTAAGCCAAACATTTATAAGGAAAAGTTTAGATTTTTGGATATGATGATTGGGCTTGGGTATCAAGATTAGAAATGAATAAATATCTAACAGAATAAGCTTATAATAAAGTCATTCATGCTTTAGATTTGTGAGTTATTTTATAAAGTATATTTAAGAAAATTTTACATTTTCTATTTAGATAAAGTAATTAACCAATAATATAAATCAAATTTTAAACTTAGGTTTCAAAGACTTTTTTTTTTGGAATGTTTCTCTATTTTCTTTATCACAATTAGGCTCTTATAAAGAATAGCTTGTATTTCTTAATGGTTATTTTGTTATTAATTCTATTGAATAGTTTTATCTTTTCTTTAAAGGAGCATTTGAAATTTAATCATCATTACTATTATTTGAGATTTATTTTAACTTATTTTTCAAATCTAAATTTGTAGAACTTAATTTATGAATTGTAGATTGATGTTCTTAATGAACCAATTTTAATGCTTATATTTCTTAACCATAACCATCTAGTTTTTTTGCTAAAAACCTTTCAAATTAAAATAATTGCCTATTTATATTACTAATCATTTAATTATGATCTATTTTCAAATTTATTTCTCTAATTACCCATGCACAAAGCTACTTGTACTCAATTAAAACACTTTCTATTAAATTATTGCTAGTATATGATTTTTTAGATAAACAATTTTATTACGACCCTCCACTAAAAATGCAAATAAATACAATTACTTATAAGGCACTCGTTAAGGGGTTATTGATTATTCAGATTTACAGGTAACTCTAAAGTTATGAGAAATATTTGAAAAAGTGCTCATCATTGTCTTCATATTATTCGTTAAAATAATAATCAAAATTATTGTAATACTAATCTATCATTCTCCAAAATTATTTTTTTCGTTTTAATAATTATGAACTTTTAGAAAAATTAAATCGAAATTAGACGGTGAGCCTGATGATTTAAAGTTCATAAAGAAATTAATATTTTCAAACTTTATAAAAATTTTGGAATAAGTATTTTAAGGTAAGAAATTTACTAAGACTGCAATTTAATTTTTTAGAAACAATGTACAACAAATTATATTAATACTGAGTTTATTAAGAATTAAATCGCAAATAGAAATAAATAGCTAACCTTATTTTTGTAGAATAATGTTTTTTTAATTTTAAATTAAATCTCATTCCAAGAATTTTTCATCTAAAATTGGATTGCTTATTTTAGTTTTGTTGATGGATGTTAAAGTTGCATTACCACAAATTTGGTTAAAATCATTTTTTAAACAAATTTAAATTTAAAGCTCATTTTCATATGAAGTGGAATTTCTTAATAGAATTTATGGATCGCTTCTGATTTAAAACTATTCAATAGGAAATTAATCATATCTATTATCATAGTAAATATTAATGAAAATAGAAGGCTAAATATGAATAATTTTTTACATAATTAGTTTCATTATCTTTATTGAATATCATTACAAATTCTTCTGGAGAAATATTATTATAATAAGAGGATAGGGAATGAGTGAAGGATATAATTTTGGCAGTGGATTCTCTAAAATTGGGAATAGAATAAATTCCAATAACAACTTTTTTTTAATTTGTATAAGGTATAGCAACAAAATCCTTAAAAAAGGCTAGCTTATTAATAGA